ACAGGAAGAGGTAGTGTTTGATGATCATTTGACAATGCCTGTCAAAGCTTCGCACCGTCAGTCCTTAGCAGGTTTCAGCCTTGAAGATCCATCCAAAATCCCTCCAATCAGCATTCCGTTCAGCGATGAACCCATTGAGATGACAGCGAAGACGCGTGCAGAGTACATCACACTGGATAGTCTGATCAAATACGGTGGTTCTGACGGCTGTAGGGGCTGTGAAATGCTCACATCAAGGCACACCAAAGCATGTCGTGACCGGTTCAATCGCCTTATTAGGGCCGACAAGCCCGTGCCTGTTGAGTTGAAGTCGAAACCAGTCACTGTTGAAGACATCCATGGCAGTTGCCAATCAGATCCACATGCGTTCGCTTCGGGCGACCTTGTGGGATCCACACTCGAAGACGACATTGTTCCGATATGCCCTGCAGATAGTGATGGCGAATCATCAGGGCCAGCTCCAACTACTCCAGCTAGTGATGCTGAAGCTACTGTTGGACTCAGTGACGTCGAGCCCCTTGAGGCTTTGGTTGCACAAACGGTGGCAAACAAACAGACTTGGAATGGATTGTCCAGAGTGCGCCGTTTGTCAACAGACCTCCCGGGCATCGGGGTGTTGTATGAGTATGCTTGCAGCACGGATTCATTGATAGGCGAAGTGCTCCCACAATATGGTGTGAAGGTGGTTCGCTTGAACCGAGAGGCCATTGACCTAAGCAATTTCCATCACATCCTGCAACTTGTGGAGCAACTCAAAACCCAACATGGTGCCGACATATGGATGTCCTTGCCGTGTGATCCGTGGTCCAACCTCCAGGAGTTGAACATATACAGCGGCTTGGTGATTCATTTTTGGCTGACCTCACGCAAAAGCAGGAAGAATCTTCATACATTTACATGGTTGATTTGGCTTTGCAAGTTGGGGAGTATGTCGTTTCCAACAGTGGTCGTTTCGTTTGGGAATGGCCATCTTACTGCAAGGGATGGCGTCTTCCTAATCTCGTGGATTTTATTACGAGGCATCGCCTCATGATTGTGCAGTTCCACGGATGCATGTTGGGACTGAAGGGAGAGCAAGGCAATTGGTTGAAGAAGCCATGGACGTTGGCAACCAATGACCGTCGAATCGTAGAACTGTTCGCTGAAATGCAGTGCAGTCACAGTCTGGATCAGCATGAACCATGTGAAGGCGGAAATGCTGCAAGAACAGCGTATTACACTGTTCCGTTTGTGTCACTCATTGCCGAAGCGCTTTACCCCAGACCCCAGACAGTTTTATACTCAACGTGTCCCAGCATTGCCAGTCAAGACAACCCCTACACAGGACAACGCCGTTGATTCAGAAGATGTCTTAGCGTTTGGTCTTGTCACAAAAGCCCTTAGCAGAAACGAATGTGTTTCAAATCCAAAGGCTTTGGAAGCCATCCAAAAAGAAAGTGAGGGGCTCAGGGCGAATCAGACGTGGGACGACGAAACCGCTTGTGATGCCGACGAGCTCATGCGGCAGTCCAAGGTCCTGTCCAAAGAGATCAAGGTTGCAGAGCTCCTCATCCTCTGTGGCATCAAGCATGCTGAATTGGATGCATCCAAGCAAAAATATACAAAGGCAGAATTGTCTACAGAGGAGACAAAGTCATGACCCAAAACGGGGACATTGTTCTCTTTACGGAGGTTTCCACATCACCCACCACCATCATAGCACTCAACATGTGTCTTTGGTGGGGTGCTTTGGATGGTCATGCCACATCCACGGCCGATGCCGTGCAGGCATTCTTACAAAGTTACCTCCCGGAAGATGAGCCGACATTCGTCATATTGCCCAGGCAGCTCTGGCTGAACTCCTGGAAAAGCAGATTCCGTGGGAAGGTCGCAGTCAAGGTTCGTAAGTCCCTTTACGGGCATCCCTGTGCGGGGCGCCTCTGGCAAGAGTACCTGGAGACACGTATCGCCAAGTTCGGGGCTACGCCAGTAAGGGGGTTTCCAAGCAACTTCATCTTCAACATGGACGGACATCGCATGATATTGAATGTCTATGTCGATGACCTGACGCTGTCAGGGGCATCTCATCTTCACAGGAAGTTTTGGGATCAATTCAGCAACCTGATAAAAATCGAAGACCCACAAGTGTTATCTCATGAAAATACTGTACTCATTCTTGGTCAGTTACATGAACTTGAGGCACCACGAACGGTTAAGATGTCCATGGTCGGTTATGCTGAACAGTTTGTGGACCTGTATCTCGACATCGCAGGACTAGATATCAAATCACTCCGTCGTGTAGCCACGCCGCACGTCAGTGACAATGGTCTTGCGGATGAACTGTATGAAGCCGCAGGTTCCATGAAAGCACACGCAGCCAAAGTGCTGATGAAAGGGCTCTGGCTGGCCAGACTGGCCAGGCCAGACATTTCATACTCAGTATAAGGAAGGCTTGCAAGTAGGATCACTGTGTGGACCCGTGCTGAAGACATTCATCTTCACAGGTTGGTGTGTTATGTTCATTGGACCAAGGAATATTCAATGGTTTGTCAAGCTGGTGGCCTAGAAACCACGGAGTTGCATGTTTATGCAGATGCTGACTTGGCATCATGTGTTCACAGTGCGCGCTCAACATCTGGCATGATGATAATCTTGGAATCAGGGGCCTCCCGCTGGCCGATCGCATGGAACTCGCGACGCCAGTCATCGGTGGCAAGATCAACAACTGAAGCTGAGATCATATCCATGGCCAGTGCAGTATACTCCGAAGGGCAGCCGCTGCTTGATTTCCTGGAACAACTCACCGGCAGGAAGGTCATGATGAAACTCAAAGAAGACAATGCAGCCACGCTAACAATCTTGAAAAATGGTTTCTCAGTTAAGCTCCGTCATGCTTCAAGAACTCACCGCATTGATGTGGCCAGCCTAGCGGAAACCATCAAAGAACAAGATATGATAGCAGAATACTGCAGCACAGACCGTCAAGCAGCAGATGCTCTGACAAAGGTCATACAGCCCCATGCTTGGGAACGACTACTTCAACTTCTGAGTGTCCGACCTACTACTAAGTAGTTTGTCATGTTTGTTCCGTCCGCTCGCCACTCGAAATGAGGGGGGAGTTGAATTGGACGTGAACATTCAGTACATGACATTTCCCAGGCGATATCGCACGTTACATTTGGCTCAAGCAAAACCGTGCGGCGCCTTTGCAGTTGCTGCCGCCCAGTGGTTTTACCATTGAATAACTATAACGCTATTAAAATATTGAAAAAATTGGATTTCGAAGCTTCCCCCTAATATTAAATTAAAATCCTTAATAGTAAAAACATGTAAAAACTATTTTTTCTGATCTCAAAATAAATTAAATTTCCTTATATAACGCAATTAAAATATGGCCAAACATTGGATTTCGAAACTTCCCCCTAATACTAAATTAAAACCCTTAATAATAAAAACTATTTTTTCCGATTTCAAAATCAATTAAATTTGTTTATATAACGCAATTAAAACATTGCCAAAAATTGGATTTCGAAGTTTCCCCCTAATACTAAACACCCCGGGGTTGACTAGTTTTTAGTATTAGGGGGGGAAACCCACAAATGGTAGGTTGATTTTTAAATTGTTTTCTAAAGGGGATCAGTTAAAAGTCAAATTGGCCAAACTGAAATTTTCAGAAATTGGAGATGGACGCCTGTTTTTAGTATTTGGGACGTTTAGTAATAGGGAGGGGGGATTATTTAAAGCACACCCCAAAAAGATGCAGATGTGTGGCATATCCAATGAAAATAGTGGTTAATTGAACCTTTTCTGAGTCTTTTTGGGATTATCGTAGAACAGTTTCCTTGGGTTTCACCCAGGGGGTTTTCCACATGTTTTTGTTAGTTTAGCCCAGGGTAAGTCCCATTTCTGATGGTTAAATCAGTTAAATCCCTATTTTTGGTCGGTTAAATCCCATTCACATCCCATTAAAATCCAATCATGTCATGATTTTCCTAGTAAAATGGTGATTTTCCCCCCATTTTATCCCATCAACCTACCATTGAAACATCTCATTCAGATCCCAATGAAAGCCAGCATGACGGAACGGCCCAAGGAAGCCTTGGAAGACTCGGGTTTGCCGCTGACAGAGATGTGCGTGTGTTTGCTCCTGACGGAAGGGCAGGCCTCGCTAGAAGCCATGGGGTTTCGTAAGTCATGGTACCCCAAATCATCCAAGTCATGGATGACCATGACTTGGTATAGGTTGACCCATGGTTTTGGAACATATGATATATTACAGTATGTTATCATCTAATATATTATATCATATCATATTGTATTATATTATGTTTTGGTTTGTTATGTTATGATTTGCTATGTTATGTTTTTTTGTTATACTATATTATACAGATAGATCTTGAAATATCATCAGGATATACACATTGAAATATGATTGTATATGGACATGTATTGAAATGTGATGATATAGTTGACATATTGTCACATGATGATATATCATTATATTATAGATTGATATAGATTCTATATCATGATAGATTCTATATCATGATATGGTGTCATGATATATCATAATATGTTGAATAATATTTAACGGCATTTCAGAGTTTCAAAGATACAGGAACGCCCTATTTTCGAAGTCTTGTCAGTCTTTTCTGGTGTTGTGTAGGCTGTCGCCTTTGTCTTCCAGAACCTTCGGGTGCCTGCTGGGGCTGTTGCTGGGGTCGAGGTTTCTGCAGTGGCCTTGTAGTTTGTAGAGCCTGCATGAAGTTTTTTTTGGAACAAACTATTTGGTCGAAGCTTCTTCAGTTTGTTGAGGACGATGCCAGGTAGATTTCCTTTTGGAGCTTCCCACCGAATGAGGGTTTCAAGCAAAACGGGGTGACCCTAAAACCATTGGTTTCCCTGTAAAGAATCAGAAACAGAACTTAGTGCGGATGATTTTGGGGTTCCCCAAATTAGAAAACTAGGTCCAAATTTATTTCTATCCCAATTTGTTGATGCTGATACCCGCGACTGCTCGCAGCATTTGACCCACGCAGCAGGAAAAACCTTGGAACGACACGCTCCTAGACCGAGCCCCGTTAGTAGCGCATTGCCATGTCGGGCGGAACGATTACCAGCGATTTCGCCATGCTCACAGCGCAGCTGTTGGAGCGACTTGGGGAACTGGTGATTTTCAGCAACGAGAATGCCAGACTTTTTTCAACCAATAGACAGGTCAGATGGGTATGGATTAAACTTCAAGATTCAGAAAAACTGCAGATGGATTGCTTTCCACATTGCGAAAGGTTTCAAGATGGTCATAAAAAATGTAGGATCATCAAAAACTTGATCAACTGGGATGGTGGAGAGGTTGCCACTCCGACTGGGATTATTTTTCCTCAGCATCGACTCTTGGTCGGTGCCTTCAACCTTTTTTTTAAGCTCATATCCTTACTAGTAGCTTTCCCTAATGACTTATTTTTTGGGGGGAAGGGTTGAAAACACTATTAATAGTCATCCCCATTTAGATTCTCCAAAGAATCCCTATTTCTGTTGGTAAATCCTCATGAAATCCCCAGTATTTTTAAGTTGGCAATGCAGGAGATCTTGCGTGCGCACGAAGGCATGCGCGTATTTTCCCCTCGAGACTTGGAGTTGATGGGTTGCCACGTTGCCGCGCCGCGGCACATGGGATTGTCATGGGATTGTCATAGGGTAGACACCAGCCAATTGGAGGAAGATTTTGCCAAGGGCCCTAAGGGCCCTAAGGGTTACGGTCGTTTTGGTGAATTTGCTGTATGGTTCCCTGGATTTTTTGGAGGAAACATCCCGCCATGGCTTTCATCGCCAATCGAGATCCGGAGTGCCCTTCCCTGTTGGATGATCTCCGGATTACAAACTCCGCTTCCATAAGGGATTTATGCCTCGCTTCTTTTTCTGCTGGGGCCATGCCTTGCGAGTTTTTCAAGATGTTGAGGTGTTTTAAAGTTGACTCCACCTCACTGGTGACTCCAACTCACTTGGTTAATCCTCAATATTCATCCTTTCCAATCCTTAAAGTTATGTATTTCATCCATCCAACCAGCTACCTTCCGCCTCCAGCTACCTGTGTCCGGCACGTCCGCCACGTCGCCTTAGGAAACGAGGCCGGCGAAGTGACGGAGCACATTCTGTTGCCCAAAGCTTCCCTGAAACTGTTGGATGCCGCGGAGGACGCTGCCATGGGGAAGATCATGGGGATGTCGGGGGGATATCACATGTATATTGGAGCCATTTGGAAAGGGGGTAGCCCTAAAAACCTCTATTAATGGATGGTTAATAGTGGAACATCCTATTTCAGGATATTTTTCAGGAAATCTCTCTCTCTCTCTCTCGCTATGGAGTAACGCCCCCGTGTTTAAAGATGAAAAGGCCTAAGGTTTTTACACCCATAGCTTTGGCTCAGCTTTAATGGGAGAGCACGGGCCCCTGGGGTGCCGACTCTCGTGTCAGTGCCACGCGTGCTTGGTGTGGCGGCGGCTGGGCGAGGAGCTGCACTTAGGGCATCAGAGCCACAGGTTCCTGGAGGGGGCGGCTCTGGAGCTCAAAGAGTGCTTTGACAAAGTCCTCAACCTTCGTGAGGTGCACCGGTTGGAAACTTGGAGTCCCTTGGCAGGGGGTACTCCGAGTCTTGGGGAAGGACTTGAGGACAACAGAAGGAGTTCAGAGAAAGTAGGCCAGCATAGAAAGGGATCCAGTCAGGAGAAGAAGAGAAGCCAAGGTACCGAACGTTCAAAGAGCAGGAAGACTAAGGTACGTCGAAGCCGCAGCCGCCGCAGAAGAGAAGCTACCAAGAGCCCATCTGCTTCAGGCCGGCCCCAAAGTTCTAGGGGTGGGTGTTCTGAAGCTGAACGGAAGAGAAAGCCCACTCAGGTGAAGAGTGAACCTACCGAGGCCGAGTTAGACAGCCGAGGCATAGTGACTCTGGGGAGAGACAGATCTCCCGACCGAGGTGGTAGTAGGAGGCCATCGTCGTCATTGAGGCCTGTTGGTGACTTAGGCAAAGAAGACAGCAAGCACAAAGGAAGAAGGGAGCGAGAGGAGGCCCCCCCAAAGAAGAGAGAGAGGAGCGCAGGTGAGGAGAAAGGACAACGGCCTCCCGGACAGTGGTCTCTGAGGGAGCGGCCGGCAGAGCCCAGCAGACCCCCCAGTGTGGTCCGCCCTCCTGAGCCCCTAGGACCACCACCAGGGTGGAGACCACCACCGTGGTCTGGGTCCCGTTCCAAGGGAACGGTGCGCAGGGAGCGCCAAGAGGACATCCTCAGGTACGGACCGAGTGAAGGTCGAAAAAGGGCAAGAGAGGAGCGGCAGCGCGCATGAGAAGGCGACCTGCTGCAGCCCCAGGCCTTTTGAGGAGGCCTGCATCGATATTGAGGAGGCCTGCAACTGCAGGAGAAGCCGAGGACGTAGAAGAGACAGAAGAGGTGGAAGAGGAAAGAGGAGACGTTGAGGAGCAGTTCAAAAGAGGGGAGTTGATCGACGCCTGTGGGATCGCTCCCGGAAGATATCCCAAAGGGGAGTGGCTGGTGATTCCTGAGGGAGTATATTACCAGCAAAAGATTGCAGCTGCGGCAAAGGTGGATCGTGAGGAGTTTGACGGAGGAGAGAGAGAGCTGAGGTGCCTTTTAACTGGTACCAAGTCAGAGGAGCTTTTGAGGTTTGGCACATCTCATCGCCAGTGTCAAGTACGTCTTCATCTTTGCCAAGCTGGATGCCCTCAGACGAGGGAAAACCCCGACTTGATCCACGTCAGAAAGTTGAGGAGGTTGAAACCCGAGGAGGGCAAATCTTGGGAAGCCAATCTATTGGAAGAAGGGGATACCCTAGTACTACAAGAGGAAGAGGCAGAATGGAGAAGGAAGGAGGACGCCAAGAAGAAACGAGAAGTCATGTCATCGCCTTCAAGGAGCGGCAAGAAGAAGAAAAAGAAAAAGAAGAAGCAGAGAAAGAAGGAAAGAGAGGAGAAGGGAGACCAGGGTTCTCCCGAAAAAGTGAGGATCGGCGGCAAAACAGTAGCAAAGAAGACGCTGAGGGCTCTATACGAGGGCACGGGTCTCGACCCAAAGGCAAGTCGAAGGAAGAAGCTGTCAAAGAAGGTGAGAAGGGCCTTGAAGAAAAACAGAGACTCCACCACTTCGACCAGTTCCTCGAGCACGGGGAGCAGCACCGACCTCAACGAGGATATGCTCTTGGAGGACCGTTCCAAGGTCCATCGCATTGCTCAGTTAGGGCCGGGCCTGCTAGCTGCTCAGAGCGTGGGGCAGATGAAGCAATTCCTGACACAGATCGCCGGCACGGGGTGGGAGCAAGATCAGGGCTCCCTCCCTCCGATCTGTTCTCTGTACAACCGTACATACATGGCAGCCCGGCTGAGTGGAGGAGTGGCCAGAGAGTTCTCCACCCTGGCCTGGGTGGGGGACCTACTTCTTCAAGCCAGGCCATCCGAAGCTCTGGATGCGATTCTTCAGAGGATGAAAAGCATCGAAATGACTTCAGGAGGTACACCGTGGAGTACAGCTCAGAAATTGGAGCTAGTACCACCGCCGGATGCGCAGATAGGGACGAGGCAAGAATACCAAATTGCAAACAAAGAAGCCCGCCTGGACTCAGCGGTCAAAGGAGGCCAAGCGGGAGGAGACAAGGGCAAGAGCAAAGGGAAAGACAAGACTTCGAAAGGGAAAGAAAAAGGCAAAGGCAAAGGCAAGGAGAGCGAGGGCAAGAAGACCTCGTAGAAGATGAAGAGAAAGAGGAGACCCCAGCCTATGAGGTCCCCAGGGGGACACTTGCTGGGAAAGAAAGTAAAGAAGGCAAGGGAGATGAGAGGTCTCCCGTGAGGATGAGGGAAGTTGAAGTGCGGCTAGAGGAGAGAGGATTGTCACTGAGGTGCAAAAAGAAAGAGCGGGGAGAGGAGGAGTCTCCCGTGAGGAGAAAAGAAGAAGGTGAAGCTTCAGCATGGCTGCCCAGAGAAGAAGCGAAGGATGCAAAGAAGTCGATGAGTGAAGGCGCCTTGAAAGTGCAGTTGAGGAGGAGGAGAAAAAAGATTCAGGAGGCTGAGAAGGGGCCAAAGAGTAGCTTGCGTGTGGGGCAAGTGGGCAAGGCGGTAGTCACCAAGAGGGCAAAGAAGAGGCGGTCGTCAAGAACTTCTGAGCAGCGGCGCAGTGAACGGATCTCTGAAGAGGGGAGCGTAGGTGTGCTCCCGGCTGGCCAGTTTCACCAGTTGGAGTCAGCTGCCACTGATTCTAACCTTTTGCCATGTACAGACAACGCACCGGGAGTGGTGTCGGAGGACGATCTAGGCGTAGGTCAGATTGGTCCAGTGAAAACAGTTAGCTTTGATGAAGCGCAGTGTGGTGTGGGATATGGGGACATTTTAAACTGGTTAGATAGTAGGGTGGACGATTTTTTAGGACGGCTCTGCAAGACCTTGACCACGGGCAGGCTTTTTCCTCTGCCCTCGTCCCCCTATGTAGTCAACCAGTTGTTCCCTACTCACTCATATGATGCAAGGGTTTCTTTGAGGTGTGTTTTAAGGTCCCTCAACTCTTTAAACGGGGAAGGGTTGGAGGGACCTAATGTGGCTTCTGAGTATCAAGTGAAGGTTTTGCAGGGCTTGATGGGTGATTGTGAGAGGGCTTCAAAGTGGAAAACGGAGGGCAAAGCCCCCACATGGGAAGAATTCTTCAGGGTAAAGGGAGTAGACTACAGAGGTGAAGAAGTTCTCACCGCACAAGAGATGCGATGGGAAAACGTCTCTCCCGCATTACCTAAAGAAGTGGGCACTGTCCCACTTGAGGATGTTGTGGAATTAGGGTCAAAACACTATGTGCTCCATTTCGAGGACTACCTGTTGGAGCCTGAAGATCAGGTTCCTACTCGGCCCCCTAAAGTAATGGTTCCTCCTGATGGGTGGAGGGAGTTCTGTCAGAACCTTCTTCGGATGGGGGTGTTTTCGATGGTGCATGAGGACGACATCTACCAAGTGGGTGGTCGGCCCTTGTTGAATGGCCTATTTGGGGTTTCCAAAAATGAATTCGACGGGCACATTGAATTGCAGAGAATCATAATGAATTTGATTCCCCTTAACCAAGTGGTGCGAGGATTGGATGGAGACGTAGGCACGTTGCCAGCCTGGGCAGGCATGACTCCCCTGCACTTGCAGCCGCACGAAGACCTCCTAGTTTCTAGCGAGGACGTGCGAGCGTTCTTTTATATATTTAAAGTACCATGTAGTTGGCACAGGTTCCTATGTTTTAATCGTCCTCTACCAGATGATTTAGGGGGAGAACGGCGTGGCAGATGGTATCCCTGCAGCGCTGTTCTCCCGATGGGATTCAAGAATTCAGTTTCTCTTGCACAACATGTGCATAGATTCGTAGTGAAACAAGCTCTTGCCCAAAGTGGCCTGCAAGGCAGCGAAGCTGAATTGCGGAAAGATAGGGCCTTCAGCGTAGCAAACCCCCTCTACCGTATCTATTTGGATAATTTTGATGAACTAGAGAAGGTTTCGAAAGATACGGCCCAGGCAGTTGCAGGCAAAGCCTCAGCGCTGACTTCGAGCCTTCAGGAAACCTATACTGCCATGGGCATCCCCAGGCACCCCAAAAAGGGGGTGTCCAGGCAACCCCTTGCGGAAGTGCAAGGAGCTATGGTAGATGGAACTGTGGGTGTAGCCTATCCTAAAGTGGAAAAGCTACTGCGGTATGCCTACCTGGCCCGGATCCTTCTGGAGGATGGGCGGAGCAGTCAAAAACAAATGCAGATTGTGGGGGGCGGCTTTGTGTATGCCGCAATGTTTAGGCGACCACTGTTGGGTGGCCTGAACCATATTTGGCAGTTTATCGTGTCCTGTACAGGATACCCACCAGTAGTCAAGTTTAAGCTGCCACAAGAGGTGAAGCAGGAGTTGGCGAGATTTCTGGGTCTTCTCCCTTTGGCCTACATGGACTTCCGTTGCCAAGTGTCGCCAGTGGTAACTGCAAGCGACGCCTCTGAATTTGGTGGGGGAGTCACGGCCAGTGATGGGGTTAGTGATTTAGGAGCTGTTGCCAGCGCGTGCGCCGTGAGAGGTGACTTGGTTGAGCCCAGTGAAATCACCAGTGTGCTCACCATTGGTTTGTTTGATGGCATTGCCGCCTTGAGAGTGGCTGCCGATGCCGTAGGGTGGAATGTAGTAGGGCACATTAGTGTAGAGAAGTCACCAGAGGCCAGGAGAGTGGTTGAAAGCCGCTTTCCAGGCGGGATTTTTGTGTCAGACATCACCCTAGTGGATCGGGAAATGGTCCGCGGTTGGGCACAACGTTTTTCTCAAGTTTCACTCATTTTGGTGGGAGCGGGGCCCCCTTGCCAAGGTGTGAGTGGGCTCAACGCCTCCCGGAAAGGAGCATTGCGAGATGAGCGAAGCTCTCTGTTCTCGCACGTGGATCGGGTGCGCGCGCTGGTCAAAGACAGCTTTCCTTGGGCTCAAGTCCTTGGTTTGATGGAAAATGTCGCATCCATGGATAAAGCAGATGAGGACGTCATGTCCTTGTCCTTTGGTAGTAGCCCTTGGTACATAGACGCCTCAAATGTATCTATAGCCCATCGCCCCCGCCTGTACTGGATCGACTGGGAGTTGGTCAGTGCAGACGATGTTTCTTTTGGAAGCACTTCAATTGGACGCCAAAGTGTGTCATTGAAGAGCCTTGTACAGTCAGACAGATTTCTCACCCCAGGCTGGACGAAAGTAGAACCGGGGCCTTTTCCTACCTTTACTACAAGCCGACCCCGGGATGGCCCTGGGTATAAGCCTGCAGGAATTCGTCAGTGTACAGAAGAGGAGCTGGAGAGGTGGAGAAAAGATAGTTTCCGCTTTCCGCCATACCAGTACCAAACTAAGCACTGTGTACAGAACCGCAAAGGCAATCTGAGATTACTGAACATTCAAGAGCGCGAGGTTGCGATGGGGTTTCCAAAAGACTACACCCTGAATTCAGTTCCGAAAGGTGAACAAGGGAGCAAAGCTCACTTGGACACCCGGTTGAGTCTGATTGGGAATTCATGGAACGTCACTGTAGTGGCCTGGCTCCTGTCACAGCTGGGATATGTGCGGGGGTTAAATTCCGCGCTTTCTGTCCAGGACATTGTGGAACGCACAGCGCCGGGGTGTGATAAGGACTTACAGACGTTCCTGCAACGGCCTCCTATGTGTAAACCCGTAGGTGGCAAAGGTCATGAGAAAGCCCTGAAGTTGGTGCACAAACTTTTGACGCTGGTCAGTGTCAAAGGTGAAGACATTGCACTTCAGGCAGCCAGCGATGACCTTGTGAAGTATCACCGGCTCCGAGCCAGTGTCCCAGCAAAGCTGTGGCGCTGGTATACGGCGGCCAGTTGGAAATGGACTGGCGAAAAGGAACATATTAATGTTCTGGAAATGAGAGCTGTTCTAACAGCTTTGCGATGGAGACTGGAACGCCACAAAAAGGTGCATGTGAAATTCGTGCATCTGGTCGATTCACTTGTGGCAATGCATTCGTTGAGCAGAGGTAGATCCAGCTCTAGGAAGTTGAGATGCACGATCCTAAAAATCAATGCCCTTTTACTGGCCACCAAGTCCCAATCGGTATGGGCCTATGTCCATACCAAAGACAATCCAGCGGATGCGCCTAGTCGGCGCCCGCAGAAGCGCAAGTGGAAGTGATGCCAAAGCGCCACTTGGAAGGACATACTGTCGGTGAAAGGGCAAAGATTAGAAAGTCGTTGGGATCACTCAAAAGTCTCACTGTACAGCCAGTCACAAGGGAGAGGTATGAGAAAGCCCGAACAGATTTTTATTCGTGGCTCCGGCAGGAAAAACTTGCAATTCCTTCCTCTTCCTACCAGTTGGATTTGATTGTCTCAGATTACTTGGAGGCCCTATGGGCAGCTGGCAAAGGTAGAACTGAGGGATCTAATATTTTAGCAGCTCTTCAAGATGCACAACCACATCTCAAAGGGCAGTTGAAACTGAGTTGGCGCCTGATGAAAACGTGGGTTACAAATGAAATCCCAAATCGGGCACCTCCATTGTCTTTAGATGCCTTACATCTACTGGTAGGTTATGCTCTTTTTAAGCAGATGAACCTGTTTGCTTTAAGCTTGTTGGTTGGTTTTCATGGGCTTCTCCGAACTGGAGAATTGCTGCAATTAGAAGCCCGTCATGTGGCGATTTCGCAGGCTAAAGGACCTGCTGTCCTTTCATTGGGCCTTACAAAGGGCGGCAAGCGCCATGGCGCTGCAGAAAGTGTCACTATCCATGCTGAGGACGTATGTCGTCGGCTCTTCCAGTGGAAGCAAATGGTTAGACCATCGTCTTCCCTGACGGGGACTTCCCACAAATGGAGAAAAACATTTTCCGAAGTTCTCCAGGCAGTAGGGCTCAGTAAATTTGATTTTCGCCCTTATTCTCTTCGAAGAGGAGGTGCAACCAATCACTTTCAAATTCATGGGAGATTTGACGCACTTTTGGTGCTTGGTAGGTGGCATGCAGCTTCTACTGCTCGTGTATATATCAATGAAGGACTTGCAGTCCTCTCCAATATTTCGTTGCCGTGGAACAAGTTCACCCGTAATCTCAGAAGCCAGTATCTCAGTAGTCTCACAAAACCTTTAGCAAAGCTTGAGCTTACGAAGATCCCTTCGCAGAATAGGGGACGTTGGAAGAAAGGAGCAAAAAAGAGACACAGGGGGTTTGTGTCAATCAATGGGTGGAGGTCTCCAGCTGTCTCAGGGTTTGGCCGGGCACTGGAGTGACCCATATATACCTAGGGCAAGGTTAACCTTGGGTTTGGCCGGGTTTTCCTTGGGGTATATAATGGACTTGGGTGTCCTATCTTAAGCTCCTGGGGAGGTGTGTGGAATTTCAAGAGATTTAATGTCTCTTTTGTTGACAACTTTGGTCTTGCAGAGCGGTGCTAAAAAACGGCGGCCCTTTGAATCTTTGGAGTAACGCCCCCGTGTTTAAAGATGAAAAGGCCTAAGGTTTTTACACCCATAGCTTTGGCTCAGCTTCCCTTCCCCCCCTCCCCAGAAAGGAGCAAAAAAGAGACACAGGGGGTTTGTGTCAATCAATGGGTGGAGGTCTCCAGCTGTCTCAGGGTTTGGCCGGGCACTGGAGTGACCCATATATACCTAGGGCAAGGTTAACCTTGGGTTTGGCCGGGTTTTCCTTGGGGTATATAATGGACTTGGGTGTCCTATCCTAAGCTCCTGGGGAGGTGTGTGGAATTTCAAGAGATTTAATGTCTCTTTTGTTGACAACTTTGGTCTTGCAGAGCGGTGCTAAAAAACGGCGGCCCTTTGAATCTTTATATATATATATACGCGCAACGCCTGGGCTGGGCTTTGCCCCAGGGTTGCAGCGTAGAGGGTTCCCATTCCCAATCAAATGTTGTTGCAACTTTACACTCAATTGGGAAGATCAACAAAGGTATTAGGGAATATTAAAATCCCAACCCCGGTAAACTTTACATTCAATTGGGAAGATCAACAAAGGTATGATGATGTTGCTGATGATGATGATGCTGATGATGCTGCTGATGATGATGATGATGATGATGATGCGTTGCCCGTAGTCGTTGCGGTTCGGGGCAAAGCCCAGGCATTTGCCGTATATATATATATATAGAGTAATTGTATAACCATATTGCATATTTATAATCAAACAATGTTTCGTCCAAACATGGGGGACAATTAGCAGCCACGTATTGAATGGATAGCTGCAGCATTTTCCTACCCGACTCGTCTTTGTCGCAATGGTTCAGAACCTCAGGTCCTATGACTTTCCGAAGCCATCAATTGGGACATTGCCTTGGCGTGAGGAGTACCAGAAGACGGGGGACTTTAAAAAGGTTGTGAGCACTGTGGAGAAGATGGATGACTACGACATGATGATTTCAGGCGGGAGTAAACTGAGTAAACGTCACGAAGCCATCCCGAGGACTTGCCGGTTAAATGGCGCTCGTATAACTAGAAGTACCCCAGGAACTACCATCCCCCAAATTAACATATATAGATCCCGAAAACAATTTTTAACTAGTTTTCCAAACGACTGGGAAGGTATCCCCAAGTGCAGATTTTGTTGTTGAGTTTACCAGATACCGAAAGGTTGGTGATACAAGACTGCTAAGAAGTCTTCATCGGGACCTTTTTTCAATCCAAGGGACAGATTAAGAAGAGTAGGAAAAAAGAGATCAACACTATTTTCATGTCAACGCCCCCAAATAAACAGCCTGTCAGGGTTTATGATTTTCCAGGCTTGACAATATTTTGACTGTTAAGGAAAATGATATGTTTTTGGAAAACTATTACATAGAACTAACCCCATTTATGATTATAACCAAGGATTAAACAGCCATAACAGCCGTGGATTTTAAGGCCCATCTCCTTTCATTTTTCGCAGGCCGTGTGCTCCAGGAGATTTTGGTGCAGGCTGGATCTTAAGACCCGGCGATGAAAATGGCATACCGAAACCTGACCGTTGAGGCGATTTTCGATATCCGAAGTATACAATAAGTAAACCACTAGTAGTGGATTATCCCATCAATATATTCCAGTAATATTCCAGTAGCCTCTGGTAAACTAACATAGCATACTGGAAAATCACCATGCTATCTAGCTGGGTAAATCCACTATTTCTATGGCCATTTTCAATAGCTATGTACCAAATTACCAGAGGGTAAACCACTGATGTTTTTCCTTGGCGAAAGACCAGGGTCAGCAGTGCTGGTTTGACTGGGTTCGTTTTTTTTTTGGGCCATTCTCGAGGAATTGGGTTGGTGGACCCTTCAGCCGCAAACTCCAAAGTCTCAGGGGGTGAGATGCTCCAAGTTCCAGGCTTCTACCACTACTTCCAACAGAGATTCCTTGCTATGAGCGGCGAATGTCTACCCTAGTCCAAAACGTATCTGCAAGCTTTTTGCTCCTTCTATTCCCCATCTTATGGTGTGTGACATTCCCCATTTTTTGCACTTTACTTCGGTCCCTGCAAAGATAGAGAAAGTGATGTCCCTCCATTTTGATGATGATTTACTTGCGATTACTATCGTTCTGGGAACAAGGAAACCCATAGTCCGCCCTGGTTTCCCAGTGATTGGTTTGTTTCATGTTTTTACCCTCAAAAGCCAACCTGGCCCAGCCTGTTATAGTGATATATCATATATATATATCTATATTTATATATATATATATATCAGTTGACACAACTAGACTTCTCCTCCATAGGCAAGCGCAACCAGGCAGGCTTGGCGGAGGCGCATCATCGCCTGCGAACCTTCAAAAACTCGGTTTCCTCGGAGGTGCAAGGCGTCACCAACACGGAGGACCGGGGATGGGGGATGACATTGGAGGTAAGGCAAGAAGACAATCCTGTGGTAAAGGCTGCCATTTTAACCATAAACTGGGATGGTCTTGAAAAACTCATTAGCCCAGAAAAATGGATGGTGATGACTGGGGGAGTTGATGATTGGGAAGTCTCCGGTTTGCCTCAAGGACTCCTCGGTGGTGAGCTTCATTGGCACCTTTGAGCGCCTCGGCGAAGTGTGAAGCCATGGAGGGCCCCAGCTGTTGGAGTTTGGATCTTGGGATGATGTGGGATGATGTGGGTTAGTTGGTTGAACAAATTCACCAGATTTAAGATCACATTTTCTCATCCGCGGTTAAACCGCGGCTTTGAGTGGAAAGCCATAAAATCGTATCCTTTTCTTTGTGCCCAATTTTCTGCATGGTTTTGGCTAAGGAAACTGGTCCAGAAGGGAATCAAACCAGCCGATATTCGCGAGGCGAGGCATCACTTTCTGGCTGGGAAATCAACAAACATCACTCCAAAAGATAGAAGAACTTGGTAAAATCCTACTAACATAGGAAGGTAAGTTCTCAACAGCAGTGACGGTTGGGTTTTATTCTCTTAGTCAGGGAGGGGTGTGTCGTTTGCAGCAAAAAGACTAAGAAAGTCGTAACATTGGAACCTGGAAGCTGCTGTTGGGTTGGAACCGCTGGCTTAACTCGATCCTTTTTTTTTTTGGGGGTTACTATTACAAACATTTACAAATGGGTCACTTTCCAGCCAGCCATGTTTGACTTTTGATTCCGGCCATAGCTGCGTCAAGTCCTTAAGTCCAACTGGGTGACCAGCCCCCAATCACCCTGACGTTGGGTTTGTCTGACAATGGGGACCTTCAAATGGCTATGGAAGCTGGGAAAATGATGAAGCAGTGAATGGAATGGGTTGGTCAACACCAAAATGGGCTGGTGAAAAACCAGTATAGCTATGGCTGGGCCCACAGGTCCATGTTTGACCCACAGGAACTGATCCCGCGTGATCATGGCAATGGGGCAGAAAAAACGATGATACGAATGGTCTCCACGATGAAAAACATGTTTCTATCGATTTTCATTCCACCATTTGCTGCCTACACACTCCTATTTACAGCTAGGTGAAGTGTTCGCTTCACCCTCGATGTTGCGTGATTGCCATCCCTTGGTAAAAGAACTCAGTGGTGAGTCGAATCCTGGCTGGAAAAATAGCATGTTTTGCCAAGATAAGTTACATCCCATCCCAGTCCCATCCCTTGTTCCTGAACATCTACCGTTGTAAGCCCGATTTTGCGGCTCTCTCATCAAGGAGTCCATCCCAATTTCTCATTGGTCAGGGGTTAGTTTGTACGTCCTGTTTGGGGGATTTGTTTCGCATCGCTTTCAGTGGAACTTGTTGGAGATGATATACCCTTTTTAGTTGGCTGATGTGATAAATGTCGAACATGGACAATTCCCCATTTACAGATATCCTCTTATGAATGCCTGCAATTTTTCGGGATTTCCTAGCAAGCAATGTTTGATTGGCGGAGGGATGCGGAGGGTATATAAGTCCTACTTTTTGATGGACATTTACTTCATCCTGATTCTTATTCTCCCATACAAAAAAATACATTTTCATGATATCTTCGTTACAGTACATCCCCATTACCCTCCAGTAAATTAACATAGACCCTGAAAATCACCAATTTATAATGGAAACTAGTCTTCCAACCCCGACAACTGCCAGGGTCTATGTTAATTTACCAGAGGGTAATATCCCCATCAAAAATCTATGCTTTCTATGGTTAAGCTCCAATTTTTAAAAGCCCAACTTTCGCCAGGCCATCATCCAGCAGAAGATCGAGCTGGTCTTGACCGCGCATCCCACGGAAGCGCAACGTCGTAGTGCCCTGAAGAAGCACGAGCAGATGCTGCAGCAGATGAAGGCCCCCATTTTTTCATGGGATGATCTAAGATGGGGTTTTTCCCATGGCAAAAAATGGGGTAATACCTGTATAACCCATATGGGCATGGATCAATACCTATTAATACCACTTTTAGGGGATGAACATCCATTTACCAGCTATTTTGGGGTTCACTAGGTACCAGGGTTTTGACCCATCCCCATATCAGCGCCTATTCTCATGGGGAACAATTGAGCAGTGACCAAAACCCCCGTTGATTGATTATAATAGGGAGTTCTGCTGGATAATGGTGGAAGATATATAGATGAAAACATTCATAGATAAAACATATCTCCATCATGGTCCATGGTGTAGATCATGGCAATCATGATTTCATTATTTGTACAATGGACATTATTTTGATCCATGTTTTGAGACTCGCGCCAGGTGCACGATGCCAAAGATCAGCTCACCCCGGGACAGCTGGCCGGCCTCTACGACAAGATCAAGGCCAGGGGATGAAGCGATTTCACAAAAACGGCGGAATTCATCCGGAGATTTACCCTCTGGTTATTTAACATAGCCATGGAAAATCACTATTTTTTATAGGTAAACCATCTATAAATGGGCTATTTTCCATGAGCCATAAAATTCTACAAAAAAGCGAACTTTCATTTAGCACCGCAAATGGTGACACTGATGTAGCATTTTTTTCGCAGACCGGTAGCCTATGCAACCCAAGTGTTTCTCTCGACCCCTTCTCCAAGAGTAGATTTCTTGTTTGGAGCACGGAATTTCTTGCGGCAGTGGACATGTTTCGCATCCATTTGGAGCTGTTTTTGAGTGACCTCCGTCAATACATGTGGGTCTTATATATATATACAATTATATATAATTTGTTCAGTATGTTAACAATAATAGTAACAATAATAACACCAACATCTAATAATAGTAATATAGTATGAATCATTTTTTTTATCAGTAACAATAATAGTTCAAAAGTAACATAATATAGTAATAACAGTAAACATGGTACTTAAATCATCATTTCATAGCACTCCAATGAGCCGCTCCAAGCCATTGAATCATTGGAGGCCATCCAGTGGAGTTGCTGGCGCACCAACACCGTGCGCCGCACGCGCCCCACCCCGGAAGGCGCGACGAACGTTCGCGACGTGGTGAGCCATGGAGCCATGGGTTTTCCCATGAAATCTGGGGCTTTGGGGAAAAAACATCTGACCAATCCATTGAGTGGCTGCTAAACCGCTTGAGTTTGGGGATGATACGAAAACCTTTGTATAATGGGGACTATGACAATTGATGGGCAATCCCGTTCTCAACCAGTCGGCTATCCTCAGGTGAGGCCCGCAACGGCATGTTGGTCATTGAGGACTGCTGGGGGTATTTTGAATTGGCAATAACGAGAATGAATGGAGAAGTTCAATGGCTGACTCCTTTGAGATCTTATATAAATACATAGTAGTAACAATGATAATTATTCATGATCACAAGGATACTACTACTACTACTACTACGACGACGACGACGACTACTACTACTACTACTAATACTATTAATACTGATGCCAATACTACTAGTACTACCAATACTAATCATTTTACTAACCAAGATTCCATTTCTCATTCCATAGTGGTATCACAATTTCCAAATTGGAGCAATGCCGTGAGGCTCCCAGGATGAGACTCACCAGCCCTCAGGGTTTCCAACCTGTCAGTTGGGGAGAGGCGAAATCACCATGTTCTGGTCATCAAATCCCGATTTTTGCCGGTTAATAACAATTCATAACCATTTATAACAACCAAGAATCATGAATCATGATTAAAATCTCATTGAGAATCCATCAACATCCCATTAAAACCGCTATGTTTTCTGACATGAAACGTCCGGATCTAGTTTTTTTTCACGATCGCAGGGCCGGCCCGGGATCCCAAAAGGCAAAGCATAACTCGGCCATGGTGAAATGTATCAGGTGGATGGAATCCAGTACTACTATGGCATGGATATATTGTGGCATTTATATGATTTTATATGCATGACTATCATGATCAATGATATTGCTATTTAATTGCTATTTTAAATCCATCAAAGTGTGATCTATATGATCTATTTGATTGGTTTTGAGACCCGTTTTTGCATGATGAAACTCTCCACCAAGCAGCCAGTAGAAACCATCCAAAGATTTCTTGGTGCATTCCAAGGCTTCTCCAAAATCCCACAGATTTTGGTGGTCAATCTCCAAAGTCTGCAGAATCTCACCTTTTGACCTAATGTTGGCAGCAATTTTTGCTGCTGAAAACATCCCAAGTTTCTGGCCAGAAATCCACCCTGTAGAGATCCTCAGATCCCCCCCGGTTTCGACAAAGGCTCTTAGCGGGTCCACCGCAGGAGACGGTGTGGAAGGCCGTTCCGGAGCACTACCGACGCCTGGACCGATGCCTGACCCGCATCGGCGCCTCACCCCTGCCCTTCGATGTCCGGGATGCCCAGTGTGGGATGGGTGCCATGGGGGGTTTCCAGGTCCATCAGGGGTACCCCAAAATGGCTGGCTGGTTTACAGTGGAAAATCCGAAAATAAAATGGATGATTTAGGGGTCTCACCACTTGAGGAAACCCCCATGTGGAACCATCCCTAATTTTGTTTTGGGTACCCTCCGGCAATCAAACATGGCATGGGAAATGCCCAAAGTAAATGGAGGTTTTCATCGAACTAAATGGGACATTTTTCCAGCAAACCATGTTTGATTGCTGGAGGGTATCTCTGTTTTCTTGAGGTATCCCCAAATGGTTTGAGATGTGCATAGAACAGGTGACATGGAGCATCTTGCAATTTCCAAGTAATTTTGGGGTCTAGAGACTTAGAGACTTGATTTTTCGTCATTTTGAATTCTGACCTCATGTTCAGGTGCACCCCTTAAAATGACCAGTCCGGAACAGGTCCACCTGGCCAAAAAACTTTTGGACCCAAAACCATTTGTACTTAGTGCCCATCATTTCTGGTCTACAGTTTTGTCTGTCCCCTGATTGCTGGCAAGGATTCCATGCCCGACGTGCAGTTTCCAACTTTTTGCTGGCATATCTGTTTTTTTCCTGCTGGTTATATCAGCTCCAGTATATCACTGTAGCTTCGAAATTTCCATTTCTTGACCTACATGTCAGTCATTTCTATCCCCATCCATACCCTCTGGTAAACTAACATAGACCATGAAAATCGCCAATTTTTAGAGGAAGCATTCATCTTCCAACCCCGACAACTACCAGGGTCTATGTTAATTTACTGGAGGGTACTTGGTGGCTCATCCCACTTAGCAAGTGGGTTATAACCCCAGTGATTTACATGGGATAAGTAGGGTTAATCCACTAACTGGGGTTATAACCCACTTACTAAGTGGGATGAACCACCAAGTATATATATATATATACGATATATATATATACGATATATATATATATATACGATATATATATATATATATATTTGCCATCTCCAAACAAGACAGCCTTGGGAACCAGCGCTCCAGGCCTCCATCTTGAAGATGAGCAGTTGGATGGGTGGAGACCGCGATGGTAATCCCAACGTCACCTGGGAGGTGACCAAGAAGGTACGGGACGACCCATGGGAGGTTTTTTTGGTGGTGAAAAGGTAGGGGGTCTCCCAACAAAAAGATGAAAAATTCAACAGTGGAAACTGAAGATGTATGAATTTTGATGAATAGTCAGAGGTTGCCATCTATTTTGGAGCTGCTATAAATCGTAGCCAGCTAGAAGGAAAGTGTAGGAAATCTTTGGCGAAAGATGGGGGTTTCCGTTTCTGATAGGTCCATCGAATCTTGGGGTGACCACTTTTTTTAATGGAAAAAACGGGACTCATCTGGTGCAATCAGCGTGGGATAGCCACCAGCCGCCATTTTACCAGTGCAATGAGACTGGGAAAATATTGGACATCATGTCTAGGAACCCCCCAGTTGGAGATCGAAAAGTACCAAGAAAATGGTCACTAAAATGGTGGATTTATCACCATTACATCCTTTTTTGTTGGGGGTTACCGTGTTATCATAAGCCAACAGGTGGGATATTTTTTCCTATGGCTTTTCCAAAAAATGGGAAAAGCCAGGTGGTGACGCTGCTGCGCTGGCGCGTGGTGGAGTTGTACTACCGCGAGGTGGATGAGTTGCTGTACGAGCTCAGTGACCTGGTGGGTGGATGGATGGATCGATGGATGATCTCAAGGGGACATGGATGGACATGGATGGAGGATCTAAAGATAGGACCAGTCAGCTTTCTGTTGGGAAATCTAGTAGGACTTGTGCGAGATTGATCAATTAGTAGATGATTAGTAGATGATACTGACTGACGTTATTTTTCATGTTCAAAGACCAACTGATGATACTAACTGATGCTATTTTTTCCAAATACCAAAGTTTTTTTGTCCACACATTGGTATGGAAAGAACCCACCTGGACAAGATGAGGGGATGGGGATGGGAACCTCGAGCCTTGGGATGGGTTCATTTTGTCCAGCGTTTATATAACTCTTCAAGCTGTGGGTATAGCAACGCCCAAAAAGATAGAAAAATGTAAGGCTACTGAGATATATAGTGATAAGTGTTTTTTTATCTCTTTTTTCAGGGAATATCATGATCGTTTTTGACCCATATATAGATCTTGATAGGATCCAGTCTCACCCCTACCCACACCTGCGTGTTCTAAGGTATGGATGGGGAAGTCAACGAGGAAATGAGGGCCGAGGCAAGGGTGGGGCTTCAACCATGGACATGTTGGAATAACCAGAGAACATGGAGATTCATTCACATTTTGGTGCTAACCCAACCACCATGGGTCGTTTTTGATGGATGGCTACATTTTTTTTGTGGCCTCGTGTGGCCGCCGGCCAATGAATCGTTTCGGATGATTGCCTCGGGATCTCGTTTGCTGTTCGTTCGATGTAAAGTTTGAGGATTCAACATGCCACATTTGAGTCTGAGAAACTGGTGAAATGTATACAGCAGCCGCCCCATCGATACTGGCTCATCCATTGGGCATTGACAGAATCCAGGCTTAACATCGTAAACGGAGATCCCCAGTATCATATACAGTACATGAACATAAGGCTAGGTAGAAACCCAAACATGACATGCAAATGACTCAACAACAATAGATACAGATACAGATGCATGTCACAATATCGGTACAATTATGATGTACATGTGTCTGTATTTAGTCCATTCATGGCTGGTACACATTATTATTATGGCAACAATCTTAATAGTACATGTAGCTCTCTACAATATTTGTAGATCTGATATACTATAGATGGTTAAATAAATATATGATCTAAATTATTTATATGATATAAATTTCTAGATTTCTAGCAGGAATAGTATTTTTTTGTAGATCTCTATATGCTTCCGGCTTCCCTGTCTGTCCCGGCAGGTGGAAGCCGTGAGCTCCATGTGGACTGCCTCTGCACCAGGCTCCAAGGTCTGTAAACCCGACGCCCGCAGCGGAGTGCACTGGAACTTCCACACCGGCGTGGCCGAGGACCAAATTCACAACGGAATTGGAGAAAAACTCCACTTGAAAGTGGATGGAAACACCACTTGAAACTGGAACATTTATAATTTTTGCTGGGCAATTTTCTGGCGAATGAGTGCTGTTTTTTGGTTTGGGAAAGCTGTTGGGGATGGATTTTTGTTTGTTTCTGGGGAATTACGGAAGATGGGGATTTGGGTGAACATTGGGATTTCTCGCAACCTGGGTATCAGATTGAAGCAGTACCTACAGTAAGAACCATCCGGGGTAGGATAATCGCATAGCTACACTCATTGCTAGAAATATCAGAACATGAGGTATGGTAACTGGTAACCCATTTTTGAAACTACTGATAAATTCGGGCATTAGGGCAAGAAGAAGTTGCACTCCCCTGAGACATACTCCCCACTGGAAAGGGAAGGTAGCCATTTTTTATTGTTGCAATCCCCACTTTTGGATGGTCAAGGCCCAAGATCTGTAAAGGAATTTCCATGATGAACATGTAAACATTCATGTTAACATCCAATAGTAGCTAAGACCCGAGCTCTTGAATTGACATCCGAGCTCTTCATTGAGTTACACTTCCCTACAATTTGGGGCCCCCCAGTTATAAATTTGTTTATAAACTCCATTAACTATAGTTATAAGTACCATAAACCATAGTTATTGGAGTTATAAACCTAACACTTCCCATTTCGGCCATGCCGACGTCCACGTGGAGGACGAGCCTTACCGCCGTTTGCTCATGGCCATCCGTCGCCGATGCTGGCGTACCAAGGTCTCCATGGAGGTGTGGAACGTCGAACGTCGAAATGGGAAGGGTGAAATGAAACGGTGGTCATAGGGAGAAAGTTAGATAGTGATATAGTGTTATATGTAGTGTTATATATAGTGTTCTATATAGTGTTTGATATAGATTGATATAGATTGATATAGATTGATATAGATTGATATAGATTGATGTAGATTGATATAGTGTTATAGTGACATAATGATAAAGGGATTTCACCATAGTCATAGCAATATCCACTATATGGTCATGGGTTTCATGGAGTGCAAAGGATGGTGATTTTTGGGATATTTTGAATGGGATTTTGGATGGGGATTTTGGATGTGTTGGGAATTGGAATGGGAAGTGGTTAAATAAACATGTGGTCGGGGAGATGTTTCTATGAAGAACGGGCACTATACAATGTTCATATGGAACAGCAAGCATATCATCATAAGTATGGTGATCATCATAAATATGTTCAGAAGTAGGAATTGGTGTGATTTCCCATCATGACAACCACCATACATGACGAGAACCCAGCCAAAACGATGGCAATGAGGTTTAAACCACAAAAACAGCAGACGTGAGAAGTTTGGACACTCCACCCAGGTCTTCATTCATCTTGCTAGATTGAGATCATTTATTGAATATCATTATTGAATATACTTAGATTGTCACTATATTTATGTGGATTCATCTCAAATGGATTGGTTGGTTTTGGTGGGTTTTTTTCGGTGAGCCACCAGAGATCGCAGGCCCTGTACATGGGCAAGCAGAACGATCCGGATTTCGAGAAGGAGGTTCTGACCTCCTCCGAGGCGTGGGATCTGCTGTTGATGTCAGTGACTCACTGCTTGGTTTATGAAAATAGACGGCTCCCAACAGGGAGATGACCATAAATCAAACAAACCACACTATGTTTTGTTTAAAAGGACGATATTGGTGTACCAAAATTTTGGATGCCCTGAAATTTGAGCCAATCTCTCAATATCCATCTGTGAACCTCACTTCGAGCAAGACCAAGCAAGACTGCAAGTCAGCGCGTGCCCTAAAGGGCACCAGGACACACTGAAACGCTCTCTGAAAGAGCATCCATTCCTTGTTTCTTCTTTTAATAGACAGTACGGGACATAATCTCAGATTTGTGGCAATGGCTCCTCTAAAAAAAAGGATTAATGTGGGTCAAAAAAAATCATAAACGCACCATCCCCCTGTCATCACCAGGTTTTTTTCGGTGGTAGTTTCACCATTCCCAGTCATGGCTGGTTTATGGCCTTGTTTTACCCACATTACTAAAATATTGATGACTATCATGGTTACCAAACATGGTGGTTTAATAATGATTGACGATCGAAAATCCCACTGTTTTTTTGGATGTTTTTTTATACTAGACCCCCTTTAAACAAAATATGGTGAACAATATAGTGTATTACTACTATATATATATATCATCCCATGTGTTCCATATGTTTATATTACCATATATCATCCCATATGTTTTTTTTGGGTGGTAAACATGGCCTTGTTTTCACCACAAAAGAACCCAGTTGGATGGGCCATGACAGGAGTTGGCTCGTCCTCTGGAAATCATGTACCGTTCCCCGTTGGCAGACGGGTGGGCGCGCGTGTTGGGCGCGCCTTGGGTGTGGAAAAGCCCCAAAGGTTTATCAAACATGACCATTTATAGTGGATTTTCCCATTGATAGCATGCTGATTTTCCATAGTTATGTTAGTTTATGAAAAATATCTCCAATGACTTACCAGAAGTTGATGGCGTTTTCAGAAACCATCTAGGGATCCTGTGGAGGTTCCAACCTTTTGGGACAATGTCCCTTGATATTCATTCATCAAGTCATAAGAATCCCCAACAAAAATAGGAAATATCTCCCCCCTTCCCTATTTCCACCACATTCCACCACCCCAAAATGGCTTTTTCCCAACCTCCCAGCAGCCCCAGCAGCCACAGCCGCCGCCGAGGCTCGTTGATTGAGCAGGGCGACGAGATCGTGGCCAATGGACGCTTGCTGGACCTGATCCGCCGCGTTCGCACCTTCGGCATCAGCCCCTCGGTGGGGAAGGGTCGGGGGAACGGGGGGAACGGTGGGAACGGTGGTGGTTCGGTGGTGGTTCGGAGGTGGTTCGGAGGTGGGTTGGAAGGGTTGGGGTTGAGTTCTTTATGGGATGATTTGAGCACCTCAAACTAGCCAGGAGATCAGGTGGTTGCACTCTTGCACCCCATTTCAAAATGAGATCCGAAAAAAGATAGGCCCGCCTTAAAAATCCACAAACATCAGCAAATCATCTTCCAAAACCACCCAAGAATGACTTGTCCAGGACTCTTCCATCACCATCTTGAAATTGCCAGCACCTTTTGACCACTGAGGCATGGCATGCCTGGATGTGCGTCAGGAATCCGATCGTCACTCGGAGGTCCGGGCCCCTTTTTTGGCCCCTTTTTTGGGGCAAAAAACCTATAGATCTTCTAGTGGAAAAAAACAGGCTACCCTCCGGTAAACTAACATAGCTATTGAAAATGGCAATTTATAGTTGATTTTCCCATTGAAAATGGTGATTTTCCATAGCTATGTTAGTTTACCAGAGGGTAGACTGCTGGATGATGCTGTTTCCAAGACGACCCGACGAATGGCTGAGACTCGGATGAACTCGTCGGCTTCCTGCGAAGCCAGTGGAACTTGGACTTTTTTTCCTTGCGGTAAAACTCACAGGTCATGGACACCTTGACCAGCTTCTTGGGTCTCGGAAAGTTCACCGTCCCCGGGCGGCACCGTTGTTTTGGGCCTTTTTTTTTGAGATGAACATAGTGTGACTTCATCGGAAGATGGTGAAGATGGTGAAGATGGTGAAAAAGGGGACTAGCTCTGACTTCCTGTGAGTGTGTGAAAAATATCTGACATGAAGCTTTTATGAAACAAAAATGCTGAAGCTCGTGACCCACAGGATTCTTGTTGTGATACACGGCAGTCCTGAGCCTCACCGGGGTCCAAGGAATGGACTGAGCAGGAGCGATGCGACTGGCTGGTGAAGGACCGATCCATGGATGGCTGAGAGGAAGCAGAGATATGGAATCAACATGGAAATTTCCATGGGAAAAGCAATTTATAAAGTGGTAATGTTCATTGGGGAAATTATGATCAACCACTTGACTGGAATTGTTTGCTGTATCCCTACTATGCCCTGTTTCAGTTGAGATTCATTGAATTGTTGGCGAATATCACCATATTCCGTCAATTGTTGATCCCTATCAAAACATATCTCAATTTTGAGTGCTATCACACAAACAAATCCACTTTTTGAGTAAAGTCAAAGACTAGTTACAACACGCAGCCTGTACTTTGATAACTCACCTGATTTAGCACATGAAATCGCAGGAGATCGAGTCCAAGCGCCCCTTGCTGGCACCGGACATGCCCATGAGCGACATCGTGAAGGAAATCCTGGACACCTACAAGGCCGGTTGATACAGCTGGGGGTCTCAAGTGCCTAAGCTATAACCGTATTGACCATTTGGTTATGACTAACATCGCCACATTGCTCTGCGTTATCACTGCCCTCATTTTAGGACGGCTTAAGTTCCTTAAAACAGCCATCCCTAAAGATGGGTAAATACTATAAGTGATCACTTAAATGTGTATGATGGTAGATATTTATCTAAGCTGGTCATATTTAGCACTTAGCCAGAAGCCCCACATATGGTAGCTCCCGAAAAGATAGAACAGTAATGTACCGATTTTAGTAGGATTTTACCTTTCTATCTGTTTAGTAGAATTTTACCTTTCTATCTATTTTACCCAACTGTTAGTTTACTAAAAATGCTGGTTTTTCCATTTAGCAATCAGACATCCTGTAAATATTTCTGGGTCGTACTATGGTTGGTTTGGGTTGGCCGAGTCCTCGTCATATGATTTTGAGCCATTCAGCTGAAAGATAAAAAAGTAATCTTACCACTATTTTTTCGTAGGATAACTTGCTCAGTTCCATATTTCTTTTGGGTTGCCAAAAACATCTAATATTTGTTTGTCAATTATTGTTGGTCATGATTCACCCAAAGAACGTATCTGAGGGATCACGGCAGCAGCGCAGATCATGATTACCAAAAATCCCGTGGAAAAATAGTGTTTATTATTATTTTTTGGGGTTTACCATTTGATATTCTTCACCATTATAAACATATGGGATGAGATATAGTAATATAATATATTGTTCACCACATTTTTTAAAGGGGTTTAGTATAAAAATCAGCCAAAAAAACAGTGGGATTTTCGATAGTCAATCATTATTAAACCACCATTTTTAGTAACCATGATAGTCATCAATATTTTAGTAATGTGGGTACAGTAAAACAAGGGCATAAAACAGCCATGACTGGAAATGGTAAACATACCACCTATAAACATGGTTATGACTGGGGGATGTTGCAAACGACATTGTTTGACCCACATTAGATTAATCATCCACTAGATTGATAAGTTTCCACTAGTTCATGGGGTCTACAAACTAACTTATGGGTGGGTTTTACCCCATCCTGTAGTAAAATAATGGGATTTTTGATAGTCAATCATTATTAAAGCACCAATTTTAGTCACCAGTATACCCTCTGGTGAACTAACATAGCAATGGAAAATCACCATTTCTAATGGGAAAATCCACTATAAATGGCCATTTTCAATAGCTACGTTAAATTACCAGAGGGTAGTCATCAATATTTTAGTCATGTGGGTAAAAAAAAAACATAAAACAGCCATGATTGGAAATGGTTTCTACATACCACATATATTTTTCTGGTGATGACTGGGGGATGCTTTAACTATTGTTTTCCCCACATTCATGTGATAAAAAAAGGACCATCATCATCTATAATGTGACCATAATAATCCCAATATAATCCCAATAATCCAAACATGATCCAAATATAATCATTATATATATATTAATATATAATCAAATACCATCATTATGTAAGCATTAATCATTAACCAATGGAGATTTCCTATTCTTAATCTTGACCCACGAATTGCCCAGCGATCGATCTCGGCAGATCATCGCCGAGTTGCCCAGCGAAGCCTTGGGCGCCTACGTCATCTCCATGTCGCGCGTGCCTGGGCGATGGAAAGCCGTGGGGCCGTGGGGAAAGCCGTGGGAAAATTGGGGGAGAACTTTCCACCAAGGTGGAAACAATCATGGTTTTTTTTGTTTTTTAAATCAACTAAAGTTACAGGTCTTGGGTTCCTCAATGCTCAGAATTCTAAATTGGGGGGGTTGAATTCATGGTCTTTTTGCATCCATTTTTGTTGCGTGAGTTTCGGAGTAAATAGTTCTATACTTTGAAACCAAGTCCTGGAGAAACACACCAGGCGAACATGTTGAAATGATGGGATTGGTTTAGCCCATGATCGCATCATGCAGGCTCTCACCTACTTCTGGGATGCACACTATATCCCATTTCTATGCAATCCAAACAGAAATTAGCAACATTCAGATGTTTTTCCCGCAGTATCAACGCATCTGACGAAAAATCAGCCCAAAATGGTGTTAAAGATGTTTTTTGTGTTTGTTTTTGTGGTTATTTTGATATATTCTACATCGTCTATATAGTTTTTCTGAAAATAGGGTATACCCCCAATGAAATAGCCATTTAATAGTGATAATGATCAGCAAAACCATTGAGTGTAGGGGTACACTATTTTCAGACAAACCCATATAGTTTTTCTAGTACCCTCTGGTAATTTGTTACATAGCTATCGAAAATTGCCATTGAAATAGTGAGTTTTCCCATTAAAAATGATGATTTTCCATAGCTATGTTAGTCATTACCAGAGGGTATCACCAGTCAATAGCCACCATTTTGGGCCGCAAAACCGCCGAGGCCACCTCTGACATCTTGACCGTGTGCTTGCTGCAGAAGGTTGGAGGTGGGAGCGAAAATGGATGACATGGAGATCTGAAACAACTGGAACTGGAGAAAACTGGAGAAAACTGGGGAAAACTGGAGAAAACTGGAGATCTGAAACCACCCAGCAACTGCAAACTCGAAGTTCAACAGCTGCATCCCGTTCGACTCTTCTTGAACCATGCCCTGTTTGCCTCGTGCCGAGGGACCCGTGGCCATCACCGCCAGGCGTGAAGAAGATGATGCGCGTGGCGCCGCTCTTCGAGACGCGCGAGGACCTGATCAACGCGCCGAAAGTCATCGATGCGGCCCTGGGCGTGCAGTGGTACAAGGACCACGTGCAGGTGCGCGGAGGGTTGTGGTTTGGGGGGGGGGACCCTCTGGGAAACGTTTACATAGCAAACTGGAAAATCACCATTTCCAATGGGTAAATCCACTATTTCAATGGTCATTTTCAATAGCTATAGTTAGTTTACCAGAGGGTAAACGAGGAAGATTGGGCTGACTGCTGCTTCTGGAGATGAGGTTTGGTGAAGGCGTTTTGCGAAGAACTGGGGGTGCCCCCGCAAGTCCGATCGACCTCGGAAGACTTGCAGTCTTGGATGGGGGGGATATGATCAAACCCGGGCTGTGCAGGGAAAGCAGGAGGTCATGTTGGGCTATTCCGACTCGGTGAAGGATGCAGGACGGGGTCAGAGTGGGCAGTGAGGCAGGATCATGTTGGTCTGGATCAGAGTTTAAAGAACAGAAACAGTATTGAACATCCAGGTTTAGATTTTTCGAGAGTGTCAATTCTGACCTCTATCCCCATGTTGGCTCATAGCAAAGAATTGAAACTTGAGTCATCTTTTCCGCAGCCGCTGCTTTGAGCGGTGCTGGGGCACCCAATCTTAGGATTCCCGTGTTAGAGGAACAAGCTCTAGGGGAAGATCCCAGGAACATTTGGCCATCCCCTCTGAGAATTCTTCCTGCTAAAAAAAGGGAATCCGATATGAACCAAAAAAAACCACTGCACCTAGGTTTGTTGTTCCGCTTTTGGTATTTCTTTTCAATCTTACAGTATGGCATAGAATTCACCATCTAAATGGCAATTTTAATCATTTTTATAGTATATCATGGTATATCCGTATACCCAATTTCAGACAAACCAAAAAGAGATGTTGATTAGATAATATCCCAGTACATCCATGCGTATCCCATACTACTTACCTCCTCCAATCATGACCTTTTTTTTGGGGGCCCTGGTGGTTTCGAATCACCACATGGGGAGAGGAAAGTTCGCCTCCACCTGGGAACTGCACCGTGCCATGGAAAACTTGCTGGAGGTCGGGGAACAGGGCTAGGTCCCTCCGTCCGTGGATCCCCGAACTCGCCATGGAGGGTTTTGTATCGCTGGGAAAATGGTCGAAGTAGATGGTGGATTGTCCAGCAGGGCATGATGCCACCGAAGGGTATCTCATTGATAGTTGGGTTGTAATCTCACTGACCAGTTGCAATTCATGGGATGATCCAAGTACCACTCTGCGGCCAACAGCATCCTTGCCTCGGCTTCACCCCCAAATGCAGAGAAATGGGGCGCTACCAGGTTCTTCCGTGGAACATTTAACTCGATAAGACAACAATTATGGGTATTTGTCACCAGTCATCAGTTTTTCTAACTATATTTTACAGTCTTCTAGTCCTTTTTTTAGCACTCATTTGCGGTTGGTCTACCCATCTAACCCTTCTGGTAGTTTTGATGTGGCTGGTGCCCCTGCCAGGTGGGTAAGAAGCACGGTGTGCAGATCACCTTCTTCCACGGTCGCGGCGGCTCCATCGGCCGCGGCGGCGGCCCTCCCAACTTCATCCTGCAGGCGCAGCCTGCTGGATCCCTGCAGGCGCCAAGCTGGGGAGGTGAGGTATGCCTTGGGGTGGTACCCCTGTGTATATATATATATAGCATACACATTATATATATATAATATATATATATATATTATATCTATATATATAATATATAATATATAATATAATATATATAATATATACAATGATAATATATGTATAGTTAATGAAATAAGTTGATTGGAAAGTCTACAAGTTCACTAGGATGTATGGTAGATATTGATTTGAAACCAAGTGAACTAGGATTTATGGTAGATTGGTATAGATATATCCAATTAGTGCTACTGGAGGGCACCACCTTCTGAAGGCTTTCGGGCAATTTCAGGGAAGTGACCTTTTCGTTGATCACGATTTTTGGGGTGAGAATTTTGTTTATGGATGCGAGGCTAGTTTGGGTGTGGCCACCTGGTGCTTCAATAATTTGTACAAAGTGAAGCCCCCCAGTTCTGTCTGTTGGTTTTCTAACACCATTCACATCCATTATCATCCATTCACTATAGATCTACATTGACATTCACTATAGATATACATCAACCGCAACTATAGGTATACATTAACATTAACCAAAGAGACAAAACAGACACACACACATATATATATATATACATACATACATACATACATACATACATACATACATACATACATACATACATACATACATACATACATACATACATTAACACACACAATGTCTCTCTCTCTCTCTACACATATATATATATGATATATACAGTGATATTCCCCAGTGATATTCCCCAGTAAATCAATGGTTCGCGATCCTTCGCCTTCCGGGGCCTCACCTTGCTGCGCCGCAGAATGGACATCTGCGCCTCACCATCCAGGGAGAGACCATCGGTCGCCACTTCCCAAGTGACGAGGCATGGGGCATGGGGTGGCCACCATGGGAGACGGGTGGTTCACTGGGGGAAATCATGAGTTGGAACACATGGGAAAAGATATGGGAAAATAGCTGGAAAAGATGGGAAAAATAGGGTCAACTCTAATTTTTCAGGATGGTTTCTATTAAGAGTGTTTCTAGTGGGACATGATGGGAAAACATCTGTGAGAAACACTGGGAACGATAGGATAAATGGAGGATTTTTCATATCGAACTCTGGAGGTGGTGCTGAACATTGCTGAACGTGGTGGCTTCAAGCAATGCCAGAAGTCCCAAAACTCAATATATTTTGCCAGATGAATTCCAAAAACATTTGGCTCAACAACTCAAATTTTCCCAGTTTAAATAGCTCAAATCCCTCTTTACATAGGTGCGAGTTCGAGTTTTTTAGGGTTCAAACTCCCCATTTGTCTCAAGAGCTCACAACTTTTTTCGATCGCTTTCCAGCTCAAAACTTCCCAGTCATTTCGGTCTAAGTCCTGAAAATCTCAGGGCTCAACCTCCCAGCCATACCCTTGATTTTCGCTTTTGTCCCTGCCCAGCCATAGCGTGGAAAGGTGGCAGAGCGCACCCTGGAGCAGTACTCCACGGCTGTCTTGGAACACACCCTGGCCCCGCCGCCTTTGCCGAAGCCGGAGTTCCGTGCGGCCATGCAGGTGGGGGCCCGAAAATCACCTGGTTTTGGATGGGGCCTCCGTTCGATAGCGTTCAGTTGCCTTATAAGTGGCTGAATTCTATGGTTTATGATAGATATAACGTGATATAACTATAGTTAATGTGGATTATAATGGTTTATAAACCAACTTATAACTGGGGCTCCGAAAATCCCCTGGTTTTAAGCGCAGCGGACATCAGGAGTTGTCCGACCTCTCTGCGGAGCACTACCAGAAGACGGTCTTCAAGAGTGATGTGGGGGCCTTTGTTGAAGGGAACATGTTACCCTCTGGTAAACTGTCACATAGCTATTGAAAATGGCCATTGAAATAGTGGATTTACCCATTGAAAATAGTGATTTTCCAAAACTGTCACATAACTATGGAAAGATCCACCATGCTATGAAAATGGGAAAACTCACTATTTCAATGGCAATTTTCAATAGCTATGTAACAAATTACCAGAGGGTAAATGGGAACCATGGTCTTCACCATCAACTTTTTGGGGGGCGGTAAAGCCTGTAAAATGTTTCTTCAAGCAGTTCTGGGAAGCAAGTAGGTGGGTAGAAAATCTCAATTACGAAGAAAACACATCCATAGTTTCGGAACTTACTAACCATTCCATTATCATTTACAGTATCATTAACTATGCTTAGTAATCTTACTTAGCTTTAATAACTAACCATTACTGGTATGATTCTCCAAGCTCATTTTGACATCAGGCTCAATGACTTGCACGGTAGGATTCACCTCCAGCAGACCCGACTACCAGGGTTTTGGCCAAAAAACAGGGTCCCTCCGTTTTGATACTTTAGAACTTCATCCCATGGTTTAGAAAATCGAAACTCATGTTTTCAGTTGGGTTATGCTGGCCATATCCCTGTTTTCCTATTCAACCCAAATTTCTGGTTGGTAAACTCCCCCGGTTTCAGGGAGTCCATCTTAGTTGAGGGGATTGTTAGATTCCATTAATACCCATTAAAAGACGATGAATAGCAATTCATAGCCATGAATAATCATTGATAATCAATAATAATCATGAATAGTTACATAGCATGCTGTGTCATCATATCCTCATAGCTGGTTGATGGTTCATTACCATCCCAACTAACATAGACCTACCAATTCTCGGCTGAGAAGATGAGTTTCCACCAAAAATGCACGATTTTCAGGGTCAAACGGTGGATTTTGACTGGAGGATAGAGCAACTCTCAATGATCCTCCGGTGGCGCCCAGGGGGAAATCTTTGTCCGCTTCTTCCACACCTTCACGCCCACGTCCGAGCTTGGACAGATGCGCCGTGGTAAAAAACCTGGGGGTACCCACCTGGATGAACAGCTTTTGTCGATGTGTAAATGGTTTGGACAAATGGGTTGGACAATGGGTTGAATTTGCTTTTGATGATTTTCAAATGGCTTTGGAACATGGGTAAGTTCATATCTCCCAGCAAGGTTAGATCATTTCAAGCCGATTTCCTTCAAGAATGATGCATATTTATCTTCTACATCGTTTTTTTTCCGTAGATTTTTAGGATTTTTGAGGTGTTTTCTTCATTTTCTTCCATTCAGAACCACCTATCAGAGGGTGCCCCATAGCTAAGTTGCTAAGAAGAACTGGCCGAATTCTATGGTTTATGGATGTTGTCGGTAGATATATCCAACTAGCAGTTCTATGTTGGGGGTCTTGCCCAGCCGAGGAACATCGGCAGCCGCCCTGCGAAGCGCCGCAGCTACGGAGGCATCGACACGCTGCGCGCCATTCCCTGGATCTTCGCCTGGACACAGACGCGGCTGCTGCTGCCCGTGTGGCTAGGCCGGGGGTTGAGGTGTCGTGGGTTGAGGGGTGGGAAGCGAAGACTTAGGATACATATACATATACAATCAAGTATATAATCACATATATATATATAATATAATATAATATGATATGATATGATATGATATGATATAACATAATATAATATATACATATATATATATATAAATATGTACCACTATATGTTTTTTTTCTTTTTTCTGGATGGGGTTGGGAACCGCCTCAGAGATATTTTGTGGAGTTTTGGGGTGGTTTTTCAGTGCGACCTGGTTTAGTCTCAACTGATAGTTTGGCGTTGATGTGGAGTTTATAGACTAATGTACTAAGGTAAGTCATCGCCAAATAGATGGAAAAGGATGGAAAAGTAAATCCCTACGAATTTGATTGTGATTTACCTTTCCATCTATTTGGGGATGACTATAGTTCTTAGTTACTATTTCTCATTCTTTTTTTCAACGGGCCCTACGGGATTTGGCCAGGCAACGGCTTGGCCCTTCAGAAGTACATCGACGCTGGAAAGCTCCCCTTGCTGCAGCAGATGTATAAGGACCTGCGGCCGCTGCGCCTGCGGGGCTGGGGCTTGGGGCTTGGGGAATGGCGAATGGCTACCCTCTGGTAAACATACAAAAAGCTATTGAAATGGCCCATTTATAGTGGATTTACCCATGAAAAATGGTGATTTTCAATAGTTATGTGGCAAATTTCCAGAGGGTAATGGTTGGGAAAGGTTTGGTTGAAAAGTGACAGATCACCCCGAAAGTTGGAGGCTTCACCGATACGTGGAGCGGTAGAGCTTAGAGTTTGGTTTGGGTGGTGAGTGGATGGATTCGTAGCCATTTTGAGAGAGGAAGACGATCTATCTATCTATCTATCTATCTATCTATCTATCTATCTATCTATCTATCTATCTCTATATATATATAACAGCCAGCATAACAGCTAAATAACACTACAGTACCGTCGCTTTTTTTTGTGTGTACAGAGTCCCCACTGAAGAAAAAATGAAAAGGATAAATTTGCCAGGGGGCTCTGGGCTCACACTTTGGACATAGCCACATTTTGGACATAGCTCCTGTGGAAAGAATTCCACTACCCCAGATCCAGTGGTTTGAAAAAGGCCGTGACCATGGCCATATGGTTTATATGGTTTGTTGTTGATGGTTCAAAAATTGGTATATTGTAGCCAAATCTCAGAGTTTATATGGGTTTATCAGTTTAATTTCTCATGATTTTTCCCATTCAACTTGGAAATCACTCCTGGAAGGATCTCTCCATTTCAAGTCCCCATTCAACAATGGCCAGGAATGGCCCTTCTTCCGCTCCATGTTGGACCTGATTGACGTGGAGCTAGGCAAGAGTTCCCCAATGATCACCGAGCACTACGAGAGCAAGACCGTGCAGCAGGTGGCTAACACAGTTGGGATGGCTGGCTGGGACGGCTGGCTGGGACCTCGAAATCTGGCAGGACAAAGAAGGGGCCCAGTATTAGCAAAAACACCCATAAGACTTTGAGGTGACTTTTGAGTTTAGGAAAAAAACAATCAGTTTTTAGGGGATGCCCCAAGAGATTGAGCCACTTTTTGAGTGGCAAAGCCTCTTTGCTTTGGGACTTAGCTTCGAGGCTAATGTAGCCCCTGGTTGAGTATTGGATCTCTCCCTTGTTGGGGGTAATTTCTGTTAATCTTACTGTAGCACCCCCCATAAGATTCAGAAAAGCTTCAATTTAGCCCTTTGAAGTTCAAAGAGGCAAGTAAATCACACCTTTTCACAGTACATCAAAGGTGAGGTCAGAATTATCTATACCATTAACACTAGTTAGAAAATTCAACTGATAATTTTCAGAATTCTGGTTAATGGTATATTATTATATAATACAAAATACCATTATGTTCAATAATATTATACCATTTATATATGGTATATATATATACTAATGGTATATTATTATTATGGTTCATGGTATCTAATGTTCAACTGATCGTTTTTTTAATCGACTGACCCGATCGATCTTTTTGCCAAAAACAGCTGAGGATGCCGACCTGAAGAAGTTGGGCGCAGACCTTCGTGCAGGCTTGCAGCAGATGATCGACAACATCCTGAAGGCCGAGAGATGGGGGGCCGTCGATGAGTCCAACCGTCCAAGCCCTGGTGGTTTTTGGGAGGACCATCCCAAAATTTTGGACAACCCAACTTTTCTACAGCTAGGCACAGCTACAAACGTACGTTCTGAGGCCCAAAAATTGAAAACCAATGGTTTTTTTTTTTGGTTTGGATTTTGCAAAAGTTTTGGATGTTTTATTTTTTTAATGTGTTGTTTTGTTCGGAACTAAAACTACTCTAAGTTTGCGTCAGTGCGAGTTTCGGGGCTCGTACCGATGTCATGGAGCTGGGTCTAGCAATGTCATTTTTGTTTTTGCTGCTGCTGACAGTTGTGTCCAGAGGTTCACTGCTAGTCGTGGTGATCGAGCGCAAAAGAAGTCACCACATCTCAACTTTTCCAGCGGCGAAGTATCACACACATGTTGTATGCATTAAATATATTACATATAGTTTCATATAGTTACATATAGTTACATAAATATAGTTACATATAGTCACATATAGTTACATATAGTCACATATAGTTGCATATAGTTACATATAGTTACATATAGTTACAGCACATGGTTACATATAGTTACAGCACATAGTTACATATAGTTACAGCACATAGTTACATATAGTTACACATAGTGACATATAGTTACAGCACATAGTTACAGCACATAGTTACAGCACATAGTTACAGCACATAGTTACAGCACATAGTTACAGCACATAGTTACAGCACATAGTTACAGTACATATTTACATATAGTTACAGCACATAGTTACATATAGTTACAGCACATTGTTACAGCACATATTTACATATTTACAGCACATGGTTACATATAGTTACAGCACATGGTTACATATAGTTACACATAGTGACATATAGTTACAGCACATAGTTACAGCACATAGTTACAGTACATATTTACATATATTTACAGCACATGGTTACATATAGTTACAGCACATGGTTACATATAGTTACAGCACATAGTTACATATAGTTACACATAGTGACATATAGTTACAGCACATAGTTACAGCACATCGTTGCATATATTTACATATAGCAACAGCACATAGTTACATATAGTTACAGCACATTGTTACAGCACATATTTACATATAGTTACATATAGTTACAGCACATAGTTATATATAGTTACAGCACATAGTTACATATAGTTACACATAGTGACATATAGTTACAGCACATAGTTACAGCACATCGTTGCATATATTTACATATAGTAACAGCACATAGTTACATATAGTTACAGCACATTGTTACAGCACATATTTACATATAGTTACATATAGTTACAGCACATAGTTATATATAGTTACAGTACATATTTACATATAGTTACAGCACATAGTTACATATAGTTACAGCACATAGTTACAGCACATATTTACATATAGTTACATATGTACATCTATATTAGATAGATAGATATTACCACTATGGTGCCACTAATTAAGGCAAGCGCAGGTTATCTCCCCATTTTCCGCCCAGGTGAAGGGCGCCTCTGAGCTGCTGTCTCAGGAACCCAATTTGAAGGCTGTCCGGAGTCCCAGTTGATCTCCAGATTCAATTCGCGGGAAATCCATCATTTTTTACATGGGAAAAGACCAAGTTTCGCAAAGCCTACCCTCCGGTAAACTGACATAGCTATTGAAAATGGCCATAGAAATAGTGGATTTACCCATTGAAAATGGTGATTTTCCATAGTTATGCTAGTTTACCAGAGGGTACTGGAATATGATTACTGGTTGGTGGTTTGGAACATGGCTGGATTATGACTTTCCATACATTGGGATTTTCATAATCCCAACTGACTTTCGCTCACTTTCAGAGGGGTAGGTATACCACCAACCAGTAGTATACTGATCGTTAATATGAATATTGGTTAATAATGATTACCATTTGGTAAATTAACATAGACCCTGAAAATTGCATTTTTGAAATGGAACTAATCTTCCAATCCCTATCTGGCAGGGTCACGACCAAGTGATGCTTGTTTCAACACTTGATGTGTGATCTTCGTAGATGCCATGTGCTGGATTGGTGAAGAGTAGAACAAGTGGGCTGAGAGTGAGTTGATCGTTGTATTGTAATATATTGAAGTTAATTATCCCGTAATTGTTCATCATTATCTTACTAAATTTACTGTATATCATTATCATTATTACTATTTATTATTTATTATTTATTATTTATTATTGTTATTATTATTATTGTTATTATTATTATTATTATTATTATTATTATTATTATTATTATATATTTTCCATAATTATCAATTATCCTTCAATTTTCCATATAGATATGCCATGCTCACAGCATTTTTCCAGGTTAAAACCTCAGCATTTTCGTTCCAAAAAAGCCACCGGGCTCGGTGTTGGTGTTGGGTGGCCGATTCCTGAGGCTATCGCGATGAGAAAGCCATACCTGGACACGGCCCATGCCATTCAGGCGGAAGTGCTCAAGAGGCGACACGAATTTTTGGCCGCGGGAGAATTGATGAGGGTGAAGGAAGACATATGTTTGATATTTATCATGGCGATTCATATCATATCATCTGGGTAAATTATCACGACCTCACTACGACCTCACTGGAAATCATGGTTAGTAAGGGAAATCATCCCCAAATGGCCTTAATTCAGGTTAGTGAAATATTATAATTTACCCAGATATCATATCATATCATATATATATATATTTTTTGGAAGTAATAATGGTAATCAACCATTCTTGAAGTATTTTTTTTGATAATTAATGTTAGCAAAGGGGGGGTCTCCAAGTCTATAAAACACCCAAATGTATGTGTGTGTATATATATATGTACCCTACATCTTCAAGTAGATAGAACATGGAGATTTTAATCCAAGGTCCCACATCTACTTCAGGATGATAATTGTAGAATAACCATAATATAGGACCCCCCAAAATTTCGGGCAAAGCATTACCCCCAAGCAGTTGTTACCAATTGACAAGTTGGTTTAGTTTCACCGTATTAGCTATAGCTATAATTATGCGCTGACACCATCGTTTGCCCAAGAATTCAAAGGGTAGCCCGGAATATTCACGGAAACACTAAGAGATGCTACAACAAACTACCTGTATGATTATAAGTTATAACATAACCATCTTCCTCATGACCCCTGAAAGATACATATCATTACCTTTCTTTTTTAAGGGGGGGGGTCCTGATTTTTCATAATCACATGCCAGATTCTTCCCGGTCTGGGCAAACGATGGTGTTTGACCGCATAATTACCATGGACCCTATAAACCAGTTATAAACCAACATGTTCACTATAACTTATAGTTAGTGCTAATGTTTTTTGTTTACTGCAAGATAAATCCTAGTTATAAGCAACACACGTTATACTTATGACCGGTAAGAAGTATAATTATTACAACACGAGTTATAAGTTGGTAAAAAAATCACCTCATTAAGGGCAGCTATAACTACCACAAACCCTAGTTATAAACTAAACCATAGTTATAACTTTTTGATAGTTGATCAATGTTTGGCACCCTATGGTTATCATCGTCATAAACTAGTTGCAGTTAGAAAACCACCATTATCTGCCATACAGTGTAATCACAGTTTAACTATAGCTAAAAAGCTAGATCTAACATGACCAAAAAACCATTATAACTTTTTTTAGTAATGGTAGATTTTTCACTATACCATTGTATAACATCATCTATACCATTAACCATAGTTATAAATACCATTCATCACCGGCGGTTTAGGCTGCGCAGCACGGAGGGTGAGGTGCCCGTCGAGCTCCGCGACGCCATGATCATCACCATCCAAGGCCGGGGGGAGCGGAACCTTTGGTGAATTTTTTAAAGGGGGTTTAGTATAAAAATCAACCAAAAAAAACCGTGGGATTTTCGATCGTCAATCATTATTAAACCACCATTTTTAGTCACCAGTATAGTCATCAATATTTTAGTAATGTGGGTAAAACAATGCCATAAACCAGCCTTTTGGGAATGGTTTATACAACCTATAAACATGGTGATGACTGGGGGATGGTGCGTTTATGGCATTGTTTTACCCACATTAGATTAACAATCTACTAGATTGATAAGTTTCCACTAGTTCATGGGGTCTATAAACTAACTTATAACTGGGGGGGCCCATCAGTTTTTGTTGGTGGACGATAGGGAAAAGCTGATCAACCTGGATCATATTTGAGAACATTTGAGAATTACTTGACCATATTTGAAATAGGTGACAGGTTTCCCTGCCAGGTGACAACCCTAAGCTTCAGCTCGCATGGCTTTTCTCACCTTTCGTCCAAGATACGTTGGGGGACTTGAGCATTCATTCCCACACATGAATGCACATTCAACAGCCAATGTCATAGATGGGATGCATGCTTTTCACACACCCCCCGGTTCTTGCATCTATGACATGGCTTCCTTCGAGAGACTCTGCAATCGAAGTCTTAAAACACACATCTTCAACATTCACACATGCTGTCCACTTTCAGAGTTGATACCACCTTATACAAGCAACACCAGCAACCAACAACACATCGCATCACATCTCATCATTCAGCTTCTTGGTCCGTGTAGTCTTTGCTGCCCAGTTCCGGATGGTGGCATCTTCTGAGATTTTGAACTTGCCATTCATCACCATGTTTCGAATCAGCTCCTTCGGGGCATTGGATTTGGTGAGGACGTCCCCTAGCATGGCATAGGTAGGTTGCCACCGAAGAAAAAGACCCTCCTTCTGGAATTCCTTCTTCATGAGAAGCATCTCTATAGCTAACCTCTTGTCTTTGATGGTTACAACCTCACTGTTGCAGTGGTCGAAAACTGGCTTTGAGTCAATGAGGACACACAGAGGAATTCGAGGGGAGAAAACCTTGTCAGATTCAATGGAATAGGCACCAAACACCGCTTCGCACCACAACGACCTGACCCACTTGCACTCAGCAATTGCCCTAGACGCCGACAACAACTCAGCACCAAGAGTAGAAGCCACTTGCCGGTCCTGACGATAACTCTTCCAACGAAGGGGAGATGTCAAGGACCAATTGCCCTTCCTCAATTCGCAGGAAGCGGCCATGATCAAGTACCCACCCTGGCTTTTCTTGTCTGTGGCATTTGCCCAGGAAGCATCGCTCCACACAGCAAATTCCAGTTCACTAGGGGGAATTGGATGAATAGTCACACAGCCATGGGCGAAGTCCCTAACTAAGCTAACTAGGCGATTACACTCGATCAGGTCTTCCACTTTCGCGTTGGAAGTTTTCTGTTGGAGCAGAGAACAGCTAGCAGCTAGGTCCGGACGACTGTTCATGGCAATCCAGTTGACTTCACCAAGCAAAGCCCTCATTTGAGTCTTTTCTTGCTCAGTAACAAAACTATCCTTTTGTTTCCGCCGCTCTTTTCCAACATTAAGACACGACACAGACATGCTATACTCTTTTTGGGAAATGGTGATCCTACCATCCTCATGTTGCTGAACATGTTTGCCCAAAAACTCGCCGCCCCTCGTGTGCCAATGCTTAAACGGGAACTTTTCCTTCAGGGGTTTCAACACTTCATCGTGAAAACATTGGCTACCCCCCATGAGCAAATCATCAACGTGTATCGCTATCAACCCTTGAAGCTCTCCGGTGCTACAACAGTGCTTGTAATAAATGCAGGGGTCAAGTTCACTCTGCTTTAACTGACATGAAAGCAAAAACTTCCTGAGAGTCTGGTGCCAACAGCTTGGAGCATCTGCCAGTCCATAGACTGGACGAACCAGTTCGATTACCGCATTATCGTCCACACCAGGAATCCCGCCATGGGGAACCCTGACGAGCACTCGTCGTTGAAGTGGATCAGCCCTCAAAAACGCAGCCTCTATATCTGCAATGATGGCTTCCCATCGGAACGAACTAAGCAACTGCAAAGATGTGGACAACCCTTCAGAGGACAGTGTAGGAGAGGAAGTGCTAAGCTCAAGCAAGTCAGGATCCAAGTACCCACGAATACACCACCTAGCCTTAAACACACCTTGTCTTCTTTGCTCAGGATCGTCCGGCTGGGTTATCACAAAACGTGACTGGAGCAATCGCTCGCGACCGAACTCTTTGACTTTTTCCTCAGCATCCTTTCCCACATGAACCCTAACTGCTCCGGATTTCAACATCTTGTCTCACTCCTTGCGCTTTGCATCAACAAGAGATGCCTTTTGACCCTCAGGGATCTCTCTCTCAAGAACTTCTTTTCTCCCTTTCTTTTTCTCCACTGCCAAGACGTCAGCTTCAGACACTACAAACACGTCATCTTCGACTTCTACGATCATGCCATGTTCTTGATTTCCAGGCACATGTCTGGCAGGTCTTCCATGATCAAGCAAACTGAGATTCTCACGCATGGCCCTAGTAAGACGGGTTTCCCTGGCAGCACGTGACTCCCTGACAGGCCCGTAAGTGCTACTAGGAGGATACACCTCAGGCTCGGCAAGCGGCTCCAATTCAGTCACATGTCTTTGCATTTCCCCACCTTCCTCAGGGTTGGGGACCTCATCTTCAGAAATCTCCGCAATACCCTCTGCCTGACCTGAATCACCTACATGTTCATGGCCTTCACGATCATGTTGGTCATGCACCTCTTGACCTCCGGGGATCACCTGCTCTTCCGCCTCAGACACGCGCTGACGTTGACGCGGCGGTTCCTCGGCTTCCCCTTCCTCAGTCAAATCCCTGGCACGGACAACACCAACTGTACCACCAAACATGTCTTCCCATTCCTCTCGTTGATGCTGACGCTCTTGCTCAACTTCATCAAGTTGGTTCATGGGTTGATCATGTACTTCACCGTGGCTCTCATCGGGTGGTGGAACCGCACCCCCTTCCAACACCACTACGTTTCCAGCTCCTCTTTCGGCAACTGCACTTCGAATCACGCGCAAATGATCAGGAAGCAACCTGATCAACTTTTCTTGCTCTTCACTCGGTCTTCTCAACTGCTCAGGAGAGCATCTAAAAATTTTCATGCCATGTGCAACCCAAACACGAGAACCTACCGCACCTACAACATGACCAGGTCCATGCCAATGATACGTCTTGCTACTCTTACTTTTTCGCCAAACATATGCCAGTTCCCCTGTGACCCATGGACCTCGTGACGGACGACTACGTGAATGCATGACATGCCTCAACTTTTCTTCACTGTCGGCCTCCAGGAAGGCTTTCCGGGCATCTGCTCGAATTTTAACTCTTCTCTCAAAAAGCCCCTTTCTCCGGCCCGCAAAGCTGAATCAATTACCTCATCATGATCACCTGTCAACAACAAGCCTGGCAATCGCACATCAGTTCCAAGTACATGCTGACTGGGACTGAAACCGTCCTTCCTCACCAAGGTGTTGTGTGCAGTAGTTGTATGATCGCACAATTCCTCAACATCGGCCTTGCTACTCGGAACATGCTCAAGCAACAACTTTTGAAACGCAAGCTTCCACATGCCACCGCGACGTTCAGCTACTCCATTCTGCCAAGGACTGAAAGCAGCTGACACCTCATGATGTGATCCATCATGTTGAAGAAGCTCAGTAAAACAACCCTCAAATTCAGACCCTCCATCTGTCCAAACACGAACAGGAGGACCAGCCCACCGGATCCAAGCACGCCGGTACTGCTTCCTCACTTCTTGTGCTGTGGCTCCTTTCCACAGCGGGACCACCATTTGGTACCGCGTGGCTGCATCCACCATGTTCAAACACTTGATTTTCTTCCATGGGAGTTCAAGCTCAAACGTGTCACAACAAACAACTTGATTAAATTGAGTGGCACACTCAATCTTGGCAACTCGGTGACTCTTCTGCCTACTCAAGGCCTCGCACGTGGTACATGTCAACCCGCGTGCAATCTTGACGCACCTCTCAGTTGCCTTTGCAGCCTTCAACATGCCAATGAAACGTGGAAGAGACGGATGACCCAAGCTGTCATGACAACGCTTCAACACAGCCGCAACACGTTTATCACTATCAGACCCTGACAACCCCATGTCCTCTATTGCCAAAACACAGTGAACCGCTCGAGCTTGAAGACGAGAGTCTTTCTCCGCTTGAAGTCCACGACAAATTGCTCTGCAGAACTCGTCTGGATATTCCTGTGCCAGTCTACTACGTGCATGCCAAGTTCCATCATGTTTGACTTTTCCCAAAAGAGGTTGATGAGAATGTGACTTGTCACAAGTGCGAGAAAGACGACTACCTATTTCCCTACTTGACGTCATGATTTTGGTAGGTTTCTTGTGGGGAATACTAGATAACCGATCACACAGCCCATACATGCACTGGTCACAATCAACAGTCAAAACCCCCGGCATGGATTTCACTTTCAGCACAGCCCTATCCGTCCATGATCTAGCCAACTTAGGATATCCAAAAACAAAATGCCTTCCAGCCTTCATGCGTTGTTCAGCAACCCTCATGGCAAACCTAAGAAGAACGCGACCCTCATGAATTTTCTGCAGCCACTCCCTACTATTTCTCTTCACCCTCAAATCTTGGAGAACACAAAAGGGATCATAAGGGGGAGAAATAACCGTGAGTTCGGGGTCATCTCCTGCAATCTGACGCAGCACTTGGTCTTGAACTTCCCTTTTCAACAAGTCGCAGCCATGCTTAATATCGTACGAGTTACCACAGCTCATTCCAACTTGTTGGGCGATCTTGCTCACCCTAGGAACTGAAAACACCTCATCTACGTCTGTATTTAGTCCTATGTACAGCAGGTCATATTTTTCTTTGGAACTGCAGGCCTGCTTTCCAAGCAGGTCGACTCCTGCTTTCAAGACGGACCTTTCAACATCTGTCATCTCTACTTCGTGCGGCTCTTCACATGAGGTTGTACAAAAGCTCCTGGTTCGCTGGAGAAGGGTTTGGATTCTCCTGGATGGTCTGGATGAGATTGCGACTGATGCTCTCGATTGACTTCTGGCCATTGTCCTCCGCAACGGGCTCCCATTCTGCAAGCTCCATGTCGGTGTCTCGCTGCTTGCGGACGCGAGAGAGTGGCGAGAAAGCTTTTGTCTTGGCCACCGCACTCATCTTGGGAGCAATCACTTGCTGACTTCCAGAGGCGGAAACTTCGCTCTTCATGGCCATCATGATGCGCTGATTCTTTTGATTGTCTCTCATCTCCACATACAACCTCATCTTCCTCATGCACTTGGAAGTCTGGGGACCCTCCTCGATGTGATCGCGGATCCATTTCACATAGCCCTTGTCTTTCATGTAGATCTCTGACACCGGAATGCGGTCTTGCTGCTTGCGACCGTACTTCCCCACCGTCAGGAGAGTCAGGCCGCTGACTGGACAATCCAACGGCTCGTCCTCGTGGGGATGGTCGCTCCAAGCATCCAAGTTGTCCAGCTTGTTGAAGTCCACATTGTCCTCGGTGCCGAGACTCTCCATCAGGCGCTTGGCCAAGGGGCTCATGTTGGACCCGGAATAACTGAGGTTCGGGGCCAGTGGCCTGCTCTGCATCTTCACCGATAAGACAAACGTTATGATCAACCCTAGGACCTCGAGATGAGCGGCTGCTAGGTTCGAACAAGGGGATCGCGTAGTGACCACGATCAGTGACATGCAGTTTCACTTTGGTACCAAGTCGCTGAAACATCATCTCATCACCATTCATATCAAGAACACAACCAAACATCTTCATCAACTCCTTTGACAGCAAAAGGGGTGTGTTTGACCCTGACCCTGGCAACACAGCTGCATGAATGGCAACATGCTTACCCCCAATACACACGGGAATGCTGGCGACCTCCGTCGAAGTCAACTCACCACTATTACCAAATCGAAAAGAATTAACTTCACTCCTACGCACAACTCTCAACCCAGTCCTGAGAACATGTCGTTCCATGTCGTGCAGCGTGTATTGCCCGATCAGCGTGCGGCGACAAGCCGTGTCAGGCACTGCGTGGTCTGAAACAGAGGCTGTGGCCGTAGGAGAACTTTCAAAATCAGGCCCTCCGCCCCCCAACACATGTGCTTCAAAGGCATCGATGGTGGCTTCGTCTAAGAACAGGTGCTTCCTGGCGGTCACCTGGCGGGCACCTGATCCCTGGCTCGCCTGGCTATTCACAGTTTCAAGAAAAGTGGTTCCCTTCCACTTCTGGGAAAGCATCCTACCATTTTGCTCATGAAAGTTGTCCGAAATGACTGTCTCGGATCCATTCATATATTGGACGTGGGTACACCTAGCTCCAGTCAACTCACTGCCCTTCAGTTCAAGATCTCCACCAGGAACATAAAGGGCGCGACGGAACTTCTTGTGAACCTTCGTCACGTATTGGCAGAACGGCTCCACTTTTTCCTGATCTTTGGGACACTCGGGCATCTGCTTCTTCTCTTCATCCTTGGCACCATATTCCAAGATGAAAGCATCCAAGTTCTCAGGGATCGTCAGTTCACTATAGTTCACATCATTCACTTCCTTTTTCCCACGACCAGACTCATCCTTTCGGCGCCTTTTCTCTGGGCATTCCTTCTTCCAATGGCCCAGCTTTTTGCAAACAAAGCATCGGGTCTTTGCCTTGATGGCCTCAACCTTAGCCTTGATGTTTCCAGTGATATTCCACTTCTCAGGCAAAGGCTGATACCCACGGCCAATCTTGCGATCTTGCACTCGGCGCTTGATGTCCTTGTACGACTAGACTTCAAGGACTTCCTCGGAATCGTAGTCGCTTCCCTGTTCTTGGATCTGCTCTGCAATGCCCTGCCACACCTCAAACACTTCATCATGGCTCTCCACACCCTTGGTCTCAAATGACATGCCCTCGTCCTCGTCAACCTCAAAAACATCTTTACTGTCTCGGGATTTGGATGGCTGACCTTTCCCATGCGGAAAGACAGCACGGATGGCGTCAGTCACAGACTTGTAGTCCAGCTTCACCTGGGTGGCAGTCAGGACCATCGCTTCCTGGGTTTGGTCGAGGCATAACTTCTTCAGCAAAAACCATCCCCTCACTTCCACTGGCAACTCCACTTCATGAGAAACCAGCAGCCTGTAGGAAGTCTCCAAGCGAACGATGAAAGCTCTGAACTCTTCGCCCGGCTTGATCACCACCGTGTAGAAGAACTCCCGGAGAGCACGCTGCAACTCATCCTGAGCCCTCTCTGCATACTTACCATCCAACGTCTTGAAGACCAGTTCGTAACCATCTTCTGCAATGATGTCTTTGATGGGTATGAACTCCAGCAGCTCTGACAGCGCCTCTAACAGGCGTGGCCCCCACTTTGTCTTTCCGACTGTCGTCGGCAATCCCAGCAGGTGCAACTCTGCCCTACGACGCCATCTTTTGTACTCTTGGGTGACTCCACTGAAGGTTTCTAACTTTGTGGTCTTTTCATCATCCCTCCCTCCTGAACTCATGGTCAGCTAGCCAAGTTGCTACTGCTCTGCGGCCCCCGCGCTCCCAGCGCAGCAACCCCCGCAGCATCTGAACCACAGCGCCGCTACCACTTGACAGGTTTCCCTGCCAGGTGACAACCCTAAGCTTCAGCTCGCATGGCTTTTCTCACCTTTCGTCCAAGATACGTTGGGGGACTTGAGCATTCATTCCCACACATGAATGCACATTCAACAGCCAATGTCATAGATGGGATGCATGCTTTTCACAATAGGGGTATTTTATTATTTTTTACTTCTAGGTTTAGTCATATTTAGACAAGCAATTCTAGGTCAATTTGATAGCATTAAAAATATCTTCTCGTTTGAAAACAACAACGGTCAATTCGGGTTTCCATCAGCAATCAATGTCGATCTCTCAGCATGGGCCGCATGGGGATTTCACCAAGGGGATGGCATGGTCTGTGAGTATTCTGTGTGGCATGGTCAAAGTGAGTTTGGGGATATTTCTCCATCACGATGGGCATGGAATCATGGGGATTTCATGGGATAGAATGGATACTACATCTCCGGTGAAATGAAATTGCGGGTTGTCGCTCAATTTCTAGGACTTTGTTATTAAATTTTTTATTTATGGTGTTTGGCACTATGAGTTGGGAACCGTGATTTTTTTCCAAAGAATGGGATGGCATGGAATTAGATTTCAGGTGGGATTGAATTGACCTCAGTTACCAAGGTCGATCGCTTTTTGACACAGCTACGATTGAGTAACGGATCCACGAATCCACATGGATTGAAATGGCAGTTTCCTAGGCCCCCAAATCCAAATTTCAATGATAGAACTTGTTTGGGATGAAAGTTGTAGCCCTCAGCTAGGCCATTGGGGATGACCTGTAGGTATCGACTTCAACTGAGCAATGCCAGACTTCATCCCCGGTGACCCGTTGAACGTCGTTAAAAAAAAAAAAACGATGGGAATTTTGAGCGATGGTTTCATCGATTTTTCGCTGATCAAAATCCATTGCGGATTGTTAGGATAATACAGTAGTTCCCATGCAATTGCCTTATTCTTGGGTATAGCGGTATAGCCCAGCACATTTCCATTCTGCGACTCCTAATGAAATGAGTAAAACATCAATCCCAGTTTATTACAAATTTACGGCAACCTGATCTGATATCTCATGATATACCCTCTGGTAAACTAACATAACTATGGAAAATAACAATTTTTCTTGGGAAAATTCACTATAAATGGTGATTTTCCATAGTTATGTTAAATTACCAGAGGATAATTGATTGTGTCCATACAAAGAAAATCCCATTACACCTCTGAAAATTGGGATCCCAGTGATTCTACGCTCCAGGTATCGCTGCTGGCATGCAGAACACTGGCTGAAGCCCGTGGGTTCATCCCACTTTTTGGGCCGGTTCGATCTGTTTTTTTTCAGTGTTTAATGTTCTTTTTTGGATGGAACCACATCTCCAAAGAACTTGTTTTGTTGATGATTTTTCCTTGGACTTGTTGGAATTTTGACGATGGATGGATCCACTTTAGATTCAAAGTTTTCCCCTGCATCGAGCTGTTTGTGAGGGCGGCTGAGGGGCGCAAGGGGCGAAATGGTGATCTTAAGTTACTCAGAAGGTAATATGAAACATTACCCTGCTTGATTGCAGGATGATCAGTATAGGATCTGTTTATCTGGCTTGTCAAAGGGTATTTTTATGCTAGGGGAAGGGGTGACTGCACCCAGTGAAAACCAGGACTCCACTTGATCCAATTCGCCGTGAAAATTGATGAACAGATGAACATCGTTTTGCGGGGCGAGGCAGCTACCTCAACCTCCAAAACACATGTTAAGCGATCTTCATTCTCCTCAGTGGTGCGCGCCCAGCGTGCGCTGTGCCCACTCAGCCACTCTCTCGGCAGCCTGTAGCGAATCTTAGAGCCTCGCTGTGTGGACCGTCGCATTTTTAGGGCGACTTACAACAAGACGCGCAGGCAACGTTTTTTCAGTTTTTCATGCACATCCAGATTTATGTGTATCTTACTACAATCTGAGAAACAGGTGTTTGGAAGAAAAAAAGGCAACGTTTGGTGATTTTGGAAGGTTCAAGTGCACAAGACGCGGCAACCGCTGCGCGGTTTTAACAGAAACCGTTCTGAACTTGGGGAGCCTTGGAGCTCCCCCGAAACTGCCGCTGCGATCAGCAGTGCAAGTTCTGCAGTTTTCAGACGGGAAGTACCCATCATGGCACAGCGAAACGAAGTTCCGCTGCGGAGTTTGGGGATTTTCAGATATGATCCTGGCGACTCAAAGTGGGGCCCCAAAGACCAAGAAGGATATTGGTCCCCGGGAAGGGTGATTTTGGGGTTGATCACATTTTTATAGATTTTAACTACTATTTTTCATATTCACGGTTTATTTTCTACAACATGAGATTTCTGAAACCAGTTTTTCGGTGTATTATAACTGGTTAACGTTTTAAATTTGGTTTAATAGAATACCCATTTTAATATACCATTTTTTTCTGAAAACGTATACCAGTTTAACGTCACGACGTCTGCGTTTTTGTTTCAGGAACGAGACCTCTTCGCCTCAACCCTTTCGATGTTCGTGGATCAACGGCAACAGGTGACTGGGTCGCTCAGCTTGGGTGGGAACTGGCACCACAAAATATATAGGGGTATAACTCGGTATAACTCATAACCAGAAAATAACAATAGAACACCATAGTGATTGGATCATGGGTGATTTTGCCGCCATAAACAGAGGAATAGGATTCGACACTTTGCCAGTTCTTGTGTTTTTCTGTTGCAGGGAACTCAACAAGGAGTTTAACAATGTAGTTTTCAAACTCGCATGCACAGGTAAGTACAACGGGGGATGGCTGGCCAGTACTCATCTGGATTTGTCCTGTCCAGAGAATTGCAGGTTCGGGACTTCCCAACGAGCCATGGCCATCCATGGCCTCTAAAACGCAAGTTGGATGGACCAAAGTCACAAACATCACCCATGAACATCCCCGTTGGTTGTTTCGTTTCAGGATTTACATTTTCGGAAAAGTAACTCTCCAGGTTTGACCAAATTTGAGAGTTCTGGAAGGGCAAAATCAGCATTGCGCAAAAATCCTATCTCCTGCTGCTTAAAATATGTTGAATCATTGTTGAATCCATATTGGTTGTTGGCCTACCTGCCACGTTTTGCAGCTTAAACAAATCACATTTTGCTGGTTTTTGTAGCTTTAGCTCCCAAGTTTTTGGTGAAAATCCCAACTTGTTCCCGATGCCCATGGCCCATTGCATCACATGGTTTAGAACCAAAAGCTTGGGACCCCATGCTTTGCTGGTCCCCCACTTTCAGACAACAAAAAACACTATTGGTTATATGATATATATATATATCATATAATCATCTACTTAAACTATGTATATAAATACATATATATATAATGTATATATCATATCCCATGAATGAAATATCTTGATTAAACCGCCTTTGTCAGATCCTTCGCGAAAGTGTGCGGCTGAGCAAGATGAGCGCCGCGCCACAGGTGCAGCGGCAGTTGGATCCAGAAAAATGGAGAAGACCTATTTAATGAATTTATATAATGGTGATTTAATGAAATTTAATCAAGAAATATTGGGGTATAATTGGCATATAATGGGAAATTCAACAATAATTGGTGTATTATGGGGATATCGGAACTTGATGGGGATATTTGTCGATAAGTCCTGGGTCATGGTGGGCTACTAAGAGAAGTCCCACGGCAGTATACGGAAGTGACGACGGTGACGTGTTGGTTTGGTGGAAAAATGATTTTCCTCAACCAAACATATGATGGTCTAAGGAGTCTAGGAAACCATGTTCCCAATGCACATGGATATTTTGGGGGTGTGCCCAACTATCAGACGTTCAAATCGGGTCTAAATCAGGATCATCCAGCGTTTCCTATTGGAAGGGATGACACCGCCACCGATTTTTCTGCACGTGTTCCGCCTCTCAAACGGAACGCCGTTGGAAAATCTCGGTGATCTCAATGTGATCTCAATGACATTCTTTTCTCCCGGAATTGGTTGGAAAATCGACAGGAAACCATAGGAGACCTTTCTGTGTCGGGGGAAAAATCGAAAAACCATGGTTTCCGGCGAATTTTCCGCAAAAAACCAGCCATTGAATGTGGACAGCTTCCATATCTCACCAGTCGTTGATCGATTGTATACTTCGATTGAAGGTGGCTAGCTTCCTACCAATCTCCAGATCTCAGTTGGGGACTTGCAAACATAATTCCTACGAAACTAGTCGAAGTCCTTCTGTTGGAAATTCTACAAATTAAAGGTTTGAGGAACGGATCAAGATCAAGCAACCCGCACAAGCACAATTGGAGGACTAACATCACAAGACGTACGCGTAGTATGATACATTTAGTTCCACAGATTTCCACAGTATTTTATAATATAACATAACATATACTGTATTTATATATACACATACATACAGCGACACGGTATCACATGAACACACATATATACTGTATATAATTATACATACATAATGTGTACATAAATGTATACAATGCGCGCACACACACACACATATATATAATATACACATGTATAGTATACATAATGCATGTATGATTTCTGGTTTTCTTAAATATTCACCACTTTGACACATCGTTCTTGCTGCCGCGGAGGAGTCAACTCTACCACTGGCACCGATCTCACGACATGTGCAACCGGACGATGCTGGAAGATGAAGAGTTTTGGAGACGACGAAACTGCTGAAGAACTCCAAGAAACTACAAAAGTGTCGACCTGAACATGGGGTATATACCCCCCCAAAATAGCGATTTCTATATGGAAAATGATGATTAGCCTCTGGTTTTCACTAACAGTGTGCTATGGACATCACCATTTTTACTCTTGGTAAATAATATTCAGAAATGGGTCATTGTCCATATATGTTGAATTATATCAGAGTAAAGTATATACATTCATCATATTGTCCATTCATCAAATGGGTATTGTCCATACATTGTCCATTTTTATTGGGTACCCTATTCTTAGACAAGTCTGCACAACGAGGTGATGAGTTTCTTTTGCTTCCACCCGAACGATCGGAACATGCCGTCATGAAATGTGGTTTTTGATGGGAAAAGACCGTTGCTTACCTTAAAAAAAAACGATAAAGCGATAAACATGGTTGGGAGTGCAGAATTCAAAACTTGAAATCGATTCCTACCCTCTGGTAAACTAACATGGCTATTGAAAATGGCCATTTATAGTGAGTTTTCCCATTAAAAATGGTGATTTTCCATTGCTATGTTAGTTTACCAGAGGGTAACATTTTTCTTTGGTTTTGGCACGCGCCCTTGTGGCGCCAAGTCTGTAAGCTTCGGAGAAGCCGTCCAATCAGCCCGTCATAGTAGGGAATGAACGTCCCGAATCGCATGATATGTACAGTGCATTGTGGATTCGACATATTTCCTTTCCGAAATCAACATATGGGTTGATCAAATTCTGAGAAACAATAACTACACCAAGTCCCACATCAAAAAAAATTACTGTGGAAAGTTCAGCAGACATTTCACCTTTGTTGAAGTGGATTTTGAGTCAACACAGGTTTTCACCGTGCCCATATCTTCCATCACCGATGTGCTCCATCCGCCCCGCGACAAAGTGATGGCTGCCGCGAATGTCGGTGGCTTCGCGGAGGCCTCCCGTTGTTTCACCCAGTCCCGCTCTTTCCCGTGAATGATGACCGTGCTGATGGGGTCAAAGAGCAACATGTCAAGAACATATCTGGTTGGTAGTTTGGAACACGGCTTTTATATTTTTCCATATATTGGGAATATATATTGGGAATAATAATCTTAAGTGACGAACTCATATTTTTCAGTGGGGTGGCTCAACCACCAACCAGATATGGTGTCAAGAACAACAACTGTAGCATCCTGTAACAATGAGGATATTCAGCAATCAGCTGCGGCATAGGGAGGATTGCGATTTACCAAGATCTGCATGGAACACCCCAAAAAGTGGGCGGCAGATGGTTATTTCTTAGATCATAAATGGCTATGGGTCAAAACCCTGGTACCCCTGTAGTTCACATCAAAATAGCTGGGATTTATGGATGTTCATCCCACTAAAAATGTATCTATAGGTATTGACCCATACCCAAATGGTTCCCACAATTTTGGCAAAAAAAGATCGTACTCCCCAGGTTTTCACACCAGGGACCCCAAGTTCGGCTCTCATTCTCTGCCCGCCTCATTGACGAATAAGTGCGCGTGCCGTGTGCTCGTGGTTGGAGGACTCTGTCGGACCGAGACGGCGCAGGTGGTGTGTCTGCAGGTGGCTACATCGTCGATTTAAGGAGTCCTATGTTGGTCAACTTGAACCACTGAGCGCCAGCAATTTCCAGAAGGTACAAGAAAGTCGTGCGCGTCTAGCTGCCTAGCTCCTTGACTTGAGATAACGAGTTAGGTTCCATCTTGTTCCCCGTGGTGCAGTGGCATCCTGGTGCAACCAATTATTCATTGTTCACTAACAAGATCTCTCAGATCATGTCACGAAATGGAGAGGGAAGCGTACTTGTCTTCCAACCGCAGAGCATTTCGGACATCCTTTTAGCTCAGCAAAGCGGCCCATGGGCCATTTCGCTGCAGTGCGAATTCGCAGCACACAAAAAAAGCCAGCTCGGCAGCCAGAGATGCTTATGACCCAAGATTTTGGTGGGTGCCTAGGTCCTAAATTCGCTGGAAAGGCTGTGGTTGGACTTCCCCTGTTATGTTTGTCAAGGATGTGGCCGCCAGATGTTGGATCGCCCTCTAGCCATTTCTAGCCCGGAACCTCACCGGAAAATGGTGGCACGTCTCGAAGAAAAACGTCCCGTGGAGAGCGCCAAAGTTGTCGATCCTGCGTGATTTGGAAGCATCTTGAACTGCCTTCACTGAAGCTGTTTCTGACCAAAGGTTTTTGGTTCCCACTGATTCACTAGCCGTCGTTTGGCAACAAAGAGAAAGAATTGATTGCTGTGCCTGCAAGAAAAGGTTTCATGTTTCCAATCATGCCTGGATGGATTCAAGTGGTGATATGGTGATATATGCGTCAGACATGCTCCAGCTTTTGTGCTCAAGTTGGCAGTGAACATTTATACTCCATATAGATAGGATGAAGACGGATGAAGAAGCCAGACCTTTGGAGCAGGCGGGAGTCAATTTTCGAGGGTGAGTTCAAAAGCCCTGTTGATTGATAGTTATGTGGTTATATCGGATCATACTATCTAATCGATTGGGGATGATCACACACCAAAAACCGGGACATCCGTTCTTTTTACCAACCAGTATACTCAGTATACATGTTTTGGCACAGGCTTTTAAGCACAGATCATTTTGTATCATTCTGCATCTCTTGGACAATGAAAGGTTCCTACTGTGGTATTTTCTTCAACCCTCAACCATCCCCCAGGTCATGACCGGCATCTCCAAATCACTGGAGCACCGTTTTTATCTAAAATAGTATTAGAAACTGTGGTAAATCACTTGTTGAGGAGGTATAATAAGAAGAACCCTCTGTACATATGGATTTGTTAGATAGGAACTTGAAGGTATCCATTTATCCAGATTTATCCATTCATTTTCCAGATACCAAGTGTACAAACAAATACATAGAGACACAGGCGTACATGCTCAAGTAGACATATTTGTAATAACTTTCCCAGTTTGACCATCACAAAGTATCTACACCGAAGTATTGCCTCGGACCCTTGGATTTTATTCTGTTTCGAATGGCCCGAAAGTCGAATTGATGTAATATTATTGGTTTGACACTTTCACACCCACAGACATGTATAAATACAACTACAAGCCTTTGCAGAAACAAACGTGTTTCCATTGGCCGCCCCTTAAATCTAATGACATTAGTCTGGCCAATTGCACCATTCCAAACCAACCCCAAATCCTGAAATATCCTGAAATTCCGCAAACTATGCACTACAAACAGCCTTCAGACCGGGTCTGGCACCATTTTGGGGCAGGCCGTGATGGAGGAGGGACGAGGCTTCGAAGCTTCGCGGGCGTCCTGGAAGGGGGTGGCACTGATCTCCTGCCTTTTCGGTGGGTTGGTGACTGCGGCTTTCTTCCTGGGAGCTATGGCGTTTGTGCGCCAGAACTCTGTGGTCGTTGTGAATATTGATGGCGGCGGTGGCGGTGGTGGAGGTGAGGGTGGTGGTGGTGGTGGCGGTGGGGTTGGGGATGTGAATGTTTTTCTCGGCGAGGGCGTGAAGAGGACGCATCCACACTGTCCGGATTTTCCAAAGCTGGACATTTTGGAGGTTACGCACAATAATCTTGGCAATGTGGGTCCTGACACGGGCACGGAAGGCCTTTACTACCATGTGAAAACAGAGAAAGGTGAGGAGATGTACATGGATGTCCATGCGACGTCATTCAAGTCCGACAATGCCGGTATGGGAATGCGTGGTGCCTTTGGGAGTATCAATGTTGCTGGGAACACCGAGGCTCTTCTGCACGTCAGCTTCAGGGACTTTGAGACAAAAAAGCCTGTTGTCGTGGATGATTTTAGCCTGAGTTTCTTTGACCTTGACCATGACCAGGGAGGCTCCGGCCTGAAAGCTTTGACCATTGAGGGTGACTGGTCAATGGCAGTGGTTGCCCAAGAAACGAGTCTCCTCGTGCATCGAGCGGGGGAGAGCAAGATCACTTTTCATGCCACTGAAGAATCAGAAGCTGGAGATCCCGAGGATCCAAACGTGTTGACCCTGAATCAATACAACAAAGCCGTGACTGTTCGCTTTCAACATGCAGACCACTTTCGTATTGGTTTGCAGGTGACCGGTGCTCAGGTGAACCGCATCTTTGAGTTCACTGGGGGTGCCTCAATCCTTTGTGCCAAAAGCCCCACGGGTAAAGCACTGCCTGTGGGCCAAGTGTATGTGAACGAACATCAGCTGAAGGTTGGCCATGGCGAAGTCAAGCACGACAGGAAGTGGTGGTGGATGCTGGCGATGCTGTCCATGCTGGCAGCCTTGATTTTCGCCCTGATTTTCATCATTTCCTCCTTGCACGATACGGCGGCAAAGGTGCCAGGAGACTCAGAGTCACCATCGTATCGACCTCCTCGTAGCTGGTGCTGATGGGCCAAGTGTTGCCGGCTCCAGGCATCTCCAGGCGTACCTGGAGCTGAGAGCCTGTTGGGGATCTCCATGGAGCTCCCCCGGTAGCGAAAAGCGCCACAAATTGATGGGTCACTGTTTCCAAGTTCACATGGCATGCTTCAAAATCAGCTGATTTTCAAGGATTCCGGGAGATTCTTTTTAGCAGTTATGGTCACAAGTCTCATTATGTCTAGAGTTAGTTATGGTGTAGCTACCAGGCACGATGGGGTGTATAATTCAACTACTTCGGAATGGAGTCGACTAGGGAAGTGATTTGCAGATATGATATGGGTATATATGTGTCAGAATTCTTTAGGGCCACAACAAAACGGAACCACCCCAATGAAAAAATGGTCCTTTCAATGAATCATTGGTCTCTTCCTTCTGGGCCCGTCATTTCATGTCTTTGCCCGGGCTCAGATGAGCCAAGGCCAAAGCAATTGACAGCTGTTGGAAGGTCAATTTCTTGTTGCATCTCTATCCCTATGTGAGGGATGACATTCACATCCAAATTCAACAAAAAATAATATCATGAGATTTTCAAGTCAAACTGGAACTGCAAAAGACAAAGATCGAAATCAAAAGAAGATCGAAACTGCCAGACACAGCCATGGAGACACCCCAAGATGCCCTCTGTGGAAATCGTCGCTGGCTCCTGGCCTGCAAGTGCTGGTTTGATGATAGGCTCAGGTTTGCGGTTCTGGTTGTTCGCTGCCTCGCGAGACTGGCAATCCCTTCTTCTCATTCTCCCCAAATATCATCATGAAGAGGCCACATGAATAGATCCAGTATTTGGGATATGGGATTAGACGTCGTTCTATATGTCTATGTCTTTTCTTTACCCTGAATCATCTCATTGGAAAGCAAACCTCCTCATGCAACCTGCAACACGGCCTCCATGACGGAAATGGTTTGTTTCCGAGATTCCAGCCAGTATACCCCCAGAGCACGTTTTCTATGAGGAGTCACGTAGTCTGAAATCAAACATCTCTAAAAATCAACTTTCTCAAGAGAACATACCTTAAGAATACCTCAAAATCTTCACTTCTCGAGACTTTCCAGGGAACCAAAAAAATCACACTTCTACACTACACACTTTCCAGCAAATCCCACCCAGGTGCCACAGGCTTTCCTCCGCTGTTGCTGCCGGAGACTTGCCAAACGGCCCCTTGGCATAACGGAGCCAAGGCTTTGACGAAAATTTGATGGAGTTATGAGGTGTTTTGATCTGAGATCAACCAAACATGAACTATCCAAACTTGTTTTTCACCAAGGAAAAGGTGCAAATTGGGGTGCGCAAACGGTAATATATAAATAGTACAACCTTGTGAGTCTCAAAATGTCGACACTGACCTCGAACCCGTGTATCCCCATCATATCCCACCCAAATTGACGAATTCCTCCCTCGTATCATCAACCAATCGAAAGCCTGGTGGAATGTTATTGGATCTATTCTTTTGGGGTCCCTGGAGGGTATAAATCGTACTGTGATGGGATTGACATGAATTTGTTTGGAGCCCAAATATTTTGAAGGTCGAACATCATGAATTTCCTACTAAGATCTGTTTTAGCAAAAGGGCTATTTCGGGTATCCCCCATTTCCTCGTTGGTTCAGGATTCTGACCCTGTTCTGATGGCAACAAACCTTCAAACAAACCTGCCTGATGGCAAGAAAATCCCCATTTCAGGATGGATACAATGGTGATAACCACTTTATTTGCAATCTTTAATGGTTGACCCCCATTTTAAATGGTATTAAATCATGGTTAACCACTAAACACTGGACACATTTGAGCCCCCAAATGGTTAACATCCATTCCAACACGAAGCAGGTGGGCGCCCTGCGCGGACAGCTCGGAGACGCCTTGGGCGGTGCTAAGGTGGAACTTTGGGGCAAATCTGTGGGAAAATGATGGGAAAAAGCACATGAATGATGCTCATTAGGAATAGCTGTACCACAATAGCCTTATCTCAGATTAGTGATTTCTATTTTCCAAGTTACCCAGATTTCATTGGCTGTTGACCGACACTTTTGGACTTGGTTTTTTGGTTGTCATTATTATTTTCCCTGAAGAATGGTTGCGGAAACTCACGATTTTGGGTCATTTGGTCATTCTTGATGTGAAAATAAGTTTGAAATTTCGGTCATGTTCAGCAATTTTGCGGTGCCCCCAATTGGCACATGCCCACATCATGGATACATTTTCTGTGACTTTTACATATCCCCACATTTTTGGGGCGTCCACGCACCCACAGCTTTTCAGCTACATTTTGCTGAAGTATTGGCAGCTTCACCTTACACCAGCAATCCAAATAATTGCGGACCATGATGTCTCATCTTGTTTGGTGGTGAAATGCAGATTTGGGATGATGTTAGTAGGTAAAGTCACCCAATTATATTCTCTGAACTATCCCCATGATCCCTATTTCCCAGCTGGTGACTTTTTTCTCATGGCAGTGCGAAATATCTTTAACTGGTGACTGGCAGAAGTCCTCGCTCCTACCCTGTGGAAGCCTCAAACATCACTGGTTGGAGCCTCTGGGAGCTTCCCCGATGGATGGTCCGTTGCAAGTTTCAATTCCCGAAGTCCCAGGATGAGTTTTTTTTTCCGGAAAAAAACATGAACAGTTTTTCTGGGATTTAACTGTACTTCACTGTTTAACTGCAAAGCCCTTAACTGTTCCGGTGGGGATTTCGTCACGCCCCAACTCCTCTGATGGCTTTCGATCATCCCCCTGGGAAAAAGCAGGTGCTGCAGCTGGGGCTCCTCAGTGGGCGGGTGCTGGAAACTCCACCAGTTCGATGCTTTTCCCATGGAAAAGACCTCCATTTATAAGGGATTTTCCAGCTAGCCATGTTTGATTACCGGAGGGTATTTTTCTCTTTCAACTGAATGGGTTACTTCTCTTGTCAATGAGCTGCTTGCAGCATTTGGCGTTGAAGATCCCTACAGATCTACACATCGTCACCCGTCGAATCGATCTTTTGTGGATTTACAACAACTCCAACTCCTATGGCTAACAACACGCACGAGCAATAAGAACAAGAACCAAAAACCACAGCCACCCCGAATCAACAACCAGCCTGGGTTGTAACGAATGGGGGGTCGAACGGCTCAGGGAGTCCTTCCTGGAGCAGCTAAAGGAGTACGCGCAGAGGTGAGACTCCGATGTTTGGGGGAAGCAATCCATGGATGCGGCGAATGGGGAAAATCCGGGGTTATGAAATGTGGAGGTTTCCTATGGCGGTGGTGACTTGGGGATCCCTCAGTTTAAGAACCCCCCATATTGGGGATATTGGGCTGTTGATATTTCAATGGGATATTCTCCATGCTAGTGGGGAAAAAAACAAGCTACAGCTTCAGAAAAGATGGACACCCCCAAAATGGTTGATTTCCACAGGGAAAACAGAGATAAAGCGTGAGATTTTTGGGTACCCAATTTTCAGATAAACCCAGATCAGTAGGGACTCCTTTCATCCCACTCAATCTCCAGTAGTCAGCGGTGTCAAAACTTCTTCTTGTGGTGGCCCATCATTTGCCAATTTACGCTATCACCAATTCAAGGTATACCAGGTGTGCTGAAAGCCTTAGAACTGCCATTTACCTCCCAGCACAGCATGCGCCGATGTAGGATTCTTCCAGAGCTTCCTTAGAAAGGGAATGCCAAGAGCTTCACAGCGGGTTCGACTTCAGTCCTTGTTTTCCCTTCGCCATGCTGCAGGACCTGTTGAACTCTAAGCCTCTATTTTTGGCCAGCGGCAGAATTGGAAGCAGTATGGTATTCAACTATCACGCCCCTGCACAGCTTTCGGCTGCGAAGGAGAGGATGAAGAAAAAGAGGGCAGAGAGATGTAGGCCTTAACACCACAGGTGATGCGCTCCCATACCGTGTGGCACCATTTCATGCCTCATTCTGGCGAATCATTTCCCATCATCCATGTCGTCAAAGACCCCACATGCTGCACTTCCACTGACTCCTTGCTGGGTTTTTCGCCAGCTACACTGGCACCTTAAAAAATAAACAATCGAAGGCGCAATGTAACATCCACCATTCATAGATGATTTTCCATCTTATTTTCCATCTTTTTTCGGATAAACAACGGGGATCTTTCTAAATCAAGGATGCCATATATGGCTCGTTGACCGACCATTCGCGCGCAGATCTCTCAGCGGTCATGGCCGGATGGGATGTGGTGCCCTCTGCCAAGACGGTGGCGCGCGCCACGGGCTTGGGCCTGCTGACAGCAAGCGCGCTGGTGGCAGTGCAAGTGATCAGCGGCTTGGTGAGATCCAACTGTTACAGTGCTGGAGTGGCGTTGAAAAAATGTATACCCTCTGGTAAACTAACATAGCTATGGAAAATCACCATTTTTCATGGGAAAATCCACTATAAATGGCAATTTTCAATAGCTATGTTAAATTACCAGAGGGTACCCCAAAATCATCGTTTTAAATGATTTAAATGGGAGAATGACAATCAACTCCATTGGATTTTGAGGTGATTTTCAGACAAAGCCGTGGATTTCAAGCAGCAACACGATATGATAGTCATTTTCATGAGGATATAGTGGGGATATCACCAACAATCTGACTTTTTGGCCATCTTCATAGGGAAGTTGGATGTGGGGAGATGCGATCAGAACATGAATACATGTTACGTTAAAAACACCACACATAAACATCCCAACGGCCCGGAAACCGGCCCAGCATTTTGTTGATTTTGTTAAATCATTCTCTTCTTGCATGTAATGAAAATGTGGTGTTTTGCAAATCTTTAGACAATTCTTGGTTTCTTTTGTGTGGCAATTCTATTAGGATTTAGAAAAAAATCATTGTATTTCAACGAGAGCTTCAAAATGTATATTCCAGACCATCAAAAAACGTTACTTTTTTTTTAGATGGTTTTGTATTTCGTCACAGCGCCAGCACTTCTTTTTCCCTCATGTCAACTTGCGGACAGTCTTACCTGTGATGTCGCAGACATCAACATTCCTGTGAACGAAGTAGAGATAAGACGTGTCCAGCGTAACATCATGTGCGTGCAACCCAGTAGAGATAGGACGTGTGGATCATGTGCGTGCAACCCAGTAGAGATAAGCCGTGTCCAGCGTAACATCATGTGCGTGCAACCCAGTAGAGATAAGACGTGTCCAGCGTAACATCATGTGCGTGCAACCCAGTAGAGATAAGACGTGTCCAGCGTAACATCATGTGCATGCACTCCAGTAGAGATAAGACGCGTCCAGCGTAACATCATGTGTGTGGAACTCAGTAGAGATAAGACGTGTCCAGCGTAACATCATGTGCGTGCAACCCAGTAGAGATAAGACGCGTCCAGCGTAACATCATGTGCGTGCAACCCAGTAGAGATAAGACGTGTCCAGCGTAACATCATGTGCATGCACTCCAGTAGAGATAAGACGCGTCCAGCGTGACATCATGTGTGTGGAACTCAGTAGAGATAAGACGTGTCCAGCGTAACATCATGTGCGTGCAACCCAGTAGAGATAAGACGTGTCCAGCGTAACATCATGTGCGTGCAACCCAGTAGAGATAAGACGCGTCCAGCGTAACTTCATGTGCGTGCAACCCAGTAGAGATAAGACGTGTCGAGCGTAACATCATGTGCATGCACTCCAGTAGAGATAAGACGCGTCCAGCGTGACATCATGTGTGTGGAACTCAGTAGAGATAAGACGTGTCCAGCGTAACATCATGTGCGTGCAACCCAGTAGAGATAAGACGTGTCCAGCGTAACATCATGTGCGTGCAACCCAGTACAGATAAGACGTGTCCATTGTAACATCATGTGTGTGGAACGAAGTAGCGATAGGACGTTTGCAGCGTAACATCATGTGCGTGCAACGAAGTAGCGATAGGACGTGTCCAGTGTAACATCATGTGCGTGCAACGAAATAGAGCTAAGACGTGTCCAGCGTAACATCATGTGCGTGCAACCCAGTAGAGATAAGACGCGTCCATTGTAACATCATGTGTGTGGAACGAAGTAGCGATAGGACGTTTGCAGCGTAACATCATGTGCGTGCAACGAAGTAGCGATAGGACGTGTCCAGTGTAACATCATGTGCGTGCAACGAAGTAGAGATAAGACGTGTCCAGCGTAACAGCATGTGCGTGCAACACAGTAGAGTCAGTAGAGATAAGACGTGTCCAGCGTAACATCATGTGCGTGCAACCCAGGAGAGATAAGACGTTTCCAGCGTAACATCATGTGCGTGCAACCCAGTAGAGATAAGACGTGTCCAGCGTAACATCATGTGCGTGCTAAAAACGCAATTGCATAAGACGTTATTACACCCCCCCCACCCCGCACTTCACCCCAAATGAGCCAAACGCAAAAAAACGCAAAAACGCTGGGCTGGTTTTCGGGCCGTACGCATAAACATGAGAATAGTTGCACAGATAAGTACATATGAATATGTATATGTCTACAACATAGTTACACATGTGAATTAACTGAGAAATGAATATGTATGCTGTATGTGCATAAACACACACACACACCACCATACGTCACAAGCATACATCCTGATGTTAAGACTCCCTGTGGACGGAGACAGCTGAGGAATTCGCTGCCGCCGTGGGCCGAAAAACTTCAAGGAGCGCAGCTGATGCCGAATTTTCCGATAAATCCATTTCTGTATCAACATTGCTTGGTAAATCTTGGTTTGGTTGCTTAACAGGCTAATTTTTTGGGCATGCATGAAAGACTATTTGATATTCCACCAAGATATTGAACTACTGTATCTAAAAGTGCATCTACTTGTTTGGCCGTGATTGCAAGAACTGGTTTGCAGGTTTCAAAGACAAACAAAGACCCATTGGTTGCAGCTGCACAACATCGGACGTTTCACCAAACTGGAATTCACCAGTCTGGCACACCCTGGTCTACTGCTATGCGGGCTATGCGGGTCAAATTTCAAGCCCAAGCCGATCTTGCTTTTCTGGGCAACCACCACACATTTCTGATATATTTGTTCTGTTTTTTTTTGGGAATAATCCACCACACATCTCTGGATTTTTTGGGTGTCGAAGAACCACCCCAGCATCAAAATATTTGGGGCACCCGTTGACTCCTGCCCGTTGGCAGGACTACGTGTCCACCAGCGTGCCCCGCGCAGCGGAAGAGGATTGCAGCCGCGACCGCTTTTCTGCCAGGAAGCTGCCGAAGAACATCGAGGAAGGGGGTTGGCGAACGGGGAAATCCCCGATAAAATGGGCATTGAAATGGGAAAATCATCCAACTAAATGGAGGATTTTCCAGCAAGCCATGTTTGATTACCAGAAGGTAACTCCCAGATTCAATGATGAATTCACAGGAAACCATGTGTTTTACTGTCGGTTAAAACCTCTTTAAAGTCATACCAAAATCATACCTGCACTACCTCCACTACCTCCATCGTAGCGCAGGTGGTGGTTATCGGCTCGGGCATCGGTGGCCTCTACCTGGCCGCGCTGCTGGCGAAGTCGGGGCGCGTGGTGGTGGTGCTGGAGCAGTGCCCTGGGTCGGGAACGGGGGTGGAAGGTGGTGCTCGTGGTGCCCCCCAAGTGATGTTCGTTGCTTTTATAAAGCCAAGTAACTAATGATATGGAAATGGGACGGGAGTTTTTTTTTTGAGGTGGAGGGCAAATCATCTATGGGATACATTGCTTTAATTGATTTAACTGGGGGAGAGTAGGGAAACATGTGGAATTTTACTGATGAACATGATTAAGCTGATGGCAAACGGGGGAAAACTCAAGTAGCAAGGATTGGAGGGGTTAACTGATGGAACTGGATTAACTGTTGATCAACTGATGAGAATGAAATTGACGGATCAACATGTGGGATTTAAGCAGCAACAGTTGGACGTTTTACTCATGAAACAAGTACGACTGGGGTGCATCCTAGCTTTTGGAGTAAGTGGTTGATGTTGATAGTAACCGAGGTACATAACGAAAGTTGGAAGTTACTTGATTAGAATGATTGAAGATGTGGATTTAAGCCCGCAAGAACGGGGATTCAAGTAGATGAAACCATGAAAGAAGATGAAAGAAGTATGAGTTTCCAACAGAAAAATCTGTTTTTTTAGATAATTTGGCAACAAAAGACCATCTTGGCTTCACTTCCGGTTCATCAGTCCGCAAAAAACCCTTGGAGCGCTCGCTCCAGCCTCCTCCAAGGCACTACGTGGCGGGCGGCTGCACGCATGAGTTCACCGACAAGGGCTGGACCTTTGACACTGGGGTGCACTATGTGGGCCGCGCGGAGAAATATGGCCACCTGGCAGCACCTGGCTGCAGGGACTATTGGTGGAACCTATGATGAAACCTATGAGACGACGATCCAGTTTGAAATTGATGACCTATAAAATTACCATTTTCGGATCGTAAAAACTCTGGATAACCTCAGCTTTTACACAGGGGATTTGTATGAAAACCATGTACTGTACCCCATTCCAGCGAGGCAAACTGCTGGAACTGGTCTCGTCCGAGCCCATTGAGTTTGCGAAGCATCTGGGACTGCTTGGTGGCTCTGAGATGGTCCTTGTTGTTTGGGGGGATTCACCTTGACGGGCGTTGATGTTGAATCCCACATGACCAAAAACGTTTACTGGTTGGTGGCTTGGAACATTTTTCATTTTTCCATATATTGGGAAGAATAATTCTATTTTTCAGAGGGGTAGGCTCAACCATCAAGCAGTTGAGCATTTTGTTGAGATGACTTGGTTTCCTTGGTCCCTGGATGACACCACGATGGCACCAAGGATGGGCAGCGAAGCGGATGGCTTTGTGTATGACCAAATCAAGATTGGCGATGAAGCCATCCATTCTCTGCGGGCTGGCAGACACAACTTTATCCAGGACTGGTTCTGAGTGGTTCGTGACGAGATTTTTCCAGAATATTTTGCCAATCGCTGCATCGCTTTAACTATGGAGATCGGCAGGAACCGCAAGATTTCCATAGGAAAATGCCAAGGTTTCCTGCACGTTTCCCAGTGTAATGCTGTGAGGACCTCCAACAACGTTTTCCGGAGGAGAGGGAGGCCATCGAAAAATATGTGGATTTGGTGGTGAAGTGCAACAAATCTGCTGATTTGCACTTCTTCGGCAAGCTCTTCCCGCGCTTTCTGCAACGTTTCTGGGAGACGGAAATTGGATGGGAAAGTCTGAGGTTGAAAGCAAGTTCATGGTACATTTTACATCATTTTACCATGTTTTCTGGTTTTGATGTTCCATGAAACCAACAGGTGTTTGATGGTTTTTGATGGTTTCTGGTCTTGATTCGATGAGGCGTACAGTTTAGTAATCTATCATCTGGCTTGCTGGAAAATTTGAAAATCCTCCTATTGTTACCCGGCCTGGTAAACATACAAAAAGCTATTGAAAATGGCCATTTATAGTGAGTTTTCCCATTAAACATGGTGATTTTCCATAGTTATGTTATGTTAGTTTACCAAAGGGTAGATGATGTTAGGCGCTGTTCAGACTCGAAAAACCTGGGATTGTACAGCCAGATTTTTTCTCGAAATACCGGCGTGTATATTCATGGGGCCGGCAGACATCCCAAGATATTCAATTTGGTAAGTGGTTTGTCTGCGAATAGTGTACCTCAAAATCTGATGGTTCATCATCATTTTCCATTTAAAAAAAAGGCCATAGATGGCCATAGATTGGGGTCTCCCCTATTCTCAGAATTCCCTGAGAAGTTCCGACACAGTCAAGTGATTTGTTTATTTTTCAGGCCTGCTGGATCCGATTCTGTCCGCCAAGTTCAACAAGCTCGCGAGTCGCACTGCGCCTCGTTAGTTGCAGGGTGAAAAAACACAACCATTTTGGACACGAGATTTTGTTACTTTCGGCAGTCACCATCAAATGTTAGTGGGTTTGGGTGTACCAATACACGATGATTTCGACCAAAAGAATGGAATTGGCAGATGAGTCTGCAGTTGGAACCAGGTATTTTTGGGTTCCATCTTGAATTTCATCTTATGCCCCACGATTGTTGTGACATCATTGAAGTCTGGTCAATGGGGGTGAACCGGGTGGCAGAACACTGCTGGATCAATGGCAAGCCCAGATACCAGTCCTTCCCCCTTTTTTAGGGGTCGGGCAGTTTGGGCACCATGTGCCTGCCTCAACCGGCCGTCGAAGCATCTTATCAAGTCATTGTGCAGCATCCAATGGCGCTGGCTCCCCAAGGATCTCGATGATCTCACATTTCCATATATGGAAAGTGAACTCCATATATTTCCAAAAAAAATCCATATATTTCCATATTTCAGCATCCAATGATCCCCAATGATCTCACATAAAGCAACAAAAAACACGTGAACTCCGTGAAGTCCCTTACGCTTTTGCAGCTGAAATCCCAACTTTTGTTGAAACTTTTCAGGATCCACTGAGATCCCCAGTAGATTTTCCTCTGGATGGACTGTACCTATATGCAAGTTAAGTTGCAAACATGTTTAATCTCGATGTGAGCTTCCAAGTGCCCGATGTTCTACTCTCAAGCTGTTTTTCTTTCCTTGGTCCGCCATGGCATGAAGTTGGAGTGGGCGATACTTTGTTGGGCTGGCGCTTCCTTGTTCCACGACATTCGATCCCCTGTTCCTGCTTCTGTCTCCTCAGCAGAGATTTCAGTGCTCAGAGAGGATCTCGTGGCCACTCGTGCTGCTTTGGCTGGGATTGAGGAGGGGCATTTGACTTGTGGTTGGCGATTGAAGCTGAGCAACTGGCTTTTGCAATTATCACTTCTCTTTCATTTGGCTTTTGTGGTTTGGTGGCTTTGTTTCAAATCCAAAAGGGTGCCGATTCCTCCAGTTAACCTGCCCATTGGTGACACTGGGTCCACTGATTCGGAGGAGGCTGATTCTTCTCCTACTGCTAAGGGTTCAGGCCTTTCAAGGTCCTCCACTGGGGGGTCACTGGCTCCGCACTCAGTGAAGGGCAGGCCGGTACGGCCATCGGACTTGAGGGCACGTCATGGACGATCTCACCCTCAACATCAGTGAGGTTCAGGTCCTGGTCAATTACCCAGGAGACGCTGATGGATTTCATTGGCACCATCGCATTTTGTTATGCAGGGTTGGGGGGTCCACATGGTTGACACTCACCCCTGACCATGACATTGTGCGGCATGATTTGGCGACCATTCCTCACCGAGTGCTGGATAGAGCTTCACCTTTCCCTGATGACATAGCTGATGAGATCTATGCTCATGACCCCATAGGCAAAGCTTCATTGGCAGCATTCAAACGTCAGGCAAACACGATGGCAGTCATTTTAGGTGAGGGCACACTGCCGGAGAGCGAGACTTTCACTTGGGTCATCTCAGAGCCCGACCACGCTGGTTTTGGATCCGAGGTTGATAGATCCCTTTTGCATGACCCCTCCACTGGACTTTCATTTGCCACCAAGGGAGTTGTGCAGATCAATGGGGAAGAGACCTTTGTTGAGCGAGTGCTCACCAAGGACTTGGCAGACTGGCGGAAGACCAAGATGCTGGGGCAGGCTGACATTCGGCTCCTTGGGGATCACAAAGACGCCTCTGGACGGCGCCGGCTGGACCTAGCTCAGGCCGTGGCGCTCATGAAACAGCATGAGGAGGTTGGGTTCCCGATTTCAGGGACCAGAGCCAGCAGGGAGCTTCATGAGGCGGTGGCATCAGGCGCGGGCAATTTTGTTTCCTACCATTCAGAATGGGTACGGTTGTCAGGTGTCTCCCGCAGATCCAGTTCGGCAATAGTGCATCAGTCCCTCTGTGAAATTCTGCGGTTGGCTCATTTCTACGATCAGATTGATTCATCAAGCTTGGCCAGCATGGAGCATGTATCCCGTTGGTTGATTCAAGTTGAGTTAGCTGTTGAGCGAAATCCTCAGCAACCGAACTATGAGGGCTTGGACATCCTTTCGGGAACTTCGGTCAGCAGTGATGGCCGAGCCACCACGACCAAGTTTGTGGAGTGGGTGAGCAACCGTATGAAGGATCGTGCCAATATCTGGCGTCAGGAGAGGCTGTTTAAGCAGGAGAAACAATCACAACGTGGCAAGGCAGCCCCCGACCATGATGATGATTCGGAGGATGATGAGGGGGCCCCAAATTCAAGGAGAAAGAAGAACAAGAAGAAGAAGAAGTCGGCGGCCTCACCTGGGGCCGCAGAGACTAAGTGAGTTTTGACCATCGGCCTGGGTCACCCGCTGACACACCATGTTAGACTCTGGCCAGATTGCGGGATTGCATGATTTGTTTGAACTTCGAAGGAAGTCTCTGCATAGAAAACATGGAGATCCTTTCCCTCTGCCCCGGCTTCGAAACGACGCCCTGACAGGAGAGGATGCTGAATTCACATCACTGCCACGGCGAGTGGATGAATGTCTTCGTTGCCTCAACGAGCTCGCTGCAGTTCCTTTTCACGACACCATCTCGGAGAGCAACTTGGCTTGGACCGATGTCCAGCGCTGGATGTTTTCTGACCTCGCTCGCAGAATCCTCGAGCATGGGGGCCCCCCTACAGACTTGGACGGTCCTGGTGCTTTGAGGGAGCTCTGCAGTGAGGAGAGCCTGTATTCGCAGGAGGCCGCTCATCTTGCATGTTTCGATAGCAGTAAGGTGAAGATCCTTCATAGAGCATTGCAGCCCACTGATGCCGAGAAGCTTCTTCCTCCTGAGTCTAGTCATTATCTGGTTAACTTCAGAGAATTGATTGAACGACCCCAACGGGAGATTGATGTTCTTTCGGTTTCGGATGGGTTTCCACAACCATATTGGGATCCTTCACTGAAAAGGAGTAGGAAGAAACGGCTAGAGCTGTATGCACTTTTGTGGAAAGCCAACCTTTTGACTTTCCGTCGTCGACGCAAAGCTCGCGCCGGCCTGTTCGTGGTCAAGAAGAAAGACGGGGCCCAGCGGCTGATCATCGACGCCCGGCAGGCCAATGCTTGTCATCAGCGACCTCCGGTGACTCAGCTTTCAACAGGAGCAGGCATGGTCAGTCTTGACTTGAGTCCGGCATCTCTGGAGTCTCAGGGATTTGGAGTGGTGGGGGGCAATCCTCGTCAGTGCTGCTTTGAGAGTGGGGATGTGTCTGATTGTTTTTATAACTTTCAGGTCAAGAGACTGGCCTCCTGGTTTGCTTTTGATGATAAATTCACAGTGGGCGAACTACGTTCAATGGGTTTTGATGTTCAGACTATTTTTGATGACTTGTTGGACAAGGAGGTTTGTGTGCCTGACTCCAAATGGGTCTTTGCTTGTTTCGGTGGATTGCCGATGGGATGGTCATGGGCTCTGTATTTTGCACATGAGGCCATTGTATATCAGAGTAGTGCTCCACGTGGGTTTGACACTTCAGATGTGATCCGAGATCGACAACGACCCCCCAAAGTTTTACCCGACCAACCGGCTATGGGGATCTATGTTGATAATGTCCATGCATTTGCGGGTACTATGGGGCAAGCCTCAACTAGGATCTCAGAAGTATGCAAACGATTTGAACAGCTGGGAATTCCTTTTGTAGTGGACCATGTGGAGACTGCTCTGGTGACCGACTCACTCGGCATGACACTGGACTTTCGCGATCAGTGCAGAGCCCGGCCGAAGAGCCGGCGGGCTTGGCGGCTTTGGTATGCTATCCATGAGGTGTTAAAACGACCCCGTCTTCATGGTAGGGTATTGCAAGTGCTGCTGGGTCATTTGGTACATCATTTTCAACTTGCCAGATCTGCTATGTCTATTCTTTCAGCATCATACCGATTTGTAGCTGACCATTGGTTTCATCGAGCACCTATCTGGAAGAGTGTCAAGAGGGAATTGCAACAATGTTTAGGGGTTCTCTTCATTATTGAGTTCAACATGTCGGCTGAAACTTGCACGGAAGTTCATTTGGGTGATTCATCTGATATGGGCTACTCACTGATGTCCACGCAAGCCTCGCATCAGGAAATCCGAGAAGCTCTCCGCGACCGGGAGAAGTGGCGGTTCATCACCTCGTTGGAGAGGCGCAGTGGCCCGCTCCTGGAACCGGGTAGCTTCTTGGATTTGCCGGGAGACCCGTCAGAGGTTAGAGATGGTGAAGAGACCCAAGACTTTCACTATGTCGGATGCAGCGCTGAACCTGCGTTGGGGACCACCACACAATATGGTAGAGAACTTTCAAAACGCAAACCACGTCGACATGTCAAGAACCTTAGACAGAAGCCAAAATTTTTGACATCGGAACCAACTATGATCGCCGGCCCTCCCATCCCGGAGATCTCTCAGTGCTGGAGCCAACAACATCGATGGCAACTCATCACGGCGAAGGCGTGGGAGGATCCCAGGGCACATATTAATGAGAAGGAGGGGCGAGTTTGTCTCATGGGTTTGAGAAGGTTGGTTCGTACGGTCAAGAATTTGGGTAAGGTTGCTTTCAGTATATCGGATAATCTCTCTTGTACCTTGGCTTTTGAGAAGGGTAGGAGCAGTTCATCACACATGAATTTTCTTTGTCGCCGGGCGGCGGCGTATCAATTGGCTGGTGGCATTCAATGGCGATTAAGACATATTCGCAGTGAGTTGAATGTCGCAGATAAACCTAGCAGACAATTTGGCAGTCGGAGAGAACATCCACATACACAACAGCAGACAGTTGACACTGACCCTGATGCGGTGGGCGACATGTTGGGTTCATATGGCCATATGCCGGCCGGGAAGGACATCCGACCCGAGACCCTGCCGTCTCCCGCTGCTCAGGTTCAGTCGTCGCATCACAGCAGTATCCCAATATGCTGGGAGATCTTCTCAGGCAGTGGACACCTGACCTCTGCCCTTAAACAGATAGGCCTTCCCGTTTTGCCGGCCGTAGACTGTTTGAATGGGCCCGAGTTCAACCTACTTCGCAAAAGCACACAACAGGTTATTTTGCGATTATTGTCAACTGGGAAGATTAGATACGTACATTTTGGCACACCATGTAAGGTATTTTCCAGGGCTAGGCATAACCTGAGAAATTTGGAGAGAGCTCGGCGACATGAAGCAGAGGGAGTGGCTATGGCACTTTTCACAGTCAGATGCGTGCGTGTCCTTCTGCGTGTTGGCGGCTTCTTTTCAATCGAGAACCCCTTGACTAGCAGACTATGGGATTTCCCCCCGGTGTACTCCTTATTCAAACATCGAGACTGTCTTTTTGTTCGTTGGGACATGTGCAAATATTCCACTACATACAAAAAGCCCACCGGTCTCCTCAGCAACTTTCCGGCCCTGGCAGGTTTGGGGGGGACGTGCAGCAGAGACCACCAGCACGTTCAACTCAGAGGCTCGGAGTCGCGACGGGTCCAAGGGAAGATTCAGAGGGGTACCAGGGCTTCTTTTGCTGGTGAGTATCCATGGTCATTGTGTTCTCAGTGGGCCAGTCTGGTTTTTGAAGCTTTGGGGTCCAAGTCATATAGTTCAAGATCTCTACACTACATGTGCCATGAGTTCAAGCGTTCGCTCGTGGGGGCAATGTGCTTCTCACGTCGAAAGAGCTCTCAGCATGACAGAAGAGGATCTCAGGGCAGCCACGGCGAAGAGGACGCCGATGGCCTCCCAGAGGCCCGTGCCTTCATTAAGGACGAAGGGGTCATCTTCGGGCAGCACACAGCCGCAGAAAGTTCAGCCATCCGACAAGGCTGGCAAGAAAAGAAAATTGCCTGACAGAGTTGATCTTAAAAAGCAGCCCATAGTCGGGCCGCACAAACTGGCGACTCTGAAGGTGACTCAGAAGACTTTGGATAAATACCACCTTGAGATTGAACGATTTGCCAACTGGCTTGCTGACACACATGGTAAGCTCCCTTTTTATAGAGATCCTGCCAAGCTAGACCAGCAAGTTGGACTTTATCTGAACTACCTCCATGACGATGTAGAGGTGGAATCTCATCATGCTTCATACCTCATCTATGGACTCCAGTTGCTCCACAACAATGGTCCCAAGACCCATTTCCTTTGCCGCTCCAAGGATTCCCTGGCTGGGTGGCGGAAGCAACAACCCGGACGATCCCGTCTTCCTATGCCGGAGGAGTGCATTTTCGACGTGGCTCGTGCTGTGTTGAATGCTGGACATCTGGACTTGGCTATGGCTATGGTTCTTCAGTATCATTGCTACCTCCGACCAACTGAGGTTCTTACACTGACCAAAGACCATGTTGCCTTTCCATCAGTGGGCAGGTATCGGAAGTGGGGACTGGTGATATCTCCTTTTGAGATTGGAGTAGCCTCCAAAAATGGGTCCTTTGATGACGCAGTAGTTATCAACGATATCCCAGGGTGTGACTGGATTGGGATGGCTATGAACTTGTTTATGAAGAATGTTAGGCATGAGTTGTTCCCTGAGCGAACTTTGGCACAGTACGAGACAATCATGGTTGAGACTGCCCATGCTCTTCAATATGCTCCCGGCGTTTTTCTTCCACACGTGCTTCGGCATTCTGGGCCTAGCTGTGACCACTTCCACTCGCGACGGGATTTAGCACAGATCCAGCGTCGTGGAAGATGGTTGGCCAAGGCCTCAGTGAGGAGATACGAAAAGCATGCAGTCCTCATACGCCAATGGCGGACGGTGCCTTCATCACGTCATTCTGACATTCTGAAGCAATCTCAGACCTTTCCATCCCACCTGCTGAAAGCTCTGCGACAGAACGGTCAAGCCAGAGCTAGATAGCGGATTATGGATGTGGATTCCATGAAACCCAGGGAATGATGTGGCCATGGGAGTGTTCCATTTGAAAGATAGATCACTCTCCTTTTCGCTGCTGTCAGTCAAGCAGACAGTGGCACATCATACAGCTGAAGTTTGGTGCATGACAAAACAAGCTGCTCTGATGGGCACTGTTCTTGCAGCGATGAGATTGGTTAAGTTGCAAACATGTTTAATCTCGATGTGAGCTTCCAAGTGCCCGATGTTCTACTCTCAAGCTGTTTTTCTTTCCCCGTGGCCAACCAAACCTTGGATGTGGATTCCATGAAACCCAGGGAATGATGTGGCCATGGGAGTGTTCCATTTGAAAAATAGATCACTCTCCTTTTCGCTGCTGTCAGTCAAGCAGACAGTGGCACATCATACAGCTGAAGTTTGGTGCATGACAAAACAAGCTGCTCTGATGGGCACTGTTCTTGCAGCGATGAGATTGTATATGTATATAATGAAATATAATATATATATATAGATTTATAATAATATATATATATATACATATATATATATGTTTATACGCATGCATACATAGAGTACATAGAGTTTTTTGGGCACAAACGGGTTTACCTCTCATATCCCACTCTTCCAGTCAAACCTCTAGCAGATCACAAAACCAAAACCCTTTTGAGACTGGGTCGCCGGATTCAATTTTGATTCTCTGCAAAACATGGTGTGATCAACTTCCCCATGACTTTTTCTTTTTTGGGATAGATTGACAGCATCAAAATTTTCGTACAGATGGGTTTGTCTTGAAATCGGGTACCACCATATTAAGTGTATAATGATTGGCTTTGGCTGCTGTTAGGCACTCTCCGTGCCAGCGGCCTATGAGTATAGAGCTCTAAATGGTCAGACCATGACATTTAGGTAATGAGAACTACATTATAACACTAGAGAATGACTGGAATGACTCAACCCATTCCAACTAGACAATAGGGCTGTGTTTCTTTGGATAAAGCCATGACCAGCTGCGGAAAGCTCCGCTCCGAGGTCAAGAAGGTCATGGACGAGCTCTTTTCTTCGGAGCTGCTGAAGGCCATCCTCTGCGGCCAGTTTGGCGACTACGGCATGTGACTGGGCAGAGAGGTGGTGACCACAGGAACTTTCTCCGAGATCTTCGGGCTTCGGTCATGGTAGTGGTGGTAAGAAACATCATGGCAGTATTCTTGGGAGCTTCAAAATCACGACATTGGCAATGTTTAATGGTAAAACATAAGATTTTAGGGTACTTCATTTTGTAGAAACACCCCGATGAGGAAGTATGATGCGTGATGAGTCAGGTGGGTTGACGATGGTGATCTTTACTTTACTCAAGAAATATAACATTTTAATGATGGAACATGTCGGAGAGGAGACATAGATTGGATCTCTCCAGGGGTTGGGTTGATCTTTATGTAATGATGATCTAATGATGATTTTTCCAAGATCCAGGGTAAAAAATGATTCCCCAGCCCACCTTTGCATTTTTGCGAACTCTGAAAAAACATCTCCGGGTGTTTCGAAACAACACACAGTTCCGGGTGTTTCGAAACAATACTTAAATGGGTGGAAGTCAAACATTGGATTTACCTTTACATTTGAGTTCATGAACTGAATCAACGACCCAAAAGTCTGCGGTCGCAACAACGCAACGCGGCTATCAGGTCGCCCTCAACGGCCTCGTTCTTCATCCATGCGGGCATTGTGAGTCACTACCTGGAGACTGGGCGGAGATTTAGGTCACATTTGGCTCGAAGCCACATTTCATGCTGGTTGGTGGTGACTGGTACATTTGGATTATGACTTTCCATATATTGGGAACAATAATGGGGTTGAAACCACCAATTAGTCATGTGTTGCAGAGATAATTAAATGGTATTCTGAGGACGGTGGCTACTACCCCGTGGGTGGACCACAGCACATCAGCCGCGGTCTCATCAAAACCATTGAGAAAGCTGGGGGACGAGTTCTGGTGAACGCTCCAGTGGACAAGGCAGTGGAAGGTATTCCTATCCCCTGATATTAGATACCGCCAAAATGAAACCCCAAAATAAACAGGGGGGGGACTGTGGGCGTGCGCTTTTTTGTTCGTTTTACAATAAGTAGTTGTTGGTGCTATGTAATTCTTTATACACATCATCATGCCTAATGTCATTATAATGTCTCTGCCTACATGTTCATCCAAATGAAGATGCCACCAGCCAAAAAGATCAGTAAAAATATGTAAACATTACAAATAGTCGGTGGAGGGGAAATAGTATTGAGAGATTACTACACCCTAGTAAGCCAAACCATTTTGAAACAGCTGGCTGCAAATGCAACCCTTGAAGCACCCATGCGCATTATGAAGCATTCATCTACAAGATAATAGATGAAATATCATAATGAATTCTTTCAAATAGCATATCATATATCCCAAAGCACATTCCCTTGGCAAAAGTTCTGTCTTTCATCATAGACCCTTCATTCATCTACGCTGCAACATTTTCCTTCAAGGCGATGGTAATTTACTTCTTTCAACAATAGGTAAACCATCTGGTTATGACTAACAGTTCGCCATGGAAAGATCCACCCATGCTATTAATAGGTAAACCATCTATTTCTATGGGCCATTTCCCCTGGCTATGTTTGTCATAACCAGAGGGTATCCCTACAAAATATAAAGCAGTCCTCTAAACATGCAGCGTTCCTTTCTCTAGAAGTCTAGTCTTCCTTAGTCTTCCTTTCATAGTAATATTAAGCCTGCCTTCAATCATGCACTATGTCTTTCAAGACATTAGATTCCTACAGAATATGCAGTGTGTGATTAACATTCAGCATTGCTGTCAAAACGTGCAATGGTCGATGCACATTGCAGCCTTCCTTGAAACAAGAAAGATCACTGTTGAAGGAAAACGCTGCTTACAGGTTGCAAACTGCCTTTATTCCCTTAATTAAGAAGCAATATTCTTGCAAGAAAACTATAATGTGTGGAAAAACGCAATACATCCTTCAATGAGCTTAAGCCTCGAAGTTAAGCCTCACACTATTTTTTCTGCATGACATTTGCTTTAAAAGGAACGAGTTCATTTCTCAAAAATGATGTTTGTCTTGTTCAGTTCTTTCGTATGGAAGGGCATACTGCATACATGCAATATCATGCAATCGTGTCTCTTCCCAAACATATTATATACATACACTTCACAATAATGCTTCTTTTTGCCATGTTTTTCAATCAGTTGGTTCACAGCCTTACCAAGGAAGCTTTGCGCATACTTGCACCAACACGTTCTTCAAGGAAGACCATAATCATTTAAAATAAGTACTCAAAGGATTCCATTCTGAAATAGTGTTGCCCTTCTTCCATAGGTTCCTTTCCTCTTTAAAGGAACTTTGCACAGCTGTCTCTTTGAAAGTGTCTTTGGATTATTCAAATACTGCACTCCCTTTTATAAGGGGCGGGGACTGTACAAAATGATGCCTCCTTATGCCAGGAATGATGTGACTAAAAATGCAAGGAATGTCATATTCTTGGAAAACTCTTGCTGCACAAGGCATGTTATTTGCAGAGCATGCAAAAACTTTGGGGATATTCCACGTATAACTGGTGCTGGCTTATTTCATGCGCTTCTTCTCCATGTCCTGCTGTACCAACGGAACTTCGCCGTCACCGGCAGGTGAAAGTCTCCCAGGGCCGCGCGACGGGCGTGACGCTGCGCAACGGCGCCGAGATCATGGCGCCGCTGGTGGTCTCGGCCGCCGGGGCGGAGGCCACGGCGAAATTGCTGCCGCAGTTTGCACCAGCAGAGAGGTTGGAAGGGGGCATCAGCCATATGTCACATGGCATGACATGAGATGGGATGGGCATAAATAACTGGTCACCCATGGGCACCGGCCTTTTTTGGGAACCTCAGGCCGCTGACCACAGATGTTGTCACCAAAATTGCAATGAAGGAACCTTGAACATATGGAAAATACAGATTAGAAACAATGTATTTTCAATATCTGCATAGGATGGCACACATCATTCTCATCTACTAGGGGATTTTTGTTGCAAAAACCAAAAATTGGCATCCAAAAACAGTAGCGTCATGAATCATGAACATTGCCGGGTAATTTTTTTTGGGGTTGCAATCGCTAGAACCCGAATATGTGCATCCAAAATTTCAATTTAAATGCAGGGGGAACTCTGCCACAAACCTAGGTACGCTTTTATTGGCCTCGAAGGGAGCACAGAAGAGCTTCAGTTGACTGCGTCGAATTTGTGGGCGCTCCCCTCCAAGGATTTAGAGAAGGACGCTCAGATTGACTTGAAACTGCTGAACTCTTCAAGTCGGTTGGGGTTCAAAGTTCAAAGTGGGTAGATTTTGGATTTGGATACTTCGAATGAGCAGTCTTGATGTGGCAATCTTCAACAGATCTCCATAAAGTTGTTTGGCCCGCAGAACAGCTTGGTTTGCCGAGTGGAAACAACTTGGATACTATTCTGGGTCGCACCTATGATAGTTTCATCACTTTTGGCCTGTCCTGTATGTCCTTTCCCGAATTTCGTAGTTGATACCTAAACAGTTTCTTTCCCTTAAGCCCTCCATCAAATATAGGGGTTTCAATCATGTCAATTTTCCCGACTAAACCAGTTTTGGGAATCCCACTAGGTTGTACATCCTATTGGTCCTATTGCGTTGCCCTTGTATTCCCGAGTTTTTGTGGGTTTTGTCGTGGGGATTCAACCAAGCTCCACTGGTTGTTGGTGACACAATAGATTCATCCAACCATTGGGGGGTCATTGAAATAAGGTGGGTTGGGGGTTGGTTTTATCCCCATGAACTCCCATGATATCACCATCATGAAATCCAATGAGCTTCCCATGACATCCTCGATGAAATCCGAAAAAATTGCAGGACTTGCAGAGCTACTATGCGAATCCCTGGCCCTATGTGGACCAAGGCTCCCTGCTGCTCTTCGTGGGCTTCCCTTCGGCCAAGGATCCTCAGGCCGCCACCAGACATCCTGGGAAGAGCACTTGTGTGACTCGGTTGGGGATGGGAGGTGGGGAATGATGGGGCGTTTTTTTTTTCGGGTGGGAGACCCATTTTTTTGCGAGAACCGTATATACACTGTATGTATATATAAGTGCATAAAATGACTGGCTCAAAATTTCACCATCCAAGTTGTTCAGTTTGGGGACCTCAATAATTCACCTTGAAAACCAATGGATAAATACTCATGAGTCCAGTGGGTGTAAGCATATGGGTAGATGATAGTGGTATGACCCAGCTTGTCGATTTGTAAATCGGTGGACTTGGGCTCCACACCAGGAATCCACTGTGGCCCAGGTAATCATCACGGAAGCCAAAGAGGAGTGGTTCGGTGACTGGAAAGATGCCAAGCAGGGCAGGAGAGGCAAGGACTACGAGCAGATGAAGCAGAGGTTTCAGGCCAATCTGCTTCGAAAAAGAATGAACACCGAAACTAGGATGTGTTCCCACCTGTTGAATTCAACATATTCAATAAGTTTGAGGTGGATTTGAAGTTTTGGATACACCTAAAGGATTCTAAAAGTAGATCCAATTTTGGACCGCCATAGTAAGCTGCTTTCTGGGCCCTGAGGATGGCATGCTGAAGGGGCTCCTGAAACACTTCCCACAGCTGCAGGGCTGCATCGAGTATGTGGAGATGGCGAGCCCCCTGTCCAACCGACACTATCTGAACCGCGCGGCCAGCTATGGCTTGCAGCATCCGCCCAGCAGATACACGGTGGCTGGGCGGACAAAAAACACCTGCGTTCCAGTCAACTCTAAGCCTGTTAATTTGCAGTTATGATATGTTACAAGATGTTATCATTCCATCATATCATGAACATTCATGAACTGTATGTCGATGATTTCCAGCAGTTTCGATCTCATCATCTCTCCCCAACTCCCAAGAAACCACCTGTCGTTTTAAGGTCGAGCAGGGTCTCCGCCCCGGCCGCGTGGCGGGCGTGGAGGGCATGTGGATCACCGGCCAAGACGTGACGACCAACGGCTTCGCCGGGGCTCTGATGGGTGGCGTGGTCACGGCGCATGGCATCCTGGGCTACGGCTTCATGGACCTGGCGCTGTGTGGTAGAGAGCCTTGGTTGTGGGAAAACACACACTAGATGCATAGTGTTGTAGGGCTACACATGGTGATTTGGGATGATTTTTCCTGGTGGTTGGATGGCACCATCTATTTTTTTGAGTTTGTGGTTGGCTGTGTTCTTGGGTTGAAGCGCTTCTGGGAGCGCTGGAACGTTGGAGGAAACGGCAGATTTTGGAGCAACTTGCATGACTGTGGCTGTGAAGGGAGGGTGTAGCTGCAAGGATGGAATAGTAGGATCAGTTTTGGACGTTGTTTGGAAGTCTTCCAACCTTACGGTTCCTTGAGATTTTGGGGATGATCCGCGCGTTCACTCTGGGCACCAGGATTTGATCACGGACATGATGAGCGTCCAGTGATGTGCTTCGAGTCATACCTTGATTGGCTCAAAATCGTTGACCCCCAAAATTGGTTTCGTAGAACAATGCCTGGCCATGTGTGGGTCCATTGTGAACATTGGTACCTCCATTTTTGGGTCGCCATAGCCTTGTACAAACACAACCCCAAAACCTGCGACAAGACGTGCCTGCCACTTGGGCTGTTTGAGGCACCTTGTTTTAGCCAGGTTCCAAGAAAAAACACTCCGGTCTGTTGCCACTGGTCAGTCCGGGAACCTGGGAGGATAGATGTGGGTAAAAAGAGTCACAGTAGCATTTTTTTTGGCCCACTCTGGGTACTGTACCCAGTTTGACCCACACCCATTTACTCACATCTATTGAAATGGCTTTCTCCCATTTCCGTTGACATCCGAAGCGCCAGCGCGACAAATAGAGAGTGCTGCGGGTGGGTCGTGCCCAGCGATTGGAACCTGTGAAGAGTGGGGTCTTTTGGCCGACTTGATCTTCGACAGTTTTCTTGGGATTTCTTGGGTCCAAACCTATCAATTTGGAATGGACACATCAGTCAAAATCCATTCTCCATTGGTTACCGACCCTTTCCCCTGACCATCCGAAATCAGAGACGGAGCGTTGTGCATGCGTTGCCAGGCTGTCCTTCTTGTCAACGAAGGGCCCGGGTCCTTGGAGCTTCATTCTTGGGGGGTACCCGGGTGCGACCTCCCATGTCATCTTATGATCACCATTTTCAACCAGAATCAAGGTTTGGAACCTGCTTTTGTTCAGTCTGGCAGCTGACAAGTGGTAGATAGTTAGAAGGGTGCCGTGATAGAATCTGATAGGATCTTAAAAGATGCAAACTACCTCTTATAGTCTTTTTGATTTGTACCTTGTTTGGCACCACCAAAGTAGATCTGCATGTTATACATTATGTAACGTATACATATATATATATATAATTTAATTGTATAAATAAAATACACACTTAAATGAAATGCATGGATGTAGGTACAATGTGAGGCCCCCCAGTTATAAGTTGGTTTATAAGCCCCAGTAAGTATAGTTAGAAGTACCATAAACCATAGTTATTGGAGTTATTTGCACCAACTTAGCTATCTTGGGGGCCTTACATTGTAGAAAACATCTAGCATTTTCTTTATTTTCCTGGAGATGCCCGGCGACCGAGATGGAGTGCCTCTCTCGGACGCTTCCGCGTTGCCGGTGTCGCCCGACAAATTGCTTGGGGCACCCAGCTGAATTGGCTCTGGCTGGATTTCCATGGGTTTAAAGGAACGATTTTTCAGGATTTTTCCACCATATTTCATGGGAAAATCCATGGTTTCCAGTAGATTTTCATGATTTTCCCCAGAGAAACCAATCCATTGAAGGGTTTTCAACGACCTGAATTACGGTATACGTCACCATAAGATGATGGTTCGGATTGGGGAATCTTCGGAATACCTCAATTAGATGGCCTTTCTCAAGGTGATAAACAAATTGGCTATGGGCAACACATTCATCATGATCTTGGTGGTTGGTGATTGCTAATGGCAGCAAGTTATGTCACCATGTTTAGATATACAATATACATAACACATACAATACATAATATAGTAATATACAATAACATATAAACACTATAACATCTTTCATATAAGTACATATGTATTATTTAAAACCATAGATCATCATAACTGATTTTGATCCGTGATGATCACATAGATGTAATTTTCCATTTGGTTGAGGAGAAAAGGCGGCGTCACCGCCTCCCTGAGGTATTTGGGAGGACCCACAGTGGCAGTTTGGGCCCCAATGGGCGGATTTCTGGTGCAGGTTGCCTCACTGAAGGTTGATTGTGTATCAATCCATGGACACGACATGCCAGTTTTTTGTGCAAAAACCAAAAACATATGTATATTTGCAACATTGCTGGCCACATTAGCATTTTTGTTGGATACTTTTTGACTTTGCATCTTTGTTGGTGACAATCCATTCTTTTCGGCACTGGTTCCATTGGCCGAAAATCGCTATCGGCCCCCCCAAACCTTGGTTGACCTAGAGGAAAGGTTGATAGACAGAATCAGAATCCTACCAAAAAACGATCAACGATAGTTTTCGGCCTCTTTTGGGTTACTATACATCAAATTCTATATAAAGGCCATGGATTTTGCCGGATGTTTGAGGTGCGTGCAGTTGTGAGTGCCTTGAGGCGGAGTGGTCAAAAATGGGAGGGTTGAGCAACCAAAGTGTGGACATAGCTACACGGACAGGTTTGAAACATGTTGAAACCAGTCAAAAGAGGAGTTTTTGGGAGTTTTTTGGACAACTGTGGAGTGTTTTTTTTTCTTCGTTTTTTTTGAATGTGGTAAAGCCAACGCCATAAACCTACCGGGGATGGTGATGACTTGGAGATGGTGCTGGTGTCAGGGTCGAAGTTTCGCATTGCCAGGCGGAAGTTGAAGGTGAAATCTCTCTCCGCGAGAGGCCGAAAGCCACCTTGTATCAAGCAGAAAAGGAACACCAGTGGTCACCAGTTGGTGGGAAATCACGAGATTCTCCCAGATACTTTGTTTATCTTTGTTTGCTGGGAAGCAATCCCAGCAATGGCATGTGATCATCTTGCGTTGCAGGTCCATCGTCGAAAAGCTCCAGCGCTGCAGGCATGGGTTTTTGTGGTTTCGCGGTGATAAAATCCCAACATTTTCGAGGGATGTTGGTTCAGCCCACAGCAAGAGTGTGATTTGGGATTTTCCGGCTTTGATCATGGGATGATCATGGGATATACTGATATACTATGATATACTAAGATGTAAAAAGATGCTGAAACTCCTGTTTCCAGGATGGCAATGGACGATGATGTTTTTTGTGGTTGCTATAACCTATCAGTGAATCTTACAGTTCATTAAATAGATGAGGATTGATACAAGAGTAAAGCTATTTTTTGCAAATATGAGGGGCGGGTCAAGGCTTATGATTTTCCATGTGAATGGTACCATCTGGTTATTTAACATAACTATGGAAAATCACGATTTTTAATAGGTAAACCATCTATAAATGGGTCATTGCCCATGGCTATGTTAAATAACCAGAGGGTAGTTTTCATCAACATCTCCGAACCATAAAAAAAAACCCTCGCAGCTAGGCTCGACCTCAGCACGGCAGTCGCGTGCTTCGGGGTGCAGAACTCGGGTCGGAGAGTTGGTGATGGGGGACTGAAAAACGCCACAGGGTTGATAGGGAATGTTTAATTGTAGCCATCAACCATTGGGTTTGAGATGGTTTACATAATAAACCAAATGGGTTTATATGATATGTATATATATATATAATATGTCAAATATCAAATACCCCCCAAATGTTGGGGACTCTATAAGTTAAAAAATCAGGATTTTTTTTAGAGGGTCATTTAATATACGGGGGAAATATTACTGATTACTTGGGAGAACTTCCTTAGATGGTTGGTATACCGTATACCTTAGTTCGGTTTGAGAAACAGAGCACGATGAATGGGCAGGGTATTTAAGCAAGAACATATAATTAATCATTTTAATGGGTGGTTAGCAACTATCTATAATTATTATCATAGTACTTATATAAGATTTCATGACCATGATTCCATGGGTATGTGGTCAACGCCTAAGCGGGCAAAGCTACATGAATGGTTGGGTTCTGGGCAGACTTCCAATGGCCAGTTTCCATTGGAGGTGGGCCCCTTGTTGTCGGCTTGTCATGGTGATTCCATTCGGAAAATTTGGGGTAGCTGCGGTGCCAAAGATGGGGTCCACTTGGGGTCCACTCAGGAACCAGTTCTAGCCATGTTCGAAAGCATGAAATCTGGGAGCCAGTGATTTTGAGCCCAGTTAGACTCTGATTTTCGTAATGCACCTCAGAACATAACACCGACATCCATGGCTTTTCCAGGCATGTTTGACAGTTGGCTCTGAAAATAGTGTACATCATATCATCCAATGGTTTAAGCTCATATTCCGATATATTCCCATAATTTCCCATATATATTTATATTCCCCATGAAAATGGCCATTTTCAGGATGATCCATCCATCCAATGGTCATCATATGCCCCTATTTTTCAATGGCCCGGCGATCCTCGGTATTTCCACCGGCCCCGAGGCCGCCACGTCAATCCATCCGCCCGGTACGCCGTGACCCAACAAAACGGAGGATACCGAAACGGTTATCACCATGGGTTATCATGGTTGTTGTGGGGTTATCAATTGGTTATATCAGGTCAAAAATCATGTCAAAAATCCCGTTATGTCCCGGTATATCCATGTCATTGTTTCATTAGGCAATTTTTATAATTACTTGGGGTTTCCAAAGATGGAATGTTTTGACCCAACAGACATCACGAGACCTCTGGGACCCAGCTTCAGTTGCCGATTCTGGCGGGCTCCAGCTGTCCTGTCACTTCCCAGCGTCATGAGCACTGGAACAGGGAAGAACCATCTTCAGATGATTGGAAATACATGGAAATACAAAAAATGGCTAGAAAAAAGCTGATGATAGTTTCAATCAAAATCGGAGGAGGATCTGAATTTTGCGCATGGGTCTCGAAGAAAGCATCTTCGATGGGCCAACGTTCCATCCGCTTTTGCACCCGGCTGAATACTCAAGTGTGAATGCACAAAAGAGATTGTTTGAAACCCCAGGTTTAAGCTTTAAGTGACCTTTTATCCCCAAGATGGCACCTCAATCACTTGGTCCAGACCTTCCACACGTGCGCCAAAAGCCCCGCATCGTGCATGGGTGTGGCGTTGAGCGGGCAACGGCGCAGGGATTTGGAGGCAATGCATGGAGCGGTCTACAAATCAGGGATTTTTTATCGCGCCCGTGGTCACTATGCTTTCCAAATCTTTCCAACTTGGCAGCCGTGTTTCGATTTTCACTTGGCAACCCCAAATAACAATGATGGGTATGGATCAATACCATTTTTAGGGGAAATGAACATCCATTTACCAGCTATTTTGGGGTTCACTAGGTACCAGGGTTTTGACCCATCCCCTGATCATTTTCCAGAGTGACTGTTGTCAATGGGAATTTCAGGATCCTAAAATGGAGGTACTGTACTATATAAGGCCATATTTTGGGGGAATATTCCCTTACATAGGCCTTACATAGGCCTTACATATGGTAGGTACCTCCAATCAATCGGTTCCTGAAATGGCCATTGATGTTGTCTTGGGAGGTCCCATTGGTCGAAGGAAGCACTCTTTCAGTCTCCCCGTTTCGGATCGATGCAGGCACAGCTGCGACACGTGGAAGCGGCCGAGCAGCAGCGTTTTGCGCGAGAGCAGCGCCGTGGATGATGAGTGGTGGATCTGGTTGGTGAATGATGCTGGATGGATGTCAATGGTGATCTGGTTGGTGATTTGGAACATGGCTGGATTATGACTTCCCGGAGAGGTTCCGGTCGTTTAAGATATATAGTGACTGGTTGGTGGTTTGGAAATGTTTGGAACATGGCTGGATTATGACTTCCCATATTAATTGGGAATTTCATCATCCCAACTGACGAAGTCATATTTTCAGAGGGGTAGGTAGACCAACCAGTGATTAATGGTGACTCATGGTGACTATTGATGACTAATGGTGATGACTCATGGACATACCCTCCGATGTCAAACCTGGCCAGCTGGGACATCGTTCGCTGGGAAAATCATTGCACTTTGATGACACCTTGGCGGGTAGATTTGGGTAACCATATATGGGAACCTCTGGTGCCATACAATGAAGACCTCTTTTTGCGACAAGTCATAGATCGTTGTGGATACGGTACACACATACAGCTTTTGTGGCTTTATATATATATATGTTATATGTTGTATACGTAGTTTCAACTGGGTTTTATCTGCATCTTCTTGGTCAAAGTCCACCCTTTCAGTTCACACTTTGGGGTGTGTCAAGACTGGTACCCCTAAAATGGGATGGCCAAGACCAGAAAACATTCGCCCCATCATTTGGAGATCTTACAGCGCCCCCGAAAATACAGCTAACAAGCGAAAACTGGAAACTACAGTCTGAGGCACGAGATATGCAAAGATCATCTGTAATATATATATATATATATGTATGTATACATATATGCTCTCTCTCTCTCTCTCACAAAACCCAACACCTGTTTGGGCGTAGAATAATTTTTTTCATATTAAACTTGACCCCATTCTTCCCAATTCATGGGGGTCACCTTATTTTGCCACTACTGTTTCCAAGTTTTGGGGGTCATCTTCCCATCTGAACGCCTGAGGCAGTTACTAGCTGACCTTGATGCGCGCACTAGGAGCCTGTGGGGTTTCTATCTGATGTTATATGGTAATATGGAGGTTTCCATAAGTGGGGGTACCCCAAAATGGATGGTTTATAGTGGAAAGTCCATTTATAAATGCTGACTGGGGTGTTCCAACTCTTCCATGGTATTTTCACCATCAAAAGAGGGGCCCATTCCCCACAAAGCCAGGCGCTACAAGGCATTCTCCTTGGTGGGTATTCCTACATGGCTTTGTCTGAACACATGCTATACACCAAATACAAGGCTTTTTGTGAACATGTTCCCCAAGTAGAATGTCGGGAGTTTGGGCTATACCTCATTTTCAGTCAAACCCAAATATCAGATTCTTGCTTACATACAGTATATATATATATATATCTATTATATTTGATATATGATAGATTATATATTATATATTATATGATATATAATAATATATATATATATATTATATGATATATTATATATTATATATTATATGATATATAATATAATATATATATATATTATATGATATATTATATATTATATATTATATATTATATATTATATATTATATATTATATATTATATATCATATATTATATATTATATATTATATATTATATTACATATATTATATATTATATGATATATTATATATTATATATTATATATATTGATATTATATATTATATATTATATATTATATATCATATATTATATATTATATATTATATATTATATATTATATTACATATATTATATATTATATGATATATTATATATTATATTATATATATTGATATTATATATTATATATTATATATTATATATTATATATTATATATTGTATATTGTATATTATATATTATATATTGTATATTATATATTAAATATATCTTATATTATTTCCCATATGGAAGTGTCCTAAAATGGGACGTAAGAAAGATTGAAGAATTTGGGTAGTCCATGATTGTTAGAAAGTGGATACCCAGTTCACATGTCCCATGATTTTCTAAACCATGGGAATGGAATTACTCTCTCTCTCTCTCTTCCTTCTCGCTCTTTAAACATGCTTATGTATACATAGAATTAAGTTTCCCCTCTGGTAAACTAACATAGCTGTAGAAAATGGACCATATATAGTTGATTAACCTATTAAAGATGGTGATTTTCCATGGCTGTGTTAGTCATTACCAGAGGGTAAATAAATCATCTTTCCCAGCCTGGGAAGGACACCGCATTTGTTGGTGCAGATCCGCAGTTTGGGCATAGTGGAGATTTGCGGCAAAAACCACGGAGGCCGGGTTCGATTTTCCGCACGCTGGTCACCAGCCTTTGTTGTTTAGTGACTGCAGCTGTGCCAGTCTTTTAGTTGAGCTACAGCAATAGTTTACTGTGGATATTCAGGGGTTGGTAACTGTCCCATTTTGGGAATATTGGACATCACCGAAAAAAGTAGCCATGGCATTGACCATATACCTAATGGTTGGGTGATGTTCAATGGGGACATCAGTCATGACCCTGTGGAGATTTGCGAGTTGTGACTCCTGTGATGTTTTCTGTTTCGTCAGATAAGTTGGCCTTCTTGCCCACCCAAGGGGCGGTTTTTTTCCGGATCCCATGATTTACAACTAGGCCATACCCTCTGGTAATGACTAACATAGCTATTGAACATGGCCATAGAAATAGTGAGTTTTCCCATTAAAAATGGTGATTTTCCATAGTTATGTTAGTTTACCAGAGGGTGTCTGGTTGGTGGTGACTGGAACATGGCTGGATTATGACTTCCCATGAAAAGTTGGGAATGGAATTTCATCATCCCAACTGTTACTCACTCCATCTCCATCATAATTTTCAGAGGGGTTGGTTGAAACCACCAACCAGATATGATTGTAGATATCTGTAGATTTACATCATACATCCCAACGTCATGAGGTGAACTGAAGAACCATTCCCATTTGGGGTATCATTTGCTATACCCCTGGGATGATGATGTGTCAACTCCCAAGATCATCTCACTGTAAGATGAAGGGGGAAAATGTGGGGGCCTCTCAATCCACATTGATTCCCAAATTTTATCCCATTTTCCATCCAAAGCCTCGAACAATGGGTATCTAATAGGGATTTATGATCTAGCAGGGATATGTCATATGGATGAATTAAATATTATATGGCTATCTAATGGAGATATAACAGGGATACATGATATCATAAGGATAGTTAAGATTTCCCCTGAAACCAATCCATTGATATTAGTAAAATGGTCATATATCCCTATCATATAATCCTATGAAATATACATATTATATACTCTGTAGGTCTTGTTTTCAGAATCTGATGGGCGCTCTATATATTATCATTGGCATTGTTGTTATTATTATCACTACACTAATAATAATAGATATGTATTATTATTATTATCATAAGATTCTCCTGAAACGTCGCTATTAAATCGTACAATTTTCAGCCAGTACTTTGGAAAAAAAAGCACCACGGGCCTCTCCTGCAACCGTCGGACTCTAGGCATCTTCGAGCGGCTCGGGGACTGGCTCCAATCCAGTTGGGGCCTGGTCGAGCATACCAGCGATCTGCGGCCGGATGTCTACGTGCCGTGGGGACCCTTGGATCCCTTGGTCGGGCGCTGACGTCAGCGGCGACCGCGGTGCCAGGATGTTAGACAAGAGTTAGAACGAAGGATGGCTATCATGGAGATACAATAGGTGTGTATATATAATTTTGATGGAATATAAATGGGATATGCATGGAATACCATCTGGTGGTATTAACGTAGCAAACTGGAAAATCACCATTTTCAATAGGTAAATCATCATGTCTATCATCGAACTAAATGGGCCATTTCCCATAGCTATGTTAAAGAACCAGAGGGTATGTGATGATTAGACAACGATATAATTAGATGATTATGTATATTCCATGGCAGTTCTTTTCGGATTTTAAGTATCTAATATGATCTAATTATATCCATTTATCATTTGGAGCCCATGGATTTTGGGTACAATTTTCCTTCGCGAACCGACCGCAGATCAGCGACAGGTGCAACCCCCTGAAGTCGGCCAAGCTGCATCTGCAAGTGCGTCCCGTGCACGCCTGGGGTCGACTCTGTGATAGGATGGAGGGATGGGGAAGGAATGGGGGGTCGCTGGGCGTGGAGCAGCCATTCCAACCCCGTATCGATGGTTCCACTGAACCAAAAGTGCCAACTTCTTCCCTGGGTTTTTCCTCCATTCTTGGCGATTTCCGACTGACTTCCAGCTGTAGCCAACTTTATCCTGAAACAGACCACGGAAAATGCCAGGGGTCGCCCCATCTTGTGGTGAGAGCTTCTGGAGGGATGTCAGGGATGTCAGGGTTTTGGTGGGTGAAATCCACCGCTGATCAGCAACGAGCGTCGGTTGCTTCAACTAGGGATGCTGATCTCAACCATCTCAGAGCGCTCAGCAGCCCACCAGGAGCTTCGCTGCCGGCCCCAGCGACGCCACTGGCGCAGTGCTGGGAGCGCAGCGACTGGTGCAGTGCAAGAAGAATGGCGAAAGCAACTTGGGCAGCTTGGAAGTCGCCGCGTCGCAGGGGACTGGGGCCCCCTGGGGCTGGGAAACCCGTTTTGAAAAACCCCAATTATGGATGACCATGACGTATTGAAACCGTCATGGTGGACTGGGGACTGGGGATGGTAAACACGGCTTGGCGGAATGTTTTGGATTTACCACATGAATTTAAGTGGAATCCACAACTCGATAGATTTTGGGCATTGTTTAAGAGTTGATGGAATTGATGACGTTCGCGACAACGATGATGCTTTTTTGACGATGTGATGGTTCATTAAACGATCAAGCGAAAAAATATGAATCAGCACGTGTCCTTCTTGGATTGCGTGGAAGAATTTGTTTGCATGACATGTTGCGTTGAAAAAAAGACGATTTTTCTTTTGGAAAAACTATCCAGTGGTTAGGGTTGGGGGGATAAGGAGCTGTGGCTATCTATTTTCCTCATTAAATGGGGAGCTAGTTGGAGCTACAAATATAGGTTCCCAACTAATGGCTGACTGCATCAATTTTTATGGTGGGTATTCCGCTGGTCGGTGGTTGGTGTTCTGACAGCATTCCCAGGATTGCGGTAGAGTTCGAGAGAAGATGTTCAGAGAAGGGTTTTATTAAACCCAGTGAATGGTTTTCGTGCTAAACATATTCCACTGGCTTTCGATGAAAAAGCCTGGGTTCCACTCTTGAGTTCGAGCGTGGGGGACACTCACATTATATGTAAAGGTTTAGTTATTATGCATCCCAATGAGTGAGTTTTCACAAACGTGATTAACAAATCCCACACTTGGGTGGTGACATCATTCTGATTGGGGAACATATACATATTTAAGTGACCTGGTTGTGATGCACATCCCTCTGTGAACTCAGTTAAATTGTTGCCGTAAATCTCTAGACATGTGGGAACATGTCATACTCAGCAAAACACACTGTTGGCTACAGAAGTGGATCAAATGACAAACAACTCCATTTATGGTCACTTTTAAACCTCATTTTGGAACTCCACCATATTTTATTAAAACCCAATTTATCGTTCCTCCATTAAAACATATGAGCTATGGTCAATACTCATGGTTAATAACCATTAATAGGGGCTAGTCATCCAATGGTTCATAGGGATTTATAATAACCATTATAATGATCCTTATTATGGATGGGATGACCATCAACCATATAGTGAGTATTGACCATGGCTCATATGACGACCTCCATGGAGGAAAACTGACCATGGAACTGGTGCACTTCATGACCAACACCTGTGGTTGGGGCCTGAAACTCATCGATGGCTGTACTTTGGGAAGCGGCTCGGTGACATCCTGATTCTGTCAAAGAAGAGATGGAAACACATGAATTTCACCAGGAGAAACACAAGAATATGCATACACGTTTGGACTGGGGATGAAATCAACCATGATTTCGAATATATTGGGGATAGAATGGGATATAGAATCAACAATCTGTCATTTTTGGGTACGTTTGAACATGATTGGTACCCCTAAAAGGCAAATTTCGACACGGGAAACGGGAACTGATGAAACACCGGATTGAACCACCAAAAAAGGGGATGTCACCCCGCAACAATGAGGGAAACAAGAAACACATGGCTGCTTGGTGCTGGTGGTTTCACATGTCTCCCCCGGGAATGGGACGATGATACTGTAACAACGGACACATGTACTTCAGGATGGGTAGTTTGGACCAGGATGACCTCATCCACCAGCCCCCAAGGGATTTGGCCACACCATGCCTGTTCCTCTCAGGAAATGGACAGATGCGCGAGATGCGCCTTGTCTGAAAGCTCCTTTCGACCCAGGGTTTCAACGAAGCCGTTTCTTGCCGGGGAATGGATTCTGAACCTTTTGACATAGGGAATGATAGCAGCAACACAAGCCGCAGAAATGGCCGTTGATCCGGGGGAAAGCAGAAAAATCATGGCATGATGGCCCTGGGGTCAGGCTTGCCCCGAGGAAACCACCCCATGGTTCGATAGTTTCAAGATGGCTAGTTCGGTCCAGCCCATTTTTCTCCAAATCTCGATGTTCGTTTCGTTCCGTCCCACATTTTTGTTGCTCAAATTCCTTATTTTGGTGGGTTATGACATGTTATGCCACAGTTCCCCCTAAAAATCTTTGGCAGGTTCAGCTCATCTCCGCTCTGCATAGAGCTCCAGGCAGATCAAGTTCACTGCACCGCACCCGCTGAATCTGCTGGCGCCACATCTGTTGATCGACCTGCGGCAGAGCGGATATGTGGTCTGGAGCACCCAGACTTCGCTGCGCCCCAGTGGGCTTTTTTGGATCAACCGAAGAATTTTAGATGTTAGCTACAAAAAAAATGAAGCAACCAAGATGTGGCTGCAAGCAACCAAAGGATGGAATTGAAGCCAGCCAAAGATGGGTGATTTTAGTAACAAATAGGTGCTTCAGGCGATGAAAATGGTGGTTTGCCAGAGATTTTGATGTCTGGCAGTTTGCTTCGTTGAGTTGGATTCGGGGATACAGCCAAAGAAGTAGTAAGGGTCAGTCACAACATGTGGCGGAAAAAAACGCCTTCGGTTGGTAAATCCAGTCATCTTTGATGTTCACCACAATGCTTTCTTTTTGAAATGTGTGGGATCGTATTAATTGGGCAATTCTTTTCTACTCGTTTTTCTGCTCGTTTTACGAGTTGCGCAGCTTTCCCAATGACCCCGACCCAATGGCCGAGAGAGCGGATCCCCCTGGCCCCTTCTGACCCCCGCATGGCCGCCCATGGCTCATGAAGTCTTGAAATTCAGGAGATCTATGGGCCAAACACGCAGAATGTCTATGACCACCTGCATGGCTGGCTGGCTTTTTGGCTGAACATCGGAGTTTTTCCCCCCAGTTTATGGTCATTTTTGATATGGAACAGGAGGCACAATAAATCTGTCGGGTCTCAATGTGAAATCACACCGACGGATCGATCGAAACACACTGTGAAATCAAGAAGAAACACACTGATCCTACCCTCTGGTAAACTTTTTACATAACGAACTGGAAAGATCCACCATGCTATTCATGGGAAAATCAACTATTTCGACTGGGCCATTTTCAATAGCTTTATGTTTACCGGAGGGTAGGCTTTGCTAGACTTGGTGAAGCATTGTTGCACATGGAATGGCTTTGACTTCATTTGCTTGCTATGCTCGTTGATTTTAAGATCTGATTTTTTATATATTTTTATTCCACCGTTTTTTTTCTGAAAAAAAAACAATTACCAACATGGAACACATCAAGCTGTTCAATCTTCATGGGTGGCTCGCCATGGAAGTCTTGGTGCAGCGACATGGATAGCCCCTCAAAAGATAGAACAATAAAAGTGTCCTAAAACGACTAAAATCGTCACATTTTTTTCACCTGTCTTTTTTGTGGGGTTGCTACATATGTATGAATATACATATAGCATGAGTTGTTCATGTAAACTTCCATTGGTCCTTTTCAGTGGCAATGGTCAGGGATTCTGTTCACTGCCATAATTTATGGGAAGCCCCACATTCTCACAAGGAAAACCATCTGGCTATGGATCAATACCTATACATACCATTTTTAATGGGATGAACATCCATTTACCAGCTATTTTGATGTTCACCAGGGGTACCAGGGTTTTGACACACTGCCATCTCATTTTCAAGAGCAAAAACATCCCTCCACTTCTCGTGTCAGGTAGGGTTTTCCGGATTTTGATGAAAACATGTTGTTCCGAGCCGCATCTGAAACCCATAACCCGGGCTTTACCCTCTGGTAAACGTTTACATAGAATGGAAAGATCCACCATTTTCAATGGGAAAATCCACTATAAATGGTCATTTTCAATAGCTATGTTAAATTACCAGAGGGTAACTTTGTCCAAGATTTTTGCAGCAAGTTTGGAGCTTCCAGGAAAAGAATTGGCATGCCAAGTCAGTTCCAGCTGATCCAGACTTCTGCAACCGCACCTTGGATGCCCCTCAGAGCGCTGGAACGTTTACTTCTTCCCCACTGAAACAGAGGGAAAACTTCCATTGCCAGGTTCGTTTGCTGACGGGTTTATGATTTATATTATGATATAATGATGATATATTTATAAATGGCGGTTTGCGATCAATATCAGCAGGCAACATCAGCAAACATTCCGCCAAAGGGAACTGCTTCTCTGATGCGCCCCTTTGCATGTTAAGAATCCACCATAGACAGGTCAGAAAAAAGTATATGGAGGTTTTCTAAGTCACGCGACTTGATCCCCAAGTCACCATGGGTTTCACTACTGAGTCATGGTCATCCATGACTTGGATGATTTGGGGTATCCATATTTTAGGAAAGCTCCATAGAGTTTGTTGTATTGTCTTATACCCTCTGGTAATTTAACATAGCTATTGAAAATCACGATTTTTAATGGGAAAATCCACTATAAATGGTCATTTTCAATAGCTACGTTAAATTACCAGAGGGTATTCCCCTTTCTCAGCAGATATTCACTGTGCACCTCAGTGCCAGTTAGTTGCAGGGTTTCTTCAAATTGGGGTACCCCTTTTCAAACCACCATGGCTTTCCCAATGAAAAAGGTCCAGTTTATCTTCGATGACTTAGTCAGGGTCCCCATTTGAAGAAGCCCCCACTTCGTTTTATCGCATTGATTGGCAGAGAACAGCCAACTCCTATGCCCAAAAAACACTCTACCGTTGCGGAGTTTACACAACGGACAGTAACCTATATAGAACCCCCCCAAAGATTAACAAAACACATGTATTCTTTTTTGTGCGCTCTTACATTGTTCACCCCTTTTTTGCGGGGTTGCTACACGATGCCATAGACGCTATAGTTGCAATAGACTAATGGAGAGTTTTTTTCGGCAGGCAAGTACAAGTGCTCCGCCTTCAAGAAGCGTGGCTCCGAGGGCGACGCTTGGCCCTGCCTGGTGGAGCCGACTTCCCGTGCCCAGTCAGTGGGCTCATCGGCTTCCCCAGTTGTGCCAACTTAGATACACCCCAATAAACCAACCAAGAGATCACTGGGCTAACCATGGCTGCTAACATGGTAAAAGTCATGACGGGATTACCATCTGGTTATGACTAACATACGTAGCTATGGAAGATCCATAGCTATGGAAAATCCCAAAAATAAATGGAGGTTTCTAGCTGGGAAAATCATCTGTTTCAATGGGCAATTTTCCAGTTCGCTATGTCAACTAACCAGAGAGTAGTTGATACCCTCTGGTAAACATACAAAAAGCTATTGAGTTTTCCCAGTAAACATGATGATTTTCCATAGAAATTGGGACAGTTTACCAGTTGATAACACCCCATCTGACACCTGAGGAGAACAACATGGGCCTCTGCGCCATGAAGCTCATGGACTTCCTCAACAAGGTGGTGTCGAAGCCCTCTATGGGAACTTGATACCAGTAAAACACCATGACCACATTGGGATCAATCCATTTTTTTGGGATATAATATATATATATATCAATAAAGGCATTCTGGCCCGAAACTTCCCCCTGCTGCGCTCATTTCTTCGGGGGTTGTGCCAGCCATTGCCTTAGTGGGCTTGCTACAGCCCACGGGCTTCGAGACTGCGTAAGCCGGAGCCTTCAGGTTGGGGGTGCACCTGTGACGACAAAACCCCGTCGAGATTTACACTTTTTATTCAACTGAATTTATTTTGGCATTTGTCTGGCTGGTTATTGGCAAGTTTTGACTTTGTCCTTGCTGCTACACCCATTCATTTTGCTGACAGTTGGATTATCAATTTTATTTACATCTGGGTTTTTACACTGATCTGCCTCGCGCTGGTGTTTTCTCAGCTGTACAATTATTACAATTCATTTCATTTGCGGACTGTACTGTGAGGAGGTCCGTCTTGTCAATTTTTGTGATCATTGGCACTGAACTGGAATCACCCTGGTGCCTATTTTCACTTCGCCTTTGACTTGGATTTGCAATTTATGTGTTCGGTATTATTGATTTTGCTGCTCGTGGTTGTGACATTTTCCACCCTACAAGATTACTCTCCTCACTGGTGCACAGAGAAGGAGGCGGCGTCGGCAACGTGCTGCCGCCCGTGCTGCCTGGTTTTTTCACCGCACTGGTCAAGTGCCATTAAACCGAGCCAGTCTCCTGCGCATCAAACGAGTGCTTGTAGCCCATCACAGCAGAGATTCAAATTTTATCCGGACAATAAAGAAACACATCATCATGGATTCATCAGATCTCTATCCATGGAAATGCTCACACTGCCAGAGAATCAACAAAAAGGTTGCAACACAATGTGCTGTTTGCAAAGCACATTGGATGACTGGTGTCAAACACAGTACAGAACCGAAGCAACAAATGTACAAAGCCACCGCATATCGAGATGCATGGCCACAAGATCAACGATTCGACTGGGAACAGTGGGAGGAATGGGATCAAGCCGATCGTTCATGGAATTGGCAGATGCCTATGGACCGATCGCAAAGCAGGTCACAAAGTCCGAGAACAGTGAAAGGATCCCAGAGTCCGAGAGGCCGCAAAGGCAAGGGCTCGGGGAAGAGCAAAAACAAAGGCAAATCGAAAAGCAAAGAGTCTGCCCAGGGCAAAGCTGGGACAGACGCAAAGGGCAGCGGAACGACTGTATCGCCGTTTGCTCCACTCGCAACAGACATGCCATCCTGGCCATCCTTCGATGGTGCCACAGCAAGCTCTACGCCCTTTGCGACCACAGCATCCAATCCGAGTACAGTGGAGCTTCTGGCGCAAAAGAAAGAGTGTGTTGCTGCGCTTCGTGCGGCCTACCCGGAGGGAGCCAATATGCCCCAAGAGACAAAGGATCTCATGGAGAAGATGGACAAAGAGATAGAGAAGATGGAAAAAGACAACAGCAAATTTGTGACCAAGAATATTCATTCTGCCACAAAGTCATTGGGAAAGGCGCAGAAGACTCTCACCGAAACCTTGGACGCAAAGAAGACGCATCGCAGCCGATGGATCAAACACATCACGGAGGCGGTGACGACGTGGCAAGGGCAGTTGAAGGAATATCAGAAACAACAAGCCAGCTTCCAGGAAATTGTCTCCAAAGCGAAACTGGACATAGAATCGGCCAAGCAGGCCATCCAAACATTGTCTTCGACAGCATCACAAGCACAGTTGGCGGACATGCCGACGATTGCCCCGTTACCGGGAGATCAAGAGGAGAGCTGCAACGAAGCGGACACAGAGGAAGAGAAGTTGCAGGGGCAGCTTCAATCAGTCCTGGAAAGTTGCGCTGCCGCATTGAATGCCGAGATTCAGACCACCACGCCCGAGGTGGAGGACTTGGACATGGACGATGCAGAAAGAGACAAAAAGCGGCCACGCTCCATGCAGCCATTTGGTGGGCATGGTCCACGTGCTGCTGGTCAGGACTGAATGCAGGCGGTGTGCTTTCAGTGCAGAGTCATGAAGTACATGGCGCCCAGTCCACAGCTGAGACAGTTGAGGCCTATGTGTTGGAGCCAACAGCACATGCAGCATGCCGTCTCCAGCTGACCAATTTTGATTTTTTCCGATTTTCACATTGGCAACACTCCATTCAATCGGAATTTAATTATCTCAATCCATTTGATGCCGTGATTTCTGCCTGGAAATTGGACTGGAGCCTTCTGTGTGATTTCTACAATGATTTTATTCAGTCGAAAATCTGCCAGCCAATTGAAGATGATGCCCTGAGCAGTTACAATCGGTCATCCAATCCCCAGAATGCTGATATTGCTGAAGTAGGACTTGTGTCAGAGCGCCGAAATCCTAGTATCTTGAGCCAGCTCCGCAAATGCCTTAAACCCAATATCAGACAGCATCATATTACGTTTTCTTGTCCTGCAAAACATGTTCGATTTCATGAAAAGATCTCCGTTCATATAGGGCTTGAAGATGATTTTATCATGCATGGAACCTACATGGATGCCTTTGAGCTGGCCAACTGGACCGAAAAACCATGGTCCAGACGGCCCCCAAAGCACAAGGAATCCTCCACACAACAGTCTTGTGCATCTGAACCCGGCTCTGAGTGCAGGATTCGACAGAATCCAAAGCAACTTCGGACCACAGACCAGTATCATGATGTCCCATCAAACTGGTTTGCACAGCAGGCACCACAGCCTGATGAACATGAGGATCCGGAAGATGCAAATCATTTTCTGCATGAAGCACCTGATTCCATACAGAATTTGTATGATGCACTCTTTTCTGAAGGAGCTGTTGTGGGTCCACGTGTACATGGAAAGTATTTTCCTTAGAACCTGGTTTATACATCATTTACAGGCACCCCAGTGCTTTCAATTCAGGGAAGTTGAAATTAATGGGCACTGGAGACACTGGTTCAACGACATTATGTCAGCATGGACTGATCGCATCTTGCCGCTTGAACAAGTCATCTTTGACATTGTCCGACCAAATCCGCCACGAGTAGGTGTCTCGCATGAAATCATGTTCGATGTGATTTTATCGCAAGGAATCGAGGCGCCCAGAAGGGCAGGACTGGTCTCCATTTGCAAAAAGGATGACCCAGCACAGCGTGTTGCTTATGCAGTAGCTGTATCGCTTTCTGAAGTCACCAGTGGACACCAAATCATTCAACAAGCCGAATTTCTTCATGGGTGTAATTGGTATCAATGCTCCATAAGACATGGATGGGAAAGAATTCCTTTTACACTTGAACCAGTTCATGAAATGCAGGATGGTGATTCCTTCATTGTTGTAGTACGTAGTGAGACTGAGACAACTGCCACTCCTGCGTTAGCTTCAACTGATGTGATCATGCAACCCGAGCCACATTCAATGCAGGATGAGGGAACATATGATGGACATGAGTCGCCATTGCCTTCCCCGAGTCTTGCTGAAACTGATGAGCAGGTGCCCAGAACCACTGTGCACAGACTGGGTCACGTGCAAATAACAGGCCAGATCCGAAGAGACACGGTTCTCCACACTTTGCATGACTCAGCACGAGTTGTAGGTGAGCCGCCTGACCATTTCATTGCATATCACCGACTGCAGTGTCAGCCTGATGACCAAACGCTGAGTGTTGATTCATTGATTTTGCAGCATTATCTTGACATCCCACCTGGATCAACCGAGAAGTTAGTTCTCATTGACGTCGAGATGCACACCCCACACAGTGGAAATAGTTTGCCACGTGCACCGCCAGTGCAGAGACAAGTGCATCGTATCATTCCAACAATTGTTCGACAACATTTGTTGCAAATCACACGAACTGATGCATATTGTGAGTGGCACCAAACTGACTGTCTCGTTTACAGGAACTGTGAACTCTGGAATCAGCAAGCACAAGGTCCTTTCAGTGTTCAACACGGCATGTACTTTCGCATTGTCGTCCCACCACCAACTGATCCCACTTGGGACATTGGCAGGGCCATTAGAGTTTTCTATGATGCATCGAATTTACTCGACTGGCCGATTGCAGGACGTGTTGCTGCAAGGATCATGCAAACAGGCGAAGACACTCCAGTTCTCCAGCCTGAACAAACTCCGAACCACATGGAACGGCCCCAAGATATTACGCTGAAGGGAGCTGATTTGGACGGAGACATAGATGTTCCGATGACTTCAGCAAGACCAACAAGGAGAGCTGAGCGACCTCCACGGCCGTCACACGATGGAGATGAGGGATGGTTTTGGGAACTTGGGAATATCTTTTCACGTGAATCCAGAGAAGAAGCTTTTGAAGGCGAATTCTTTGCTTATGTGCAGACTTGGTACATTGATCACCAAAGACACCCAACCTGCCGTAGACCGCGACCCATCCGCCTTGATCATTACTGGATCACATGGCTTGATGAATTCTGCTACACTTGGCGAGATGTGATGGATGAAAACATTCCATATTCAGTTCATGTGGTTCGTCCTAGACCACCACAATATCGACATCATGGGTATGTATGCCACATCCTTATTGAACAGAACAGACCACCAGGAAGGGCCGCAGGAGTATTGACTGCTTTGTTAGCTGGACTCACCAATGATGGAATCATCCAAGGTGCTTTCTCAGTCCAGACGCATCTCAGAAAGCAAGACGTCATTGACGTTATGGAGATCGAACCATTCTGTGCTGAGAGGAGATGTACAGTCTATCACAATCAAGAGCCGCTCCATCTGGTAGTCGCAACTGAAGTTCAATCTGGATTTAGCATTCGAGCTCACATTGACCCACTGATTGCTCAATTGCCCGTGACGCCGAATGAGCCACCAGGGTATTTTGATGACATTGCTCTCATGCAACAACCGCCGGCAGGAGTTCAACAAGGCGCAACATTTACGTTCAATGTCAATGCTGCAGAATTTCAACCTGGCCGTATGCCCGCTGAGCAATGTGACATGATCCATGAGCTATTTGCAATATGGAGTGCGCGTGTCTTCACTTGGGAAGATGAATCACCTTCCGCACCAATCATAACTTGGTTTGTTGACCACAGAGGCAATTTCCCCATTTGCCTTCATAGCCGTCGAGTGTTGTTAACTGACCAGTTTCATGAATGGGAAGAGCTGATCCGAGCGACCTGGCGTGAGCACATTGATGCAAGATCGACAATGGAAATGCATGTAGTTGATCCGGCTCCTCCTCAGCTTGAAGCTGGGGTCGTTGCTCATGTTATTTTGACACAGGCGCCTCGTGTTGAATGGGTCTCCAGCCTTGTCACCATTTTTGATTCATTCATCGGCCGCAGAGAACAAAACTTGCTTCGCATGGTTGTTACGACCGCTGAGCATTACCAAATCACGGAAGTCATGCAACACTGCGGCTATGGATCTGCGACTGTCACTCCGTATCAAGGATGGATCAATGGACAGCAAGTGACACACGAACAGCGATGGCCGGGCCGTTCTGGTGATGAGATAACCATCCAAGTGGATCGGCAAGTGATCCCACTGCCGGTTGCCCATCCAGAAGAAGACCATGCCCTGCTTCAAACTCCCACGATTTCCAGAAAGACATTGAATCTCCATGAGATATTGCATCAGGACTTGCATGTGCCAGTAGAGCTTTTCCATGTCTGTAATGATACAACACTGCCTGAGGGTTTCCCACAACACGTCATCGTCCCAGATGACTATGAGGAACAAGACATTGAAAATGCGCTCCATGCAATTGATTTTGCTTACCATGCGTATGTATTGCCAGCCACTGGCATTGCATTTGTCACGCCAGTCAACTGGAAAGCCAATGCTGAGGACTGGCATTATGTGTATTACCCTTTGCAGTTTAAGATCCGTTCAGACAGTGCAATTTCATCATCGGATCGCCAACATCCTGCACAAGCAGGGATGGGCTCCTGATTTACCCCATCCTGAGGTGTCAAGAACAGAGAAACGGCAAGTGTATGGATGCATGTCTTGCCAATCGACACAGGCAACCAAAGCAGGTGAGAGCGCACACATGTTCAAACGCCATGGTTTCCGAGCGTCAGCCAGACAACTTTTTGAGGACACATCGTGCCCACACTGTCTCAGAGAATATCACACACGAGCGAAAGTTTTGGCCCACTTGAGACATGCACATCATTGTCGTCGAAGTTTGCTGGGTCGCCGACTACAATGTGCGCCAACACCGGGCACGGGCTCAACGGCGGACAGAGTGCTTCATGAGATCACTGATGGAGCCATCCCTTTCCTACAGGGACAAGGACCGCAACTCCCGAATGGTGCCTTGATCGATTTCATTGAATATGATGTGGATTTGCTTGAAGCTCTCTATCTTTGCCTTGCAGATTTAGAAACAGACAGTGATATCAAATCGGCGCTGCGTGACGTCATCAGACAACAGCCGATCTCATGGACGAAGTGCCAGCGAACCCTGCATCAGTTTTTGGAAGATTTTGCAGAAGCAGATGCTGAGCCGTTACAAGTATCATTCACAGAAGTTGTGTCTTGCATTCAGTTGCTCATGCAGGTAGAGACATGGCCATTTCTCGGAGAGCCCTCCATCAAACCTGACTCATTCTCCAAGGTGCGCATTGATGAATGGGAAAACTGGTTTGCAGATCTGGCCGCTCAGCCATCTAGCACGTGGAGCCACCTCACTGCCATCCCCCGCAACCGATGCAGATACAAGATTGTGCTCCATGCATATGCGGGGCGACGCAGGCGAGGGGACATTGAATGGTACATGACGGCGCTTGCCAAACGGTATCCAGATCACATCATTTTGACGGCGTCTGTTGACATTGTCATTGATTCCAATCTGGGAGACATTGCCAAGGTAGAAACACGTGACTACTGGTTGATGCATATCATGAATGGACATGTCGTTGCCTTCATTGGTGGGCCCCCATGCAACACATGGAGTAAGGCACGGCACATCAAGCTTAGTGGATGCCACGGCCCAAGGGTTGTTCGAAGTCCTGAAGCGCCTTGGGGCCTCCCATCACTTAGATTGGGAGAGCTATGTCAGGTCATGCTTGGCAATTTGCTGCTTGGTTTTGCATTTGAGTGCATGGCCGCATTAGCCACCAGAGAAGGGGCAGGGCTCCTTGAACATCCCAAGGACCCAGACCACCCAGACTACGTGAGCATTTGGCGTCTTGCCATCTTAAGGATGTTGTTGACTCTGCCGAACATGCGCCTTGTATCCGTGTCACAAGGACTGTTCGGAGCTCCTTCCCCAAAGCCGACTTCGTTTCTGGTTTTAGGCTTGAGGACCCTGGAATCTGAACTGCACCAGCATCTGCTCACTGGGCAGCTGCCAACTGCTACGTCGATTGGGAAGGATGAATGCGGCAACTATCGTACTGCGCCGCTCAAAGAGTACCCGCCAGCTCTTTGTCATGCGGTCGCAGCTAGCATGTGTACAGATCTCACTCGCATGGATTGCAGTGATTTTGGTTCACAAACAGATCCCCCAACGGAATTTATCCGCAGATGCGAAGCCCTTGCGCGATATTTCCTTTGACGGGTGGATCGGCCATGACGGCTAAGTTCCACATGGCGTTTGTTCGAATTCAGACAGCTCCGTCGCAGCGTGTACCGCTTCAGGGAACGGGAGGAAAAAAATATATCAATATTGGTATCCCTAGAAGATTGGTATCAATAGGCTATTGTAGGGTATCAATACCACCTGGGATCCCAAAATCTTCTGAATATGGATTGATACAATGGAACATTTTGGGATAGCCTACAATAAACTCACAGGTCGCTGTGGAAAACCCCAAAATAGGCCTTCGGCTTTCCCGTTTTCCGTTTCGGAAGATGATCTACGAATGGTGCTTTTCCCACATTGATGTTAGTTTACCTTACATGAATCATCATTAATCTGGGTAAATTTCATCACGACCGAACCCTGTTCTCCCGAACCCTGGAATCATGGTTTATTTTAGGGAAATCATCCCCTTAAATGGCCTTATTTAATTCAGGTTAGTGACATATTACAATTTACCCTACATGAACCATCAGATTTGTCGAGTCGATCACTTTTGAAGGACCAGCACATTGGATTTCATGCAAAAGTCGTTGACTCCGTTGAGAATAGTCTGTTTGAACATTTCGCCACCGTTTGTATACCAAGGATCAACGATTGGGAGATGGATAAAGCAGCCCGAAACACCGAAACATGCTGACATCAGAAATGAAAGGGCCTCAAAGGCACTGTTCTGCAGATAATTTTATAATAATTATATTGTGTGACCTTCTCTCAGTCATTGCTAAGCTTTTCCAGTAGTCGTTGGTTGGTTTACCCTCTGGTAAACGTTTACATTTTACATAACGAACTGGAAAGATCCACCATGCTATGAAAATGGGAAAATCCACCATTTCTATGGTCAGTGGTCCCAAATGAATACCCTCTGGTTATGTCAACAGTTTGCTATTGAAAATGGCAATTTATAGTGGATTTACCCATTGATAGCATCTGGGTGAATTATAACGACCTCACTGCGACCTCACTGGAATCATGGTTAATAAGGGGAATCATCCCAAAATGGCCGAACTATTCAGGTGTGTGAATTATTGTAATTTGCCCAGATAGCATGGTGATTTTCCATAGCTATCTATGTTTTATAGTGGATTTACCAATTTTTTTATAGTGGATTTACCCATTTATAGATGGTTTACCTATTAAAAATGGCCATGTTTACCGGCGGCCGGGTAGTCAGATCCATCGCCAGGGCTGCCACTGGAAGATGATCGCGTGCAATGCCAGCAACTTTGGTCGCCTCGGGGATCAGCGGGAGCCGTCCGTTGGGGGCCCGTGAATCTGAAGATAGATCAATAGATAGATAGGTAGATAGGTAGACAGATAGATAGGTAGATAGGTGGATAGGTAGGTAGGTAGGTAGATAGATAGATAGACAGATAGATAGATAGATAGATAGATGATAGATATATGGTTATATATATATGTATACCATGTATGAACACATATATATATATAACAATCCTGGAGTAGATAGAATCCAGTTTCGTAGGGGGCGTTTTTTTTTTAAAAAAACCCAGGGTTTTTTGACCCAATACTAAACTATATATTCGGACCCCCTAGATAGAATATTCCAAAATCTACTCCAGGATGCTCAAAATGTGTTTTTTTTTCCTTTCCTTTTCAAAACCTTCCAATTTATTTTTTTCTTTCAAATTTTCCTTTTCAAACAGCTGCAAAAAATGAACTTTGGATGGTAAGATCGTAGACGTAGATTCCTACTTTTTTCATTTCCTTTTCCTTTCACACTTTTCCCTTCAAAAATCTGTAATTGTGAACTTTGGATGGTAAGATCGTGGATTCCAGCTTTTCTCATGCCATGTTCCTTTCAAAGTTTGATTCCTGCTTTTCTCATGTCCTTTTCCTGTCACAGTTTTCCATTCAAAAACCTTCAATTATGAACTTTGGATGGTAAGATCGTGCATTCCAATTTGTTTCCTTCCATTTTCCTTCCAAGTTTCCTTTTCAAACAGCTGCGAGAATGAACTTTGGATGGTAAGATCAGCTATTCCTACTTTTCTCATGCACTCTTCCTTTCAAACACAGTTTTCCATTCAAAAACCTTCAATTATGAACTTTGGATGCTCGATCTTGGATTCCTACTTTTCTATACTTTTCTCATCTCCTTTTCCTTTCGCAGCTTTCTTTTCAAAAACCTGCAAGACTGAACTTTGAATGGTAAGATCGTGGATTCCTTCTTTTCTCATCCCATTTTCCTTTCGTTGCTTCTTTTCAAAAACCTGCAATTTCAACTTTGGATGGTAAGATCTTGGATTCCTACTTTTTAGATGTCATTTTCCTTTTAAAGTTTGCTTTCAAACAGCTCCAAGAATGAACTTTGGATGGGTAGATGTGGAGGAAGGGGCAGGGAGCACCACCAATACATGCTTAATCTTAATCCCAAACATCCTTTAAAAAATCAGTCTTTTCATGGTTCTAGAGGATATTCTATCTATAGTTTTGCCCAACTGTCCTAGCACAGTACTAGCACAAAATGAACTTTGGATGGTCGATCTTGGATTCCTACTTTTCTATACTTTTCTCATCTCCTTTTCCTTTCACGGCTTTCTATTCAAAAACCTGCAAGACTGAACTTTGAATGGTAAGATCGTGGATTCCTTCTTTTCTCATCCCATTTTCTTTTTGTTGCTTCTTTTCAAAAACCTGCAATTTCAACTTTGGATGGTAAGATCTTGGATTCCTACTTTTTAGATGCCATTTTCCTTTTAAAGTTTGCTTTCAAACAGCTCCAAGAATGAACTTTGGATGGGTAGATGTGGAGGAAGGGGCAGGGAGCACCACAAATACATGCTTAATCCCAAACATCCTTTAAAAATTCAGTCTTTTCATGGTTCTAGAGGATATTCTATCTATAGTTTTGCCCAACTGTCCTAGCACAGTACTAGCACAAATGAACTTTGGATGGTCGATCTTGGATTCCTACTTTTCTATACTTTTCTCATCTCCTTTTCCTTTCACGGCTTTCTATTCAAAAACCTGCAAGACTGAACTTTGAATGGTAAGATCGTGGATTTCTTCTTTTCTCATCCCATTTTCTTTTTGTTGCTTCTTTTCAAAAACCTGCAATTTCAACTTTGGATGGTAAGATCCTGGATTCCTACTTTTTAGATGCCATTTTCCTTTTAAAGCTTGCTTTCAAACAGCTCCAAGAATGAACTTTGGATGGGTAGATGTGGAGGAAGGGGCAGGGAGCACCACAAATACATGCTCAACTCCAAGCATCCTTTAAAAATTCAGTCTTTTCATGGTTCTAGAGGATATTCTATCTATAGTTTTGCCCAACTGTCCTAGCACAGTACTAGCACAAATGAACTTTGGATGGTCGATCTTGGATTCCTACTTTTCTATACTTTTCTCATCTCCTTTTCCTTTCACAGCTTTCTATTCAAAAACCTGCAAGACTGAACTTTGAATGGTAAGATCGTGGATTTCTTCTTTTCTCATCCCATTTTCCTTTTGTGGTTTCTTTTCAAAAACCTGCAATTTCAACTTTGGATGGTAAGATCTTGGATTCCTACTTTTTAGATGCCATTTTCCTTTTAAAGTTTGCTTTCAAACAGCTCCAAGAATGAACTTTGGATGGGTAGATGTGGAGGAAGGGGCAGGGAGCACCACAAATACATGCTTAATCCCAAACATCCTTTAAAAAATCAGTCTTTTCATGGTTCTAGAGGATATTCTATCTATAGTTTTGCCCAACTGTCCTAGCACAGTACTAGCACAAATGAACTTTGGATGGTCGATCTTGGATTCCTACTTTTCTATACTTTTCTCATCTCCTTTTCCTTTCACGGCTTTCTATTCAAAAACCTGCAAGACTGAACTTTGAATGGTAAGATCGTGGATTTCTTCTTTTCTCATCCCATTTTCCTTTTGTTGCTTCTTTTCAAAAACCTGCAATTTCAACTTTGGATGGTAAGATCCTGGATTCCTACTTTTTTAATGCCATTTTCCTTTTAAAGCTTGCTTTCAAACAGCTCCAAGAATGAACTTTGGATGGGTAGATGTGGAGGAAGGGGCAGGGAACACCACAAATACATGCTCAACTCCAAGCATCCTTTAAAAATTCAGTCTTTTCATGGTTCTAGAGGATATTCTATCTATAGTTTTGCCCAACTGTCCTAGCACAGCACTAGCAAAAATGAACTTTGGATGGTCGATCTTGGGTTCCTACTTTTCTATACTTTTCTCGTCTCCTTTTCTTTTCACAGCTTTCTATTCAAAAACCTGCAAGACTGAACTTTGAATGGTAAGATCGTGGATTATTTCTTTTCTCATCCCATTTTCCTTTTGTGGTTTCTTTTCAAAAACCTGCAATTTCAACTTTGGATGGTAAGATCTTGGATTCCTACTTTTTTAATGCCATTTTCCTTTTAAAGTTTGCTTTCAAACAGCTCCAAGAATGAACTTTGGATGGGTAGATGTGGAGGAAGGGGCAGGGAACACCACAAATACATGCTCAACTCCAAGCATCCTTTAAAAATTCAGTCTTTTCATGGTTCTAGAGGATATTCTATCTATAGTTTTGCCCAACTGTCCTAGCACAGCACTAGCACAAATGAACTTTGGATGGTCGATCTTGGATTCCTACTTTCTATACTTTTCTCATCTCCTTTTCCTTTCACGGCTTTCTATTCAAAAACCTGCAAGACTGATCTTTAAATGGTAAGATCGTGGATTCCTTCTTTTCTCATCCCATTTTCCTTTTGTGGTTTCTTTTCAAAACCTGCAATTTCAACTTTGGATGGTAAGATCTTGGATTCCTATTTTTTTAATGCCATTTTCTTTTTAAAGCTTGCTTTCAAACAGCTCCAAGAATGAACTTTGGATGGGTAGATGTGGAGGAAGGGGCAGGGAGCACCACAAATACATGCTTAATCCCAAACATCCTTTAAAAATTCAGTCTTTTCATGGTTCTAGAGGATATTCTATCTATAGTTTTGCCCAACTGTCCTAGCACAGTACTAGCACAAATGAACTTTGGATGGTCGATCTTGGATTCCTACTTTTCTGTACTTTTCTCATCTCCTTTTCCTTTCACGGCTTTCTATTCAAAAAACCTGCAAGACTGAACTTTGAATGGTAAGATCGTGGATTTCTTCTTTTCTCATCCCATTTTCCTTTTGTTGCTTCTTTTCAAAAACCTGCAATTTCAACTTTGGATGGTAAGATCCTGGATTCCTACTTTTTTAATGCCATTTTCCTTTTAAAGCTTGCTTTCAAACAGCTCCAAGAATGAACTTTGTGGGTAGATGTGGAGGAAGGGGCAGGGAACACCACAAATACATGCTCAACTCCAAGCATCCTTTAAAAATTCAGTCTTTTCATGGTTCTAGAGGATATTCTATCTATAGTTTTGCCCAACTGTCCTAGCACAGCACTAGCAAAAATGAACTTTGGATGGTCGATCTTGGGTTCCTACTTTTCTATACTTTTCTCGTCTCCTTTTCTTTTCACAGCTTTCTATTCAAAAACCTGCAAGACTGAACTTTGAATGGTAAGATCGTGGATTATTTCTTTTCTCATCCCATTTTCCTTTTGTGGTTTCTTTTCAAAAACCTGCAATTTCAACTTTGGATGGTAAGATCTTGGATTCCTACTTTTTAAATGCCATTTTCCTTTTAAAGTTTGCTTTCAAACAGCTCCAAGAATGAACTTTGGATGGGTAGATGTGGAGGAAGGGGCAGGGAACACCACAAATACATGCTCAACTCCAAGCATCCTTAAAAAATTCAGTCTTTTCATGGTTCTAGAGGATATTCTATCTATAGTTTTGCCCAACTGTCCTAGCACAGCACTAGCAAAAATGAACTTTGGATGGTCGATCTTGGATTCCTACTTTCTATACTTTTCTCATCTCCTTTTCCTTTCACAGCTTTCTATTCAAAAACCTGCAAGACTGAACTTTAAATGGTAAGATCGTGGATTCCTTCTTTTCTCATCCCATTTTCCTTTTGTGGTTTCTTTTCAAAACCTGCAATTTCAACTTTGGATGGTGAGATCTCGGATTCCTTTTTTTTAAATGCCATTTTCCTTTTAAAGCTTGCTTTCAAACAGCTCCAAGAATGAACTTTGGATGGGTAGATGTGGAGGAAGGGGCAGGGAGCACCACAAATACATGCTTAATTCCAAGCATCCTTTAAAAAATCAGTCTTTTCATGGATCTAGAGGATATTCTATCTAGAGTTTGACTATCCAACCATACATATTATATTTACATATTTTATATCATTCACATATAAAGCATATGTTTCAATCATAGTAAACACCATACATATTATATCTACATATTTGATATCATTCACATACAAAGCATATATTTCACACAGAGTGCACCTTACACACTATAGTAGCACACTCGGTCGCTTTCCGGGGCGTCCCCCACATAGGGGGGTGATGACGGGATTCTGGAATCCCGTCACGTTTTTTGGCTATGCTCCCTTTACTGGGGAGCCGAGTTGTCAGCCCCTGGCAAGATCTATAGTTAGAATATCCCTGAAAAGGTCCCGGTTGGAAAAACAATCACATGTTGTCAAAGACAATTTTCTTAATTGGATTATACCCAGTGGTATTTAACAACATGTGCTATATCAATATATTATCCAAAGTGGTATTATAATTTATGGATTCTGAAAATACCTTTTGGGCTGTATTCAAAACCCCTGTTGGTTCATGATCATGTATATAGAGTTTGACTATCCAACAGTTTATATCTATGTTCGAATTCAAAATCTCCAGGAGGTCCGGTGAGCACACCAACTCAATTACAAAATTGCACATCTTCAATTATCAATTATCAATTTTGTAGGGGTGATCATTTTACCCACACCCATTCCTTTATTTTTTTTCCTTTATTGGGTTTGACTATTTGGGCATCCCGGGAACCAAAAATACCATTGCCAAAGAATCTACAACACATGGAATGGTTTTTGGAAACCTGCCGTTGTTAGCAGAATGCAGTAGGGAGGGGTCAGCACAGTGGTTGATACCATAGATAGAATATGAAAGAATATAGAAGAATATGGGGATGGATCAAAACCTTCTGTCCCAATTACACCCAATTCTATACAGATTACTTTTTAAAGTAGCTGGTTTTGATCGATGTCCAAATTCAAAATCTCCAGGAGGTCCGGTGAGCACACCAACTCAATTACAAAATTGCACATCTTCAATAATCAACTATCAATTTTGTAGGGATGATATTTGGACTCACACCCATTCCTTTATTGGGTTTGACTATTTGGGCATCCCGGGAACCAAAAATACCATTGCCAAAGAATCTACAACACATGGAATGGTTTTTGGAAACCTGCCGTTGTTAGCAGAATGCAGTAGGGAGGGGTCAGCACAGTGGTTGATACCATAGATAGAATATGAAGGAATATAGAAGAATATGGGGATGGATCAAAACCTTCTGTCCCAATTACACCCAATTCTATACAGATTACTTTTTAAAGTATCCGATTTTGATCGATGTCCAAATTCAAAATCTCCAGGAGGTCCGGTGAGCACACTGTAGCTAAATGGGTACGGGTCAAATTTGGCCCCAGCTCAATTTCAAAATTTCACATCTTAAAAAATCAACTATCAATTTTGGGGTGTGATAATTTGACCCACACCCATTCCTTTCTTGGATTTGACTATTGAATACCACTGCCAAAGGATCTATATTTCTGGGAACCACCAGCAACAGTGACAATTTCTTTGGAAGATTTTGGGCTGAAATTCGCATGCCAGAACCTAATACACCAGCATAATGACAACATTTGGTAGTCATTCCAAAGGCCCAAACAACCAAATCACAAGCTAAATGACCGCTTTTGTGATCATTTTTGAGGGACCTTTTTTTTACCAATCATCGACCCGGATTTTTGAGCCATTTTGGGATTCTATCTATAGGTTTTTTTCGGACCGTTTTTTTTTGAAATTCCAGAGATTCTATCTACTTCAGGATGGTTATATATATACACAACAATCATGCATATTCGTTTATAATTTGACTGCACATGGCCATTTTGGGGTTTCAGTCCTTTCTGTCAATTCCAGGGCCTGTTTCATTAGCATGTTTGTTTTGAGCGATGAGTCCGTGGTAACGACCAGCTAACATTCATATGACATATTTCAGGTTATTTGTCAACATATGTAGCCCAGAAAAAACCATGTCCTGTGACTAATCTTAACAAAAACTCATACATCGCCCATATCTACAGATCTAAAACGTTGATCTGAATCCGCACACAGTCACCACTTTCTATTGATCCGTCATCAGTCCGTGGGTGACTTGGCCCCTCTAAAAACCACCAGTGATAAACAATCATTTTCCATAGCCATAAACTGGGAGTCCAATTCTGGCTGGTTGTTTCATCTCTTTTAAACATGTTCAACCCTAGGAATTGGATGATGATCCTACTTTCGCTCATATTTTTCAGATGGGTGGCTCAACCATCAACCAGAATTTGATGCTAAGAAAGCCACACCCTATCGAACCGACCATGCCCGGCTTCTTTTCATCCCGTGGAGGTCTGCCGACTTCGACCTTGGCTAAGAGCTGTTTTGCTTATGATTCCTGATGAAATACATGGCAACTTCACCAGAGATCTCAATTTTTGGGGCCGGAAGACAACCTTGAAGTGTTCAACAGACATGTGTGGAAAAAGCTTTAACAAAGCTTGTTACAAATGTCAAGGGTAGCATCAAACTGCCTGACACCGTTGAAGAGATATCCTGATCTGGCAATCGAAGGCACCTGCTTCATAGAATGTTTTCCAATTGAACCTGGTGACTTTTCACTTCCAACTACGCACATGCCGCCCTAAGTCAGATATCACAATCAATATGCGCGCTCATCAACGACCAACTCTCAAAATGCGTGTTGCTGCACCGAACTTGAGCCTGACAGGTGAACAATATTTTGCTTGGGCTGCCCGCTAACTCCTGTTCCTAGACGCGCCGGCCCTGGCTTGCTTGAGCGTTAATGGGTGTTATTTTTGCATCATTGCCGCGCTTATTCGCGCAACCGTGTGACTGCAGGAGCAGCAGATTGCAATCCGGTTTGACGACTTCAAGCACAAAGTTGCTTGGTTGAGCTTAGGCAAAACTTTCTCACGGGGCACCCGGCCAGGGCCTAGGCCTAACATATTAATCTCTTTTTGACGCGGGTAAAGCGGGCCGGAGTGAGGAGGCCAATTTTTCCAGGAACCCAGCTCGCTATGTTTTTTTGATTTTTAGGACTGTTTTTTTGGAATAGCAGCCAGTGTATTTCTAGGTGGCGCTGCTTGTGTTTTTTTGCCACGGGTATTTTTTTGCAACAGCTCCCCTGTGATAGTTCCCGATCGTTTTTGCAACAGTTTTATTGTCGGTGTTTTTTGCAACGGTTGGCCGGTAGCAGTGGCGGCGGTAGGTGGTAGGTCGTAGGTCGTAGGTCGTAAGTAGAATGTGGTAGGTAGCAGGTTGTTCCTCTTGTTCCTGTTGCGCCTGTTTCATGTTGTTCCTCTTGAGCCTGTTGTGCCTGTTATTCCTGTTCTTGCTGCTGCCTGTTGCGCTGACCGCTCCGGTGCTGGGCCAGTTGTTTTGATGAGGCCGAGAAGGATAAGGAATCAGTGAGGGCTCCGCGTGATGCTGGAGGGGGCGCAAAGGAGGGCACGGTAGAGGTAGTAGAGGTAATAGCGGTAGCAGAAATAGAACAGAAAGCAGCACCAGCACCAGCAGCACCAACAACAGCACCCACCCAACCCGTGCAAAAAACATTGCTCATCGTTGCCAGAAACGCCCTTGCCGTTGCAAAAAACACCCCTCCCACTGTAGCAAAAACCATCCAAAAATACATCTTCCCAGGCAACAGTTGCAAAACACATTGATTACTTGGGGTAAAAACACGCAGCTCTAGATTTTGATTTGCAACGTTAACTTCGGAAACGGCTTTGAAAATCACCTGCAGGGAGCACGAGGACTGCCTGCCTCGCATTTTTGGCACCAGCGTGATGTGGCCTGCCGCGCCAGGATTGCGACCATGTGTTGGTGGAGCTGCGCGATGTGGGCTATATCGAAGTATCTGGTTTAGAGGCGTCCACCTCCCCCGCCAAGGCGTTGCATGAGCCACTCGTTATAATATAGGACACCTCCAGCGGCTGATTGTGAGCAATTCATGTCAGCCAATGGGTGCGGAATGGAGGGGCATGCCCCCTCAAACATGGTTTATTTTTTTCGATCGTGTGAAATCTTTGGTGAATCTTAATGGGGTACTTTTGGTATGGGCCATGGGTCAAAAAACAAAAATCCTTCAACCCCCCAAATGCGGACATGTTCAGTACACACTATCCAATCTTCGGGAGTCCCGATTTTGGCAGCCAAGGTTCATCACGCACCAGTGGCGTTGCTCAGAATACCGCAACAACATCTTCGAAACCTTCAATTCCAAGTACTGTGACAGGAAATACAGGAGACCGGTGACGTTTGGAATGACCACACGGGATGAATTGTTCCCTTGCCGTGGGGAACATGGAATGCTGCATGATTCAATGGAAGCTGTTTTCAGCCGAGATGGCCGCTTCGGAATGGTTTTGTGACAAGTGCATAAACAGGATGTTCTTTTATTGCGGGTTTACCCTCTGGTAAACTAACATAGCTATTGAAAATGGCCCATTTATAGATGGTTTACCTATTACAAATGGTGATTTTCCATAGCTATGTTAAATTACCAGAGGGTACATGAATATGACATGACATGATGCAACAAGGTATCAACAAAACACATCGATGACATGAGACATCAACATGAACCCCCCAAAAATATGGATCTCCCGAGAACCAGTGGTGCATCTGCTGCTGTGGAGGGAAGTGGTGTGTAAGGACCAATGCGTCGTCAACATTTCCAGTCCTTTTTGGGAATGATTGGAGCATCGCGATTTTTAGTTGACCAGCCCGTGGATGAACAGATGTGGGGAAGGTCGTCCAGATGCGACTTTCCACAGCTCTGAAGATGTGCACTTGTCATGCTGAATTCCTCAATTTTTCAGGTGAAATCATCCACTTGGTTGGGTCAACACCCATGATTTTTGTAGTTTGTGGGGGAAGAATCCTGAACCCTGTCCGGAAGGAGCCCTGCGGGGTTCTATCAACGCAATGGGCTGCAGAACACCTTGGGGCGTCGGACCATCGAATTAGCCACCTTCATGTCCTCCCAAGGCTGGGCAGAAAATGTGGGGCGGAGAGTTTTTTGGGTCCATTTTTTCTAAGAACGAATTCGATCTACAGGTCAAACGCGTGTTCTTTTTTCCGTTCATTTTCTTGTGGTTGAGATGACCCAAGTACTAGCCATTCTTGGTGTTGAAAGTGGAACTACTTGCTGGATTCTCAGATTGGACACCGTGTTTTTTTCTCCCTGAGAGAGTTCAGTGCAGTTGGTTTATAAACCATTGGTTTATAAACACCATTAACTATCGATGTCATATACGAATCATAACATATAGATATAACATCAATAAACCATGGTTATGTAAGTCATAAACTAACGTAGCTAACTGGGGGGGGGCATTTTCGCCGATTTTGGCGGATCAAGATGCACTGGGTGAAGACTTCGATCCCATGGTGATCCCCTTCTAAGCGGATGATAAATGGGTTTTAACTGGGCTGTAGATGGCTTGTAGCTGGGTTCTTGGCGTAGGAAGCCGTGAAAACCATGGGAACTCCGTGGCTCAGCTGTGTTTTTTTGAGGTTGGGACTTGGCCGCATGCAACGGAGGAAGCCTCATCCTACCGAAGCAAAAGAAGAAGATGCTGGGTCTCGGGTTTTCCCCGGGGGCCCAGGAACTGGCCGGGAATGGTCCGAATGGGGTCATATGGATATGGCTTCAAGTTAGGGAAGGTGTGAATTGCGGGTTTTGATCCAAAGCCCTTTGAGACAGAAATGTCAAGAAATAGTTGGGATGACTCCAACAGTTGCAGCAAAAAATATCCATTGGTAGCTGTGGATGGGCCCATTTAGTTCGATGATTGACTGAATGACCTCAGTGTTCCAGGCCCAATGGTTGCATGTTTTTTTGTCAATTTCATGTTGTTTTTATCCGAAGAAAACAAGTTTGGGACTTAGCAATTCCAGATTATCATAGATTCATAGATTATCCGGAATAACATGTCCGTGGCATTGCTTGGACTTTGTTTTTTGGACAATTCATAGAGGTGTCCGGAAAACTTGACTCCATCTGACGCATCCCCAAAGTTGTGATGAGAAAAACCCGTGGCCATCAGCGGTGGCAGTTACCATCAGATCAAGCTTATTTATAACATAAACACATTCCAGTAATTTGGGTAGTTGATTACATATGGGTATGGGTCAATACCTATTAATACCATTTCTAGTGGGATGAACATCCATAAATCCCAGCTATTTTGATGTGAACAGAAGGGGTACTATTGGTTTTGACACACTGCCATATAAACTAGTTTCAAAATCAAACACATATTGACATTTCATTATTCCAATACTTTTAGATATTTCACAGGTCTAAAACCTCATGGTTTTCGTCAACCCCACAACTCCCAGGAACGGTGATGGCCTTGTCCGTGAGCACCAGATGAAGTTCGTGGGCTCCGCTGCTCGCCCCGTGTCCACCTTGCCGTTGCTGCTGGTGGAGTTCCGCTGTGTCCCCGGTGCCGCGGCTTTCGAAAATCTATCGGTTCATGGGGAGACGATTGGCAGTTCAATCGGGAACATCAGCTACCCTCTGGTAATGACTAACATAGCTATGGGAAATCACCATTTTTAATGGGAAAATCCAGTATTAATGGCCATTTTCAATAGCTATGTTAAATTACCAGAGGGTAAACCTTGAGCTTAACATAAAACAATAAATGGGGACATACTTGTACTGGGTATGCTACAATTCCAACAGTATCATGTTTAGGTTTCTCTGAAAAATGATTTACTCCCTTCAAATAATGGGCACTTTGATGGGAGAAACATTTTCTAGACTCCAAACCATGAGACTTTTTTTGGGGTTATTTTCAGACAAACCCTGGCGATGTTCAGGTGTTCAGGGCAGATCTGTTGCCGAAACTGGTAGGATGTCGGAGGTTTATGTAAACCTTTCAATGGTCCGTTCGTCATCGAAAACGGGCCATCTCCCCTCATGGATGGATGAAGATTTTTGGTGGCTATTCATCAGCTAATAGCTATATATAGTCGTCCAGAAAATCATCAAAATTCCCCCACGATTCGTATGGGAAAAGAAAAATCCATGAAACACGTGCCTTTTGATTTTCCCACCAATCCAATGATACCTACCAATCCTGTACCAACATACTTTGATGTTCAGCAAGGGATGGCCCATGGGTTTTGACCGGCAGATGTCATCTCAGGATTGAATGCTGGTCATCCTTTTCTTCAGTGCCCTGGCCAGCATTTAAATCGGGAATTGAAATCTGCAAGATTTACATGGGTTTGTCTGTTTCAGATTCCAGAAAACCCGCCAGTTTATCCCCATTCCATGGCACTGATTTGGTATATGGGTATACCCCAGTTTCAGACATACCCATATTGTTGATCATTTAATGACTTCATTCTCAGGAGATCCACATATTTGTGAGTCTGGCACGCAAACATGCTGAGTTGGTCACAGCGAAGATCCTGAGATCCAGTTGAAAGGTCCATGGTTTCGCTTCAAAAACGTCAAATGGGGACAGGTCAATAGCTATATTTTAACCATATTTTTTTGGGATCAACATCCATAACTACCAGCCTTTTTTATTATGGGATTCCCTATATAGGGATTCCCTGGCTGCTCGCACCACCTCGAGAACTGCCGATGGCTCCAGGTCATTCATTGAGATTACAGGCTACAACACGAATGGGATCTACGGAAAGCTCTCTTCATTTGTACAGAGGCTCGGCAAAGTTTTCGACCGCTGCAATTGGCTGCAATTGCTTCAGACCTGACTTGCAGATGGGGAGCATCAAAATAGCTGGTAGATGCTGGTAGTCATGGTGGTTATGACACAGTAGGTAGTGATCCCGGCAATTCGGAAACCCATCACTAGTCTGGGGCATTTGCCTTGCTGTTTCCGTCAAGTTTCGCTGCTGAACAAGCCTGAGCACATGATGAGCCGAGGAATCACATGCAAAGTCGGTTGGTGTCACAAGCAACGCCCTTCTGTGATTTATGTGCCTGGGCTCTATGTATTCTGGTTGGTGCTTTGGAACATTTTTATGATTTTCCCATCATATTGGGAATGTCATCATCCCAACTGATGAACTCATATTTTTCAGAGAGGTTCAAACCACCAACCAGTATTTGTAGATTCACATGCCCAATCCAGATCGATGGATTGAGGATGGCACGCCTCGGCAGACATGTCATGAATGCATGCCCTGTATGTTACAGGTTGTAGTGCTTGATGTCATCATTCATCATGTTGTATCGCCGGATTTTTTTGGCCAAACATAATCTTTGCTTGCCAGTCTCATTGTTCAAATCTAGCCTTTTCCATTGATGTTCAACCGTTTAAGCCCATGTTAATTACCCACTATAATTAATTGTTGGGATACCATTGCCGCTGAATGATTTTGCGCAGCTAACTGAGGCTTTGCCTGTGATGCTTTCCAGATGAAGGAAGCCACGTTGAAGTGCAAGGAAGGCGCGACGTGGAGACCTTTCTGCGATGTTCAAAACCCTCCTTGGTTGATGATTGCAGGAGATTGTACTACCAATTGCCAAAAAACTTGGAGATTATCATAATATATCATGATCCCTTATGGGATTGTCATATGGATGCGTCTGAAAAAGGGGTATATACCATTATATACCTTCCAAATGGACGTTTCAGAAGGTGTTTATGATGATGAAGCATCAAATTTCGGGTGTTCCCCTAAATTTTCAGACAAAGCCATATATGTTGCTGTGGATGGAGGAAATCCTGCACCACCTTGGATGGTTGAAACCCTACAAATATCTACAAATAGCTAATGATGGAATAAACATGAATAAACCACAAACATCAATTGGGGCAGGATTTCTTCCGTCCACATGTTATGACCTTTTCACATGGGGCGCTACGCGATTAAGCGTAAGGCCGCTTTCTTGGCGAGAGCAACTTCGGAAAGTACGCCATGCGTCTCTGCGACTTCATGGTGGACTATTTGGGAGCGCCCAAACGGCAATTTCACAGTTAGCTATTGAAAATGGCCATTTTTAATGGGTAAACCATCTATAAATGGGATATTCATGGGATATACCCTCTGGTAAACTAACAGTTTGCTATTGAACATGGCAATTTTTAGTGGATTTTCCCATTAAGCATGGTGATTTTCCATAGTAATAGGACAGTTTACCAGAGGGTACATTCAAAATCATTCAAAGCCTTCTTGGATGACTTTGATTTCAAGCTATATTACAATACTATTGTCATCTGTTTTAGTAGTTTTGAAGTGCTCAAAACGGGTGGGACTTGAGCCCATTTAGGGGCCGCAGGGTGTCAATGAGACACTTGGGATGCCCAGCAGCAGCTGACAGGAATGGGAACTATTGGTGTGCAACAACAACTGCCACTCTGTCTGCATTCAAGTCATTCAAAAATCAAACAGTTGGATGACAGAATTTTAAGGTGCCATGCAATGGCATCGTTGGCCAAAAACATTGCTACTAGAAAACCTTCGAAGAACAGCGTCGTTGTTTGCAGCACTAAACATGCACTTGGTGAACCTTGGTGAATTTTTCGTGGACTTAAATGCATGACGATAAAAAATTCAGCTGTTCTCAAGAAACATTAGTTGCTTTTCTAGGTGTCAGATGGCTCTGGTGCATTTCATGGGGTGTTTGTGGTTTTTAGGAAGTTTGTGGACCGGAATATTTTTATGGAATTGTGCGGCTGGGGCTAATCCCTTAGATGTTCAACAGAATGATACTCGCCAATTTGGGCGGGCTGTGGGAGGAATAAACTTTGACGAAGGCTCGAGGCTGTCCACATCTTTGAAAGGGACTTTGGACTCATTGATCCCCCAGGGACAACTGTAGCCAACTAAAAATGGTTGAGGAAATGTCGGGACGACTCATCCATATCTTCCAGATCTGCCGATCTTTATGGGTCATCCATAGACTTAAGTCATGGGCATCGCAGGATGTGGGGCTTGGAGTAAGGCATCAACGTCGCGCTGAAGGGTCAAGCCTCGCTGGCGCGGGAGGCGCAGATGATCTTTCGCGCCCGGGAGAGCAGCCGCGACGTCTTCCTCTCCAGCAGCCAGGTGCAGCATGGTGCAGTGGTGTCAGGGGCGCAATGGGAAACCCACCATGAATGATAAAGCCAATGCCATAAACCCATCCAAAGCACCATTTTTATGGGATTCAAACCATCCCCAAATGGCAGGTTTTAATGGGGATATAATGAGGATACGGTAATGGAGATGGGGATATAATTGGGATAAATTTCCATTCCATCAATGCGATATGTTTTTTTCGGTCTGAAAATGGGAGATTTACAGTGAGCATATGGCCCTATTTTCAGGAAAACGGACCACGCCCATCTAGGTACGGCTGTGGCTTTTAAACTTAAGCCTAAACATGGATCAACATGGTATCATGTACTCCTGCAAAAAGCCAAGTGTGCTTGCTCAGTGTTGAATTTCTCGTATCCCGGGGGTTGTTTGAAGGACACTGTACAACAAATCGAACATCAAAACGTGTATGCACCAAAGATGTTGGATTTCTTCACTAGTTGGTCAGGAACCTGGGCAAAAAAAACATCTACAGGATAGAAAAGAACCCAGCTTGGGGATATCCCTAAGTGCAATGATTAACTGCTTACCCGAGAGGGTAATAGAAAAAAGGCTAACTGGAGAATCCCCTATAAATGGAGGTTTATAGCTGGGGAAAACATCTTATAAATGCGGGATTTCCATTGCCATGCTTGAGTGCCGGAGGGTACTTAATGATTACTTAATGATATCGTTATCCCATTTTAGTATGTGGTTTTCTACCCATAGACGATCCATATATTTCAAGTGATACACAACCGGGGATGTTGCATCTATAGCTGGGTTAGAATATAGGTTTGTGTGAAAATAGATACACCCGATTCCTACAGAGAAAAAAGGCTGGTTGGTGGTCTGGAACATGGTTTTTATTTGTCCATATATTGGGAATGTCATCATCCCAACTGACGAACTCCATGATTTTTCAGAGGGGTAGGCTCAACCACCAAGCAGGTTATTATTAACCATCATTAACATTCATAATGACCATGAAAATCTTTTCACCATTATTAACAGTATATACCCTCTGGTAAATTAACATAGACCCTGAAAATCACCAATTTTTAGAGGAAACATTCATCTTCCAATTCCGATGACTAGCAGGGTCTATGTTAATTTACTGGAGGGTAAAAACAGTATTAATGATATATTAACAGTATATTAACCATATAGTAACCATTATTAACAGTATATTAACCATATAATAACCATTAATATTAACCAGTATATTAACAGTCAATAAAAACAGTATTAATGAGATTGTTATTATTAACCATCATTAAGCATATAATGACCATTAATACTCGTATTAACCATTATTAACAGTATATTAACAGTATATAAGATTTAATTAGCAACAAGCTGGTCGTTTCGGGGCTATCCCTCAGCACTGTTCCAGCGAAGGCCGCGGTGCTGGGCTGTGCCCCCCTTTTTGCGCCCAACTACTGGACCCTGCCGAGCAAGGACGCGGTTCGGTTTGTGGAGGAAACCCGTTTGCGAAGTGGAAAATCACCATCAAAATTGATAGGTAAATCAACATCAACCAAAAAAAAGGTGCAATTTTCAATGGTTATATGAAATTACCAGAGGGTAAAAAAAGTGATTATCATGGGTTACCTTTCTGGTCATTGAACAGTTCGCTATATAAGCCATTTGTAATTGATTTACCTACTTAGACTAGTGATTTTCTATAGTTATGTTAGGATTTTCTATAGTTATGTTAGTTTACCAGAGAATATAATGATGATCATGGGCATATGGTTACCCTCTGGCTTTTTAACATGGAGGTATGTCACAATCGTTGATTTTCCAGCACGCAACGTTTGATTACCAGGGGGTTCTATAACGACTATCATGGGGACATAATGATTGCACCAACACAAAGCTGGGATATCGAATCATAGCGATCAGCTGCATCAATTAGAACAGCCGAAGCCGTTTGACGTCATTGGAGTGATGGGGTCATTGGGGTCATTGGGGTCATTGGGTAACTATCCCAGAATGTCATAAATTTTTTCAGGTGAGTGAATTACTATAATTCATCCATAATGATTATAATGGGGACACAATCTTGATCATTGTACTATAACTATAGCCATTCAATATGATAATGGGTATGGGGTGAAAATGATGGGGATATATGATTAATAGAATCATGGGGATATGATGGGTATAGTAGAATTTCAACAACATGATATTTGGGTTTGGCCAGAAAATGAGGCATTTACACACCACAAAAATGGCAATCTTAGAGGGGAAAATGGACAAGGGGGGCCCTATCTTCACACAGACCCATCGACTGGAACAGCGCTGAACATCAACTGACATGTCTTGCGGGGCCATGCTGCTGGGGCCGAACTTCAAACCTCACAAAAGCAGCAATTGCAGGCTTTCAATTTGGTATATATATATATACTTTGCTTAGTTTTCGATAGCACATTTTGACATAGCTATGGAACATCGCAGTTTTTCACACGCAAACGAACTAAATTGGCAGTGTGTCAAAACCAATAGTACCCCTTCTGTTCACATCAAAATAGCTGGGATTTATGGATGTTCATCCCCCTAAAACTGCTATTTTCATAGGTATTGATCCATAGCCAATTGACCATTTTCAATGGCAAAAATTGCACCAAATCCCTGGGAGCTCACCAGGCTGGCGAGGTGGCCCAAGAGGTGGTTCCCGCCACAGGGGAGGAATTGGCATCCTGGTGGCACTGGGGTACGGATTCAAAAAACGGTATCCCCCGTCCCCCGCAAAAAAAAAGGTTTAGGACCTGTTGGGATTACTATGCTGTTGACTTTTCTGCATCTCTTTTTTATTAATTGCTGTAATTTGATAGAAACTGCAATCAACAAGAGGAAACACTCTGGATTTTTTGCCTTAAAACTTGAACTTTTGGTGGGTGAAACCGTGAAACATGGAAACTTACTGCGTGAACATTCGGGTCAAACCGGTGCTTTTCGGATTTTTGTGGGTGGTTTTCCAGAGCGGTTAAACCTCTTCTATCCCTGGGATGTGTTGTTCAACTACTGAGCAGATGAGGAACTTCAAGAAAGAATCCACTTAGAGGATCATCTAGAAAGTGGTTAATAACCTTAGTTCGTAAGTTACCGAAGTGCGGTTATCCTACTAACCAGTTCTTAAATGGGATGATCCTCCAAGTAACCTTAAAAAGAAGCTCTAAAACAAAGATGGAACCTGAGCTAACCGTAGGCTTTGGTGGGAATGGCTAGTGCGAAAAACCGAAATTGAGGCGATGCTACAGGAAGTGATGGATGGCACCTACAAGGCGAAGTTTAAGACACGGAGCACGGTGGAAAACAAGACAAAGCCGATGTAACCAGAGAGCAGTTCCAAATATGAGGGGGTGTTGGCAAGGTGGTTTTCCGTAGTCCGCGAAGTTGGTTTGGTCATAACTTCAATTTCACTTGGGTTTATGGATGTTTATGGTAGATATACCATGATATACCGAACTACAAACCATGGGGTTTTCTACACCAACGTTCCGTGATCACGAGGCCAAAGCCACCCGTGATCGTCTGGGCAAACCCGTGCCGCGGCGCCTGGTGGTGGTAGCAGCGCTGCGCTCCGAGACGCCTGCCCTGTGGGACCCTCTGGGAATCAAATGTGGCCATGGACAATTCCTCATAAATGGGGGTGGTACCGGGTGGTATATGGAGAAAAAAAATGAAAAACACATCTATATATAAATGTAGGATTTTTCAATTGTCACGTTTGAATACCGGATGGGTTCCTGGAGGATAAAGCCATGGTTCTGCTTGAAAAATGCGGGGAAAACCATCGAAATTTCATGGTGTATCATGGTGTATCATGATTTCCCCCATTAGTATCATAAAATGGGAGGACACCATGAGAAAGGCACACCCGAATGAACACTCCCAGAAATCGGGAGCTTTTGATTGGGCTTTCGAAGATGGTTATGGATGCACTCTTAGCCTTGGGCTGGTGTAGACGCAGCAAGAGGCGCAAAATAGTGCGATTTGAACGGACATGTCGCCATAAAAGGGATATATCGATCATACGCCAAGGAGCAACAACCGAATGGCCTATCAGCACGCAAAATTCATGGTTTGGTACTTGACATGACCAACTTTGCGTGTCGGTCCCCCATTTATTGTGCCATAGCCATATTTCCAGAACTAGTCTCAGCTAAATTTCAAAAACACTTGCAAGGAAGTCTTGCAAACCCTTGCGTTTTCACAATGTACAATCCCCATTGCCCATCGTGATTGGGTGATTCCCCGTACCCCGAGACAGCCACATGCCCGCAGGACCGCTTCGCAAGGCGTAGGCAGCATTTGGAGCAAGAGCTTGCGGGGGAGAAGGAGTCTGGTGAAATCCAGCTAGGTTTGACCACGGGGAACTCAAGTTCTGCAGTGTGTTTGATGGGGGATACCCAAAAAACGCAAAACATGTTTATGAAATTCGGGGTATCCGATTCTGAAACAAATCCATACGTGTTAGATTTTGGCCCTGAATCATTGACTCTGAACACCACGATGCAGGTGTTGGGCAGGTTTCTGAACATGTGTCAGGTTCAGATAATCCTTTTTGACCCAGATCCACGCGGAATGCGATATACCCCCCGAAATATTTTTTTGATAAGGCACACGCTGATATATTATGATCAATGAATGCGTTTTGGGGTGCCCTGTTTGTTCAGGATACCATCATTTTGGGAAATTAGTCTTGTCATTATATGATAAATGGTTCCATTATCTTCCATTCATGATCAACCAATTATCCACTAAGTATCTCCTAGTGATAAAAGACATGATCACTTATTATCACCAATGATCATTGATATTCCACTAACTAACCATTATCAGCCAGGGTTCTCACTCTGGATTGAGATCGTCCACTCCCTGACCGAAAATCAGGACCTCATCACACCCATGACTCTGCCGGCCAGCTTGGGCTTGACCCTACGATGCATCCACGAGGCACGCGGCACTTTTCTTCGTAAGCGTTGAAAAGATGAAGAGTTGGGGAAACCGAGTTGAGAATAGTGATTCCAATAGGATTATATAAGAGTCAGGAAAAAGTTGATCGAACTATTGTCAAGATGAACAGTTAGGAAAATCCTATGAACATGCTATGACAATAGATGATAAATAGATGATATAGATAATAAATAGATTAAACATGTTTTAATGGCATGATAAATGGATTGAAAAACTTTTTTTTTGTTGCTATGTATTCCTCCATACACATCAGGCTTTGGGGGGATATCAAAGAGTACTATATCATATACCCTCTGGTTATTTAACATAGCCATGGAAAATCCCAAAAATAAATGGAGGTTTCGTTCGCTGGGAAAATCATCTATTTCTATAGGTCATCATTTTCCATGGCTATGTTAGTCATAACCTATATCATAGACTATAAATTTCAACTAAAATCGTGTCCCGCGAGTTGCAGATTGATGTGTTTTTGTTGCAGGTCACTGGGGACGCTCCGAAAAAGTTGATATGGCACTCTGGCACCCACATGGGCCAATTTCTGGTATCAGGCCACATGGGGTCGTTTCCTACGGCCTAAATAACATGGGTAGTTTTTCACATGCAAAACATGATGAACCACTGGGAAGGAAGGTTTTCCCACAGTTTTTTTTTCCCCCAACAGCCAGGACCGGGGAAACGGTAGCAACGAGGCTTATCTCTTGCATGGCGACTTGGAAAAATCGTCAGGGATTTGTTGGGTGCGGTTGAGGTTGTGGGTGGAACCATGTTTTTTTTTTTTCCCAAGCCTATGTTGGGACATCACTCCTTGGTAAAAGAAAGAAACCACTTAGAACTGGAACTGCAGCCCCAAGTATTGAGGATTCATGGTAAGGATTTGGGTTCTTGGGGTACCTTTCGGGACTCACAACAGTCTCGTCATTTTTGGGTTTGAGACTTTTGACCCAAACCCACAGGAAGGATCTGACCAAGCAAGAATCAGGTTTTCAGAACTGTGTGCATAGCCAGATAATGAATTTGATTGAACATGGGATATACATAAATAGATATGTATGCTTATATCAACTTATATCTATGTAAATATGCTTATATATATACGTATGTATAATTCATGTATATACAAAAATATACACATGTATATGCTAGCGGGTGAAAAGCCGCGCGTGTAGTCGTGCTACTTTTTTAAATGTGGGGTTTGGGTGGGGTGGGTGGGGCAATAACGTTCATGTGAGTTGCGTACACAAGTGATGCTACGCTACGGCTACATCATGGCTTGGGGTTTGGTTCGTTGTGTGGGGCAATAACGTTCATGTGACTTGCGTACACAAGTGATGCTACGCTTCTGCTACGTCATGGCTTGGGGTTTGGGTGGTGGGGTGGGGCAATAACGTTCATGTGACTTGCGTACACAAATGATGCTACGCTACGTCATGGCTTGGGGTTTGGGTGGTGGGGTGGGGCAATAACGTTCATGTGACTTGCGTACACGAGTGATGCTACGCTACGTCATGGCTTGGGGTTTGGGTGGTGGGGTGGGGCAATAACGTTCATGTGACTTGCGTACACAAGTGATGCTACGCTACGTCATGGCTTGGGGTTTGGTTCGTTGTGTGGGGCAATAACGTTCATGTGACTTGCGTACACAAGTGATGCTACGCTACGTCATGGCTTGGGGTTTGGGTGGTGGGGTGGGGCAATAACGTTCATGTGACTTGCGTACACAAGTGATGCTACGCTACGGCTACGTCATGGCTTGGGGTTTGGGTGGTGGGGTGGGGCAATAACGTTCATGTGACTTGCGTACACAAGTGATGCTGCTACGCTACGTCATGGCTTGGGGTTTGGTTCGTTGTGTGGGGCAATAACGTTCATGTGACTTGCGTACACAAGTGATGCTACGCTACGTCATGGCTTGGGGTTTGGTTCGTTGTGGGGCAATAACGTTCATGTGACTTGCGTACACAAGTGATGCTACGCTACGTCATGGCTTGGGGTTTGGTTCGTTGTGTGGGGCAATAACGTTCATGTGACTTGCGTACACAAGTGATGCTACGCTTCTGCTACGTCATGGCTTGGGGTTTGGGTGGTGGGGTGGGGCAATAACGTTCATGTGACTTGCGTACACAAATGATGCTACGCTACGTCATGGCTTGGGGTTTGGGTGGTGGGGTGGGGCAATAACGTTCATGTGACTTGCGTACACGAGTGATGCTACGCTACGTCATGGCTTGGGGTTTGGGTGGTGGGGTGGGGCAATAACGTTCATGTGACTTGCGTACACAAGTGATGCTACGCTACGTCATGGCTTGGGGTTTGGTTCGTTGTGTGGGGCAATAACGTTCATGTGACTTGCGTACACAAGTGATGCTACGCTTCTGCTACGTCATGGCTTGGGGTTTGGGTGGTGAGGTGGGGCAATAACGTTCATGTGACTTGCGTACACAAGTGCTGCTACGCTACGGCTACGTCATGGCTTGGGGTTTGGTTGGTGGGGTGGGGCAATAACGTTCATGTGACTTGCGTACACAAGTGATGCTCGCTACGGCCACGTCATGGCTTGGGGTTTGGTTCGTTGTGTGGGGCAAAAACGTTCATGTGACTTGCGTACACAAGTGATGCTATGCTACGGCTACGTCATGGCGTGTCAAGTTTGTGGAGCACACGCAAAATTGGAGCTGTTAATCATCAGTTGCTTCAGGGAATTCGTATTTGGCAATGGGGATGGCACCATGGAAATTCCTACGACTACATGAGTTTCACCGGTGCCGCCTTAAGCAGGCGCTTGGTAGACTGAAGCGGCTAAACTAGAGTGAAAAACGCCCATCATCCCAAACCCACAAAACCCTGTAAAAAAACCATGTGATACCTTCAAAATGGTTTGATTTTGCCCGGCAAATTTTATGGTAATGTTGATCAAAAAACATGCACGGCGCCACAGCGCCAAGCCCTTTTTTTAAAACGTGCTCAACCGCTGGCGCGGTTTCCCACCCGCCGGTACCTATGTATATAGGTATATACATGCAAATGCACACACACACACACGCATATACATTGATATACATATATATATATATATACACTTATCAAATTTCAAAGGCACTGAAAGCATGGTTTCTGAAAGGTCATGAACGTAAGGGGCGGGACGATGGGTACACAGTGTAGGTACGTGGGTGCGATGTGTAGGTACGGTAGGTACGGTGGTGGGTGCGATGGGTGCGATGTGTAGGTACGGTAGGTACGGTGGTGGGTGCGATGGGTGCGTTGGTAGGTACGATGGTGGGTACGATGGGTGCGTTGGTAGGTACGATGGTGGGTGCGATGGGTGCGATGGGTACGGTGGTGGGTGCGATGGGTGCGTTGGTAGGTACGATGGTGGGTACGATGGGTGTGTTGGTAGGTACGATGGTGGGTGCGATGGGTGCGGTGGCAGGTACGGTGTTGGGTGCAATGGGTGCGATGGTGGGTGCGATGGGTGCGTTGGTAGGTACGATGGTGGGTGCGATGGGTGCGATGGCAGGTACGGTGTTGGGTGCAATAGGTGCGTTGGTAGGTAAGATGGTGGGTGCGATGGGTGTGTTGGTAGGTAGTAGGTACAGTAGTTGGTGTGATGAGTGCGATGGTAGGTACACTCGAGGGTGCGATGGGTGCGATGGTAACTGCGTGGGTAGGTGCTGGCAGGTTTGTCAGTTTGTCGGGTGGATATACTTTACTTGGCTTTATGCTGTGGTGTAGGTTTGATTTTTTCTTCAATTTATTCCAATTCAGTCCTTGTTGCGGGGCACAATTGATATCTGATATGCAATTTAAACGAAAAGGGCAGAACCCAAAAGACTCAAAAGATAAATGACTGCAACATGAAGCAACCGAAACAACGGTAGGAAAGGAATCCTTAGTCAGTTACGAGTTGAGAACCGAATCCATAGAAAACGTGATGTTGATTTCGAATGGGCAAGATTGAAAGAACCTGTTTGCTGGGGCTGATTGATGACACTTCGTCACTTCGAGTCACTTCGGCAAGTCCTTGCCAACCCTTCTTCAAGCTAGCAATGTGGAAGATGACAACAAAAAGTCAGCCGACTGTTGGTGGAAGAGGGCCCAGCTTCAACACTACAAGACAACAATAATGATATATATATATATACATAGTATAGTATAGCAGCATATCATAGTATAGCATCACGCATATATAGAATCAGTAGGTATCGGTAGATTATATATTTGATTAGAATCAAAAATAGAAAAATACGGCATAGCAAATAGTAAATGTATAACAAAAATATAATAGTAATATTTGTACAGATTCGTTCAGTGACCTTAGATTTTTCTTTTCCTGAATTCCAGAACATCCGGGTCATTGGGTAGAAGGAGAGAAAGTGTTAGATATGGTTCTCTACACAGACCGGTCGGGGGGTGCTTTGCGCAATGGCCGCTGCTCTAGCTGCGGCTCTGGTTTGTTCTGAGCAGTTTGATGAGGATGAGTCTCAGACCTGCAAGAGAGGTGAAATCAAATGGAAAATGCGTTTTCTCAGGAAATGTTCCTTTGCTTCGCTTCAACCTCAAACTTTCGCTTTCATATCATTTTATTTTGTCCTCAAAATTAGGATTGAGTTGTGGGGCTCGAAGTGCAATGAGCATGTTGGTAGCCTGGAAATTGCATCATAGAATCCAAGTATTTGCACGCGTCGCATGGAAAGTGGATACGAGATTGACTGTTTCCTTCATGTGGCCACTGACAGGTAAAGAAGCGAAGCGTGCTGTTGCCATGTCTGTGAAGAACAACGCGAAGGCTGATTCTAAACATGGCGTTTTCCGATCTATTCGGAAGGGGGATGCGCAACCTGGAAAAGTTCGTGGAACAGGGCGCTGGAAGACATGGACTGCAGAAACAATGATCACAACATCGTTTCTTTGCAACAACATTGTGTTTTTGATTTTCCTGGGTATGCTGCTTGAATTCGATTTGTTAGTTTAAATTGTGCCACAGCATAGTGGCTGGTCTGGAGTCTCAAGTGCGCAACAGGCTAGCAGTGTAGTCGCACTTTCTTTTGCGGGGGATGATTGCCAATGCTTTCCGCAACTTACTCCTTTTACACTCCTATCGTTCTTTGCAGCCTGCCCGCCCAGGTTGGGAAACCCAGTCACGCTTGCAAAGACGAAGGACGGACAGACCAAGTTGAAGAACCAGCTGCAAAACAAAATCCCTGCCATGTTTTCAGCGAACTCGCTGGCTTATTGGTTGAACAGCAGCACTTCCCATATTGCGAATGTTTCTTGGATGTCATGTGCTTGTTGAAGTTGATCTTTGGAATTTGTAAGAGGCTGTGGTACTGTAAACAACCTACGAAATTCATTTCCAAAGCAAACATAATGTTTGAAAATTCTAGTTAAAGTTTTAGCATCAGTTCTTTGACTTGCCAACATGGTTTGAATCAATATAATATGAATATATGATGATTTATAGCTATTTATCTTACCAGGTTCGTGCAGCTTTGTCGCAAGTGTATCTGGAGAAGCTCAAGCATTACTCAGCGCAAATTCAAGCTGCTGCTTGTCTGGCACTGGTTTGGGGTCTACAGTGGTTTGGGGTTCCAGGTTTTTGCGCTCAGCGTTAAAGTTTTGAGAGTTCAAACCCTTTGTCGGGCCATTTAAGTGGAAAACATATGGCTTGTCACCTTCTTTTCACGCCCTATTGTCTCCAATCTCCAGCATTCTTTCTGGATTGCGCTCTGCAATACCAGCTAAGGAAAGGCCGCACATCATTTCAATGAGTTTGGAATTTGATGAAGCGTCAAAGCGAACCAGATTGCGCAAAAATGTTCTCGACGTAGAGGCTGTATACCCGATCCTGGTGACTTGGCTACAGCCTATTTAGCTCTTATCACCAGTGTGTGTGTGTGTGGGGGAAACCCCTGTACCAAAGGGCTATAATTAATCAGATTTACTCCGGCGTCCAAGTTTTAACTATTCACCAGCCAGGGGCGACAGAGTCGCTGCATGGCTGTCGCCAACGAAGCTCCATGCAGTAGACTAGGATATGGAGTCTGATCAACTCCACGTACCTGCAGCTTTTCGTCATTTCATTCCGTCCCGTGAACGAGTTTTTATTCACCGTGTACAGAAGAGAATCCGTTTCAGCAGTTTCTTCGAACAGAGTCAGAGTTCATCACAGCAGTTTCAATTTTCTTTTTTGCTGAAAAAGGCCTAAAACTGGAATCTCCAGATCCCTTGATGGGAAACAAAGTGACTCATAGACGACAAACGGTCTGTCAAGTGTGTCACCTTGCTTGGTGGATAGATTGACAGGAAGACAGCAGTAGGCAAGTGCGAGAAGTGCATTACTCAACTGTATCTAGTAACTAGTAGTAGCACCTGAATGAGTTCTGAGTTTTTGGCAAAGATAGGGTTGACATTTTGTGTCTCTAACGAGAGTGGAGAACCCCGTATGTCTAAGGGGTTTTGAAAAAACTGTAGCAGGTAAATATGGGACAAGAGAGGTTTCTTGTTCTGGGGAAAGATGAGATCACTTGTTCTGGGGCAAGATGAGATTACTTTTTCACATATTCACATAATTCCTCCAACTTCTGTACAGTGTTTATCGACAGTGGTGCTTTCACATTTTACTCAGTATTCGGGCCAGTCGTTATACCAACTATACGTGCTATGATACTCTAAACTCTTTACTGTATGATCATATCATATCTATAAATGCTGGCTATTAAGAATATAAATGCTAAATACCATGATGCAAGTTTACATATACGTACTTGGATAGTGTTGGTTGAGAATAGTTGCTTGAGTTTTCTAGTGGTTGATTTTGTATGCATCATGATACTATCGCAAGATGCCCGAACACACTGTGGCATGATCCATCACAGTCTTTATGTGTTTGGTTTTCCTCAGGTGCAGCGATTGGAGCTTTTCATGCAGAAGGAAGCCGGTGACACGGATTTGCTGACCTTTGGTTGCATGCTATGTTTGCGGGGAGCTAATCTCGGTCTAGTCACGTCGCTGGTCACTACTTGGCGTAGGGCCCTCACAGAGTCTAGAGCGGCCTAGAAAATGAAAATCTAGCATGTAGAGCTGAAGAGAAGGGATCGCTAAGTTTTTTCCAGAAGATAAAAGCGGACGATTGCAGCATGGGGCTTGTGATTTTGAAGAAATTTTTGTCTTGAGGCCGTTCTGTGTGAGTGTGATTGTGAGCACATCTAACAAGCCGAGGCACACAAGCATCCCAACTTCGATTGCTGTTCTGGAATCTACCACAGCAGCTTGCATCTGGAGCGCTATGAAGCACATTCATCCCATTGAGTTCTGGAGATGCTCAGCTGTATGTCAACAAACAAACTTAAACAGACCGTGCTCGTGTGTTGCACAGTCGTCTTTGAACTGTTTTGAGCTGGAAATCTTTTGCCAGTAGATAAAACCCTCCAGCTAGACCAACAACTTACAATCACGCGATCCAGAATCCACAGGAAATTTCACAACTCTTTGACACTACAGACATGCATGCGGTTACATATATGTACATACGTGTTACATGTTATTACATGGACATTATCATTTTACACTACTACATGCAAGCATGCTTACATGCGTGCGTACTTACTTACAAGACTTACATGTGTATTCAACGCACACACACATGTATATATATATATTGAGTACTCCCATGCAAAATGATTATAACATGTCTACTACATTTACTTACTTTGACACATACCACATACAGACATACATGCATACATACAAGCATGCAGACAGACACACAGATACAGACAGAAAGACATAGATGTAAACAACCAGACAGGTAGACAAACAGACAAAAAAAACATGCAGACATACCTACAGCCGTTCATACAGACATAGAAATATAGAAAGATAAAAAGATAGTTAAAAAACTAAGTACATACATGTGAACATACATCCGTACATGGATGCGTATGCATAAATGGATTTTGAACTAGCCCTCCATACATGCACACACAGACACAGACACAAACACAGACACAGACACACAGACAACATACACACATACGCACATATACATACACATACGCACATACGCACATACACATACACATACACACACACATACACATGCATACATACATGCATGCATACATACATACATACGTGCATACGTACATGCTTACATGCGTGCATATGTGCGTACGTACATACATGCATGCAGGCATGCACACATACAGACATACAGACATACAGACACGCCTGCCCACATACAGACATACAAACGTACAGACAGACATACGTACACACATGCACAAGCACAAACGCATATACATACCCACCTACCTACCTACCTACCTACCTACCTACGTACCTACCTGACTACCTACCTACCTGCCTGCCTACCTACCTACCTGCCTGCCTACCTACCTACCTTCACCCATGCAAGAGTACATACATACTTAGATAGATAGATAGGTAGATAGACAGATAGGTAGATAGATAGATAGATTGGTAGATAGATAGGAAGAAAGAAAATTAGATAGATCGATACATGCATGCATGATAGATACACACATACACACATACACACATACACACATGCATACACACATGCATGCATGCATACATGCATACATACGTACGTACATACCTACATACATACATACATACATACAATCATACAATCAATACAATCAATGCAATCAATACATAGATACATACATACATACATGCATGCAATCAATGCAATCAATGCAATCATTGCAAACAATACATACATGCATGCATACAAACAGACATACATACATACATACATGCATACATACAATCATACAATCAATACAATCAATGCAATCAATACATAGATACATACATACATACATACATGCAATCAATGCAATCATTGCAATCAATACATGCATGCATACAAACATACATACGTACATACATACATACATTCGTTCATTCATACATACACACATACATACATACATGCATACCTACATACATACATACATACATACTTACATACATTCATAAGTTGTTGAATGCGCAAGGCTTACGCACACATGCATGTATACATTTTACACACATGCATACATGCTTGCATACATACACACACGCACACATACACCTAAATACTTTTGGCAGTGAGGTTGGTCCCGCGCTGCCAGCATCTATGTGCTGCGGGTGGTGAGTGATGGGGCAACCGCCAACCGCTTGCTCTTCAAAACTGCAATTATGGCTGGTAGGCCGGAGAATTCGATCGTTGCCCACAAGGTTTGCGACCAGCAACTCGGATCCACTGTATGAAGATGAGACGTGTTTGCGTGACTGGCAGCAAACTGTAAACACTGTAAACCATGAAAAATATTGAAAAATCACATTGGTTCATTTCTGAAAGTCCAAACAAGAAACGGCAATCAATGTAGTAGGTACATTGTTGAAATTTCGCGAAAGGGTTTTTCAACAAACTTCAAGGCTTAGAAGGTTCAGGTTACGGTTGCAGGGTTGCAGATTACCATATCAGTCTCAGCAGCCATTTTCACGAGTCAGCCGGCAGCCAAGTGTGGTTGCAGCACAAGTAGCAGCATGTCACAAGTAAGTTATTCCAGACTTCGGGATGTACCCTAAGGCATAGCCTCAACCATTGCTCAGCGCCGATATGGAAAGGGCTCGCGCACCTGACTCCAATGCTTCTCTGGTTGGCCTTCAGTTTAGAGTTTTCTTTAGTTTCTTTCCAACTTTCCCAGTGCACAAGCAATTCACCAAAAGAAATAATTACTCGCCAAGTCTTTTAGGAATTGTTTTTTACAATTCTATTGTATGAACTTTTCCCTGTTTGAGAAATTAATATACACTTGGCAGTTAAGTTGGGCAATTCGCCTGTAGGACCATGAAGCCTGTGCTGAGGTTCTACTGCACTGGATTCTTATCCTCAGGATCGAACCTCTTGCACCTGCTGGAGCATGTTGATGCTTGGATCATGGATCCGGGGACAGTCAGAGTTGTGTTTAGCAAGCAGCTTGCCTCACCGTCCACTGTAATTCTTAGGTGCTTTCTTTCAGGCTCTGAAGGTATGGTTAGTTGTGTTCGTTTTGGTGAGCTTGATACCATATACCAGGCTTCCAACTATTGTATTCAGCCGTGGCAGATGCTGGAACCTATTGAATCTGAATCCAATCTTTTCTGTTGGTGGTATGCGTAGTATTGCAACAACAGAGAGGAAGAGAATAGACGAATTGACTGCGCAACATGTCACGCAACAAAATTTGTGACTTTACCAGCCGCAGTTCCCTACCCAGGCCCGACCCAGCAGTTCTCAAACGAAACAGGGACTTCGTGAAACTGATCTGCAAGGCGACTTCAGCTGATGATCGGAAAGGCTACATGCACTTGGGGGAAGAACTCTTGCAGCTGGATTCTGGTCCATGGCATGACACATCGCACATTTATCACCACTGCAAAGGAGTCGGCTGTTGCAAAGGCGGTGTCATTGAAACACGTCAAAAGCTCTGGGTGGCGGTCGCAGCTTCTTGACATTTATTTTACAAGTTTTTGGTTTAGTGAAGTCAGAAAACAAATCATAAATCGCAATCGGTGAGCAACATATAGTGAGCTGTTTGCGAATTATTTTGCCAAGATCGGCGCATACAATAGCTAACTAGAAACTTGTTTCACTTACTTCCAGTCTCAAGTGTAAGTATCTTAATCTTAGGTTCCAATTTGTCAAACCGTTTGGCTTTCACCTTGAGATCCGAGTTGTCAAACTTTTTGGCATTCACCTGTCCGCTTGAGTCTTGAGGCTTTCGTATTCGGGATGAAACCGACCACTCCAGCAGTCAGTCGCTGGACTACTTGCGGCAAAAGCGGTCGCTACTATTTGTGCCTTGGAGACAGTTATAAGGCCCAAAGTTTAATTTTCAAACAAATGTGGAGATAAACTACAAAGCTGCAATACAATGATACAGTGATACTAGTACTTTTCTCTTGTTGTCTCCACCAACTTGATAAACAATTTCGAGGGTTTCAAGTTCATAAGATATATTGAATTGCGACACTCGTCGATTTTAGTTGCATTTGAATCAGTAATTTGAACTTGAGATTTCCGACATTCTTTGCTCAGTTCTTGTCAAAAATAGCCCATTGCAGGTGCGCTCTTGGCTATCACTCCGTACTTATGCATGGTATGGCTCGCTTGCATGGAATGAAGTCTTCCATTGATGAGGAAGAGGATACAATTCTTCCGACTACTGCCTTCATTGAATCGGAGGGGTCGACAGAATTGTTTCGAAAGACTTTGCGCTTCAAGGCTACGAAAGCGATGAAATGGGTTCAGGACCCCTTGTCGGTCTACAACTTGCTGCTTAGTTCGGTGGTGGTGTCGCCTATGGAACGTATCATGTGGGAGTTTATGTCTTGGCAACACACGCAAGCGTTTCTCCGGAAGGAGAACCCCCCTGTTGTTTGCATGGCCAGCCCGTGTCTTTCTCCTGTCTTCAAAGCCATTCGGCACATGTGCTTGCAGATGACCACTGGCTTGGTTTTTCCAGATGATGCAGATTCCTCATCTCTTGTCGAGCTTGCAGAAGGTGGGCTCAGTTAAACTGAAAAAAATAAATCAAACAAGGGCTTCAACATAGTTCGCCACTAAGAGAGAGGAAGCCAATTTTACCTTAACTTGCTGACAGACAAGCACTGATGATGAGCACCTCACGACTTGCAACAGAATCTATATAGCATACCAAAACCAGTAAGAAGTGCAGGCTGTGCAATGACTGCAATGTTCCACGACCGCAATGTGCAATGTACCTATGTTCCTATGTCCACACCAGACTTTAAGGTTTTTATTCTCGGGTTTGCAGCGGGGTGCGTGGCGCAAACAGGTTCAACCTTTTTTCGAGTTAATGTTCCCACTGAGCCGTTGAGTAAGTTGAGACTTGAGACTGACTCTATTCCTGAGATCGATTGGGAAGATTTTGTATTTGGGGTTTATGCCTGGTTCGATTTTGACCTGGGTAACAGCTCTTTAGATAAGTTGGTTTCGAATTTGGGAAAGGTCACTCACGACTCAAAATTTAGCAGCGCAGTTGGTTCAGCGGCAAAGTTTGTTCCAGCTGGCCAGGCATGCCGGGCGCTGTGCCGAGCAACCTCATCGACAAAGGCTTTTGGTGCATCGTGACTGGTGTGGGCCAACTGTTTCATCGCCTTTGCCTTCCGTACAAACAGTTGCCATGGCTGCTAGCCAAATGCTTGAACAAGGATGCTGACAGCAGGGAGCTCGCAACCTGGTTTTGCAACCTTCCTGATTGTTGCCTGAATAGCTGGTTCTCAAAGCCACTGCGGGCCTTGGTTGACCAACCTGAAGATTTACTTCCAGGGGGGAAGTCCCAACCATTGCTTTTGAGCATATACAATTGCAAGAACTTCAACATCGAAGTTGAAAACAACTTTGCCCGTCTCCGAAATCTGAAACAAGTCTCCCGGGGAAGAGAGGATCTGAGCCACAATCTGGCGTCGAAGCATTTGCTATCAGAAGCGAAGCTCGCTCACACCAGGCATTTGGTTCGTGAAAACAAAGCTGGGGAGTCATTGGAAGATTCAGATCGTCACTTTGACCTCCGTTGGTTTTTGCTCAGACACGTGATTTCTTTACTCTGTACTTGTAGCATGTCACGTTTGTAAGTGTGACGGAAATGATTTCCTCGCCTATTTTGCTGAGTCGTTGTTCATGGGGAACTTTCCTTGTTTCCTAGGTTTTGCAAACAGGTTTAAGCATTTTGGTGGCAACTTTTTTTTTTGGGCGACCTTCTAGCAAGTACGCATTCAATACGCAATAGCAGTGGCAATGCAGTCACAACGAGCGTAGGAGTGTAGATTCACAGACAGTTACCCATCACTTACACTTACACTTACACACAGATGTGTAAGATTTGTAATAAAGAAAACAAATATGAACATATTCCTACGTTTGATACAGTTCCATAAACACATACACATTGCAAACAAACTTGCATACCTGCCCTTCCGCTGAGGAAAAGAAGGGCCAAAAAAACTTATCTACAACGGGTTCACTCTTTTTGTTGCTGAATCCATGCGAAAGCGTGTGCAGAATCCTGATGAGTCACCTGATGAGTGTCAAAAACGGATCAGGGCAGAGTGCAAACGAGACTGGCAAAATGATGAGCTTCGTGCCTTGTACTCCAGCCGCGCCAAGAGGTTGAATAGGTTCCAAGCTTCAAGTGATGCTATTTCAGCCCATGTTTCTGGGCTAGCGGAAGTCATCCCACAGGAAGATGGAGGAGAAGGAGACGTACCAGCAGCCATAGTTCCCCAGCCAACCTGCAGGCAGTACATACCCTGTCATGCTCCTGGTGGTGGCTATGGTTGCTTTGGCATTGGCGACCTTGAATACAGCCTTCGTGTCAAAGATGTTCAAGATTTGGATGAATCTTGTGAAGGGTTTGTGCGGAAATGGGCGGCCAAATGGCGGAATCATGCGGGTGGCATTTGCAACGAAGACAAAAGTCTTTTGCAATTGCGTGCTTCAGTACGCCTCAGCTGTTTAGACGAGTTCGGTTTCTGTGTCCGGGAGATTGCGTCAATGCCTGTGTACAAGACTGTTCAGGAGCAGTTGCTGGGATTTGTTCGCCACCACCATCGTCGGCATTTGTCAGGAGCTGGCAAGAAGACAACGAACAACGGACCATCGGTCGATCTGCCACATTTGCTACTGGTAGCTTTCGATGTGCGTGATCAACAGCAACTTGTTGTGTCATATGTGTCAAAAACGGAGCTGCTTTTCTTTCTTGGTTCTTGGCTTGGCATGGGGTCACTTAGTTTTGCCTAGCGTCCGGAAGAATCTAGAAATATCAGGTTGCATCAACTCATTTTCTGCCGCTCCCCTTGGTGGCAATGTTTTCTGGCTAATGAAGGAGGAAGAAGGAATACCTATTTAGAGTTGATCAAATTCAGACATTCAAGTTCAATCAATGTCTCGCAAGAGCCATTTGTTTTACAAAGGGGGCTTTTTCTGAAATGCGTTACAGAGATTTGTGGCCCACTCCAGTCAGGCACCAAATTTTATCGATTCTAGCTAAACACCATAGAGTAGACATGTTTTGATGCTGAACATTCAGCAAATCACTTGTCGATTGATGACGCAAGGCAGCTCAACCCTGAATGCTTCTTGATGAGCTGGTCGCAGTTTTCACCATACACTGCCGATTGGTGGAGGTGGACGGCTTCATGTGTTCATCCTGCTGGACGGATTTGGGAAGCTCGTCCTGTCATTGATGATGACTTCATGCCAGAGATCAAGACTGTGGAGCAGATGTCGCTTTCCTTCAGCAATCGGTCTGCTGCTGGCGATATGTGGAAGTGGACGCACATAGGCTACACTGCCAATCAGCTGGAATATAGTTGGTTGAAAATTGTATGTTTGTCTTTTATTCTTTACTACGTTTTGACGACGTTGTTGTTGTTGTTGTTGTTGTTGGGTTTTTGGTGTTTTGATTGTCACGGGACACTAGCTGGGAAGCTGTAAAGCTCTCAGGCTTAGAGTAAGAGTATGAATATTTCCAGCTCAGTTTTGGTACAGCATGCCGCTAGGTGGTCAGTTTGAACACACTACGCTTTCTGCTCCCAGAAGCTGATGATGATCAGTGGCTCTGTATTGGCACCCAGGTGATTGATCAGCTATCTTCTGAGGAGGAAGATCAAGCAAAGAGCGCAATCACCGATTTCCTCTCTTCATTGTCCAAGAGCAGAGCAAAGCCAGCGACGTCCCAAAATCCCGCTGTGAGAATGACTCGAAATCAGCAAGGACTGCTTACCACAGCCAAAAGAATCAAAAACATGCAAAAAGGAACCCTTACCCGGGGCGTAGGATGTTCCCTGACCAAAGCAAGTCGAGGGGGAGATTGCTACTGTAGGTTGTAGGATGTTCCCTGACCAAGCAGGCTGGTGGCTAAGCTAAGACATTTTACCGTTGCACTTTCAAAATTCAGTTGGACCACCAGGAGCTGGAAGGAAATAGTTTTTTGGGGCTTCTCTTTGAGTTTAAAGTTTAAGTACAGATTTCCCTCAGATTGTCAGGACAGAAACGAGCCAGAAAACGCAAGGCAGCTGAAGCAGCACTTGATGGTGTTGATGAGGATGATCAAGGGAACAACATGGGACATGATGATGATGATGATGATGATGATGGCGGTGACGTTGAGTTGGAGGGTGCTTGGACAAATGCTCATATCCTGGCGACTCGGCAGTTTCATGAATACGACCCAGGGTTTTCTTTGGCCTTTAAACAGGTAAACCCACTGTGCAAGCTTTTAAAAAGTCAAAGAGAGGTATTTGATCAAATTTACACCGTCCACTGTTGAAGTTTGAATCAATGACATTGTTTTGATTCTGATGTACATAGCATCACTTGTTGAATGTAAGATGCATTAGATTTTGATTCCGATGGTGGTAGATCTACTTCTTAGAATAACCAAACAACAATTTGATGTCCCAAGCCAGACTTGAAAAATCAAAGCGTTGCACCTGATTATTTGAGGAACATGGAGAGGCCATTGTCCAATGTCATCCTGCGTCATCCTCGGCGTCAGCTGCAAAATCTCCAGCAGACCACCCACCAGAACCAAGCGCTGATGCTTCAGATTCAAAACGTGGACTGGTAGCCTTTCGGGTTCATGATGGTGACAATGTTTTGTCGCAGGACGCTGAGGGGTATGTGCGCATCGACTCCCGTGCTGCTGAGCTAGGCAAGGTGAAACACATGTTTCTTTTTGTCCCTCTAGTGAACTTCAGTCTGTGTGATGGGTGTCAACTCAGCCAGCTTGAGCTATCAGAATTTTCAACTGCAATTTTCCCTTCACATGTCATTCGGAATGTAGCTGAAACGATTTTTGTTTCTTCAATTCTATCTATCTTTGTTTGGGTTGGGTTTGAAGTTTGGACGACACAAACCTTCAAATTTCAGGGTTGGAACCTACCTCAAGCACGAGGTTATACGTTTTGTTTTGCTACAGGCCGAATGACTGAATTCAAGCAAGACACCTCTGGCCACACTGTTTCGTTCAATTGCCGGCTACATGCAAGCTGTCGCAAGCTGATTCTCATGAAGCGCTTGCCAGATAACTTCCAGGACATAGGGCATGGGCCACTGTAAACGCTGTAAACTGTAAAGCTGTAAGGATGGAATTGAGACAACACATACTGGATCAGTCAACTCAACTCACTTTGATTCCAAACGCTGTTCACTCGTATGAGACGACAGTTTCCAGGCTTCTGCCATGCGGTGGATGGCTGCTGGAATCCAATTCAAGCAGAGAGGAGACAGTTCCAAACACATGGCGTTGTCACTTCCTCAGACAATGGTTTCCAAAAAAATCAGACTAAGTGTCCGGGTCTACAGTGCAACACCGAAATCATCAAACTACTTTTTCCTGATTTCTCAACGCCAACTTTCACTTCAGGTTTGACACAATGGTTATGCGACGGAGCCTGTGAACATACATTTTCCATATGGGAGAAAAAGGCCTGCAAAGGCGTGCGCGCTTTCTTTCTAAAGTCAACACTACCACATGCATGGGGCGCATGGGCTAGTACAAGCTAGTTTCACCCATGTACCGTCTAGCTGCACCCATGTGCCAACTAGTTGTACCCATGTACTGGTTGATTGTACCCATGTACCGGTTGGTTGTACCCATTGTACCCCCTGCACCCCTCCACCGTACCCCTGCACCGTACCAGTTTTCAAAAAAAAACCATAGCAAAAAACCAAAAAAACATAGCAATTTCTATAGAAATTGCTATGTTTTTTTGCTATGTTTTTTTTGAAAACTGGGACGGTGCAATGGTACAATGTATGGGTGCGATGGTACGGTGTAGGGGTGCGGTGGTACAATGCGGAGGTGCAATGGTACAGTGGGTGCGGTGCGGGGGTGCAATGGTGAAACTGTTTGGACGCATTGGTCGGACAATGTATGATTATTGAGAAGTCTTTTGTTTTGAGCCTGTTTAGGTTTGAGTGGGAACGCCCAAAGGAAACAGAGTAGCTTTGTCTTTGTGCCGCAATGGCATCATTGAGTGGAATGAAATCGCAGAAGTCGGGTGATGTTCCGTGTGATCCTCCTTCAGACTGCGAGATTGACATGAAGGTGTACAGGGCAAGAAAATGCAAGTTCTGCCTCCAGTGGTCGACATCGCGATGTCCTTGGCCGGTTGATGATTCAGTTCTTTCTGCATGGAAAGGACTCCTTCCATGGGCCCGAGGAACGCTTCAGAAGCCAGTGGGGGAGCATTGTAAGTTGTGTGTCATTGTCGCTTGGCAAAGTTGCCATAAACAAATTTTCCCTTGAATGGGGGTTTCAAAATCAATGGGGGTTCCAGACCCTGCTTAAAACACTATTTTCGTGACCCTGGTATTTAAAAAAAACCAAGGTCACAAAAAAGGGTTTGGAACTTCCATTAATTTTGCAACCCCCATTCAAAGGAAAAAAATATCATAGTAGTTGTGAACACAATCTCCTTTGAGGTCCTCGGGGTGAAAGGGGTTCTGGGCACGCGCGCTCGAAAATTGTCTCCAAATTGAAGCTCGCCCAGGACCCCATTCACCCCGAGGACCCCTTTCAAGGGAAATCTTGTTGGTGGTGGGATGGGAGTATGGAAAAACTTGCTCGGCCATTTGTTTTCTTTCTCGGTCAGCTGAAAAAAGTCAACTTTTCTGGGAGATCACCCGCTGAGAAAATTTGTTAGCTATTTTTTTCTGGGAGGAAACCTGCTGGGTAGGATTTTTTCCTTTTCACTTTTACTAAGTGTTACTTGTCACTAAATGTTTTCAAAGCAAAATGAAACCTGAGGTTTGGCAGCAGGGCGGCTTTGAGGCAGAGTATGGATCTGAGGCCAAGTTCTTTTCGACGCTCAATACCATGCCCACGGAGCACCATTGCTTCATGGCCATTCGGAACCATGCCATCAAGATGAAGATTGCAGATCCCAACTGCAAATTTCGCCTTGAGACGGTTGGCGGTACCATCAAGGAGGAGGTGCGTACTGAGATGTCCACCACCACAGGTCTGAAGAAACCATCCTCTGCATTTGTGGAGTTGACCGTTTACGAAAAGGATTTTGGGAAAGCCGAGCCCGAGCAGATCATCTATGAGATCATCGATGGCAAGCGCATTGCTGGGTGCAATGTGTTGACCGGCAGGGCTGGATACTATCCCCGGATCAGCAAGGAAGAGAACACAGTCCGGAGATCGGCTTTGCTGACAGATCACAACATTGACCCGACCGGCGAGGCCATCACTCGGATCTTCAACGCTGCAAAGAGGCAGGTGATTCAGCCGACTGCCCCATGCGCCGCCAAGCGACCAAAGTATGCCATGGGTGACAATGGCAGCAGCACTTTCAAAGCCAAGGACCCATGTCGTCAAAAGTCTAGTCTAGTCATGAACTGTTTTAGAAATGTTAAGCGAATGGTTCTGAATCGAATTATTTTCCGGAAGGATGAGCCAGAACATGACCCGGAGCATCGTGGAGAATCTGATGAGCAGAAGAAAGACACGAATGAAGATGATGAAGGATCAGAGGAGGAGGAAGAGATTGTTGGCATGATGGGATTCCTGAGAGGCCGCTTTGGTGGCAGCGTTTCCAAGTCATCGGGTGGGTCTTCATCCGCTGCTGCCAAGGGCAAAGCCAAGGCGAAGTCCTCCGCAGTGGCAACTGGCAGAAACAGAGCTCAACAACCCAAAAAAGTTCCTATTGGTTCCGCTGCAGGCAACAAACGCAAGAGCGAGGATATGAGCAATGCAGGGATTGATTTGAGCTTGTCTGGTTCCAACGCTGGGGAGATGAATGACACCGACAAAGCTTTGCTGTCCGAGTTTGACACCAAACTTCAGGAGTACAAGGAAGTGAAGCCTCCTTTGGATGACGCGGGGTTCAAGCAGTACATGGGCACATGCCTTTCAAACTTCGGCTCGGTTCTCAAGGACTTGAAGGAGAAGAGGAAGAGTGTTGGACGTCGATCCAACAAGGAGGAGGACCCCTTGTACCAAGACCTTGGCCGTCTACTTGAGAAAGTCCCCGAGTACATCACACTGATGAAATGTGTTTCAGCAAGTACTGGCAATGGTCTCGGTTTACTTTACTGTTTAAAGATCCAAGTTTAGTTGCTTACTTCAGTCTGGTCACTTTGGTCATCTTCCGAGGAATAGTCAAATGATGTCCTTATCACTGATGAAATACTTAATCAAGTCTCCAATCAAGATGGCAGTTCCCCCAGGCATCAACGGAGCACCGGTGGCAACAACCACGACATTGCTGGATCAGCTTGACAAGGCAGTGTCGTCTGAAGGCTTTACTTTCAACAGCTGTGTGTACAAGCGCGGGCTGAAAATCATGGTCTTGGAGGATATCAAGCACAGCAGGTGGTGTGCGCTAGCAACAACCACCTGCAGCGAAATCGAGAGGAACTTGAAGCAGTTCAACGATGGCGAGAAAGACAATGACCCGGCAGCTTTCCAGTACATGATGCTCAGCCAGGCAGTCCAGAGATTGATCAAGGGTGCGTCCAGCAAGCTGAAGATGAAGGACCGCGTGTCTACCAGCAAGAAGCAAGACAAGAACATGATGTTTGCACAATACTGCTACTACATGTTCAAACTTGTATATAATCACACACGGTTGACTTCATTAACCTGTCACAGTTAATTTCATGTTTTGAAATTCAAAAGTATTGTGCACGACTAGGAGCCTCTCTACAACGTGGGAAACAAGAAGGAGCTTTCAGCCTTGGATGCACTATTGGAAGAAGTGATCAAGTCTGATGCGGCATCATCTACCATGAAGCACGATGCACAAACCTTCTTTGCCTTGCTCAGAGCTGACACCATGCCAGTTCCAGAGGTGCGCGCAGCGATCGGAGTTCTGGATGAGCTGATGAGGAACAAGCAGTTGAACCATTGGATTTGCTTGGTTAGTTTGTTTTGGTTTTCAACCGCTGAGACTGGTTGTGGGTGGCCCATAGAATCACAAAACACGATTTGGAAGACTGCGCGTGGGATCTTTTCTTTACTGTCATAGCTTCATACCTCTGGATTTTGCAATCTGAAATTTGACATGGATTCAGCAATTCCGGTTCAGCCTGCGCACTCTCAGGGAGTCACCTTTGCATTTGACCGCCGCTGTCCAATCGTGTGGCAATTTCGGTGTGAAATTGGCGGCCGATGCGACCAGCATGGCAGATGTGAGGGAGAAGCACTTGGGTGAACAGGAGGAGCTGAACAAAGCGATGAAGGAGATTCCCAAGGAGTACCAAGACATTACCTCAGAGAACTTTGAGACTCTGCATCTCAATTGTGACTTCAAGATGTCTATTTTTTTATTTTCGCTCAATTTTAGGGTCTAGAGTCTAGAGTCTCGAGTCTAGATTCTAGATCCTAGAAATTCTAGATTCTCGATGTTGCCTTCGTTTTCATTAGGGCGTAATTTTTTCGGAATTCTGTGAGCTGAGGTCGCTGGCCATGCACACGGGTGCTTCCGCAGTGACCACGATTATCAAGGACAAGTTCATGTCGAAGTCCATGGGAAGGGAAGCGCTCTCCGCTTTGAAAGCTGACCTGCAGCAATCGGGAATCTTTATGATGTTGCATTCTTGCGTTCATCAGGCGTGGTAAAGCTCCCAGAGTGTTGGTTGGAAGCTTTGGGATTCTTTTGAGTTTTGACTGGTCCCAGGCTGAAAACAAATTAAATTCCAACGTTTGTGCCAGGTCCTTCCTTGGATGGAAGCATCGGCTACTTCGATTCGGTCTACAAAGGTGTTTTCATCACCGCCGACTGATTCATGGGCTGGCTGGAAGCAGCTTGCTTCTTTGGATCAGTACCAGGTGCTCAACTCGTTCTTGAAGACAGCTTCGAATCTCAGCTCGCTGTGCATTGCAACGAAAGCTGGCTCAAAGTCAAGCGATTGTTTGTCTCCGGCGGTTGCCAAGCTGGATGGGGCAATGAAGAAACTCAAGGACAGATGCTTTTCGAACAGCTCAATGCAACTCACCTTTCAACATGATGACATGATTAGGAGTGCGTGGGAGGATAAGTCATCACAACAATGGCATGTGCTGTGGCTGTAGTAGGATAGTAAGTAAGTAGGTACTTTTCAGTGGCGCTACTCAGAAAAACGTACTGTTCGTTTTCCAAGTTTTGCTTGGCAGGACACACTGTCTTCGATTGTGAGCTTAGAAAAGGTGAAGTGGAACAACTTCGTCGACATCTCGAAGGAGATGACCAGCAGTCTGTCCTGGTTGTGCGAGACCTATTGCCACGCCGGTGTGGAAGATGCCAAGGGCAAGGTTTTGGCAGCTTTGGAGAAACTGATTGAACATGGCAAGGCTGATGACATCAGTGCTGATGCAGAGCAGCTCAAGCTACATGCAGCAGCGCTGCCAGACTCTGATCCTCTCCGGGCGCAATTGCTGGCCAGCGCAGATTCAGCCACTACATTTGTGCAGTCAGGACTGGCTTTGGGTTGGCTTTACCTTTGCAACTTGCAAGTTTCATCGAAGCAAAGCAAATCTCATCAGATCAGTTCATTTCTTTCCCACAGCCTGACTCAGGTACCAACACAACGAAACAAACAACAAACTTACTGCTGATTTTTGATTTTTAAATGTCAGAGAAACCTGTCATCAGAATGTTGACGGAGGCAATTTCCAGAAGGCCTATGCTGAAGTACCAACCTCCGAGAACTTGCTTGCCATTGCCACCATCATCAAGTCAATGCAGAAGGTGATGGAATCTTCGGGGCAAGCCCTTTCATGCCTATTCCCAGAGGGTAAAGACTTTCCTTCTGAAGCCATTGAGTCCAAGGGAAACGAGATTGTGTCACAAATCGAGTCGCAGTTGGAACGATGGGGGAAGACGCAGGATACTTGGTAGTTGAAAGTTGAAAGTATGTGTTTGTGTCATTTTCAAGCAGTGCTCTGCATGATACTATAAGAGAGGAGAATCAAGACTCAAGACCCACGACTCAAGACATAACTCTCCCATCTACAGTATCTATTTGTTGTATTATATTTGGCTACTTTATCAATGTCTAAGCCTATCTGTTTGTTGATTTGTTTACCCGCCTACTAACCTACCTATCTATCCGCGCGTCTTTCTATCTATCTGTCTATTTGTCTGTCTATCTAAAATAATCTATAACAAAATTTCCTTTGAAAGGGGTTCTCAGCTGAAAGGGATCCTGGTCCCCAAAATGCTCATATTTCAGCGCGTGCGATCTAGCGACCTACTTTCCTATCTATCTATCTATCTTTCTTTCTTTCTTTCTTTCTTTCTGTCCATCGCTTGTTGTTCTATCTATCTATCTATCTATCTGCCTGCCTGCCTGCCTGCCTGCCTGCCTATCTGTCTTATTCTTTCTACCCACCTTTTCATCCTTTTCATTCCACCTATTCCATCTATATTCCTATTCCACCTATCCATCCGTCCATCTATCCGTCTGTCCAAATGTCCATCTGTCGATCGGTCCATTGATTCATGTCGCCACCAGACCAAGACGGAAAACTTCCGACTTCTATCCATGCGTCGATCGATCGATCCATCTCTATTGTGTTTGTTTGCCTGTCTGTCTGCCCTTCTGTCTGTTTGTTTGTCTTTCTAGAGTCTAGAGTCTAGATTACAGATAGGTAGATAGAGAGATAGATAGACAGACAAACAGATATATGATTTTTGATATATAGGATTGTTATTGTTGCATTGTGTGGACCTATGTGATTGAAATCCTTGTGTTATTGACATCATTTCCCCTTCCCTCCGGAATTACAGATGATACTTGCTCAAGCTGAAAGCTAGCCAGGAAAGCATCTTGGCCGAATGCGTGGCGACGTTTGACGCGATGAAATTGCCAGACCCTTCCACAATCAGTTTCCCAGAGGACAACACGACAAAGTGCTCTCCACCGATTGACGCGTTCCCTGACCTCAAAGCGCTTGATTCAAAGTCCATGGCGAATTTGACGAAGACAATGCAAGATTGTTTTGAGTCAGCAGACGCGGCTTGGTGGAAGAACAACGGTCACTAAAACCCGCTCTGGGGCTTATGTGTTTCTTGAGTGTTTGGTGGGAGCGAGGGAGACCTTAGATGAAAGATCCCAAATCCAACATGTGATAAGACCCTTGGATGAACTTTTTACTTGCCAAGGAAATCGCAAAGCAGTTGGACTTGAAGCAGTACATTCCGATCCTTGACACTGCAACCTGGCCTTAGAATGGTCGGTTTGGTCCAACAACGCGATTCACCACTTACCCGTCAAGATTCCAGATACTTACAGATTCTATGATCAAGGTTCAGATCAGATTCAGATATGATATTGTATATATATATATATAGAAATAACCAAACATATAAGAAGATGATTACGCTCACAATTCCCAAGTCCTTCTTTTCGGATCAAGATGCCAAGATAATGAAGCGAACAGAAACGAGCAAGGGCGGTTGGTGTTTGAGAATGTCATCTATCTAGATTTTAGAATATAGAATTAGGGATCTAGAATCAATGTTCAGCTTTGGTTGTAGTTTTTCATCTAATGTTGTTGCACAATGTACAATGTACAATGTACGCTACAGTTTTACAGCAGTGAAGGTTCTTCTTTACTCTTTACTTCATCCAGCAGGGTAGAAAAAGAACAAACAGATTGATTCATGTCCTGTGGGTGGACCGCTTCCGGTTCCTTTCCAAGGCCCGTGTGACCTACAACAAGGCATGTTCGATTTTGGCCATCATTGCCCTGATCCGCCTCATGAGCTCTAAGAGGTTCGAGAAAGCCATCAAGTCCAATGAAGCAGTGCCGGCGATCATTATCGAGAACATCAACGTGACCATGACATCTTGCAAGGAGCACAACTTGACAGTGCCTGGTGCTCTCCAAGCGCTCGCCTTGTTGCATGCGCCGCCCCAGAAGCCGACCAAATAGGGTCTGCAAGTGTAGGTGTATGTGACAGGCTTAGCCGCAGCGAAAGTTGTCTGTTAGATTCTGTTGCTTATGTGGCTATATGTAGGCTCTCTAGACTCTAGACTCGACTTAGACTCCTTAGGCTTGAAAGACTCTGACTTTTCGTTTTGGACATTCAAAGTCAAAGTCTCCATTGTCCATTGCTTCTTGTGAATTGCTGCGACGGAGGTCTTAGATTACACGGGCTCAAAAGCCCAGACGTCAAACCTTTAGCTCTTGCTACTTGTGAGTTTAGCTTTGGATCCGGACAGAGAAGTGGGAAGGTGAGGCTTGAATAAAGTTCACCGTGTCTGAGTCATGAGGGTAGCTAAATAGGTAGCTGTCGACTTCAGGCAAAAGCGGGTTCAAAACAAATTGTGCACAGTGCTGCGCTCCACCGTTTGAAGACAGGGCAATGGTCAACAACCACAAGTCAAGACAAAACACAGGCCTGGAGACTCAAAAGTCTTTGCTTTTGATTTGAAATTAACGGGCGAAAACTGACAACAATCTGGCTCAAATCGAAGTCATTTTCATGTGGGCTCCCAAAAGCAGGCAGTTTGTGCTTCTTTTGTATTTAGCTTTATAGACTGACTAGACGACTTTAAACTTTAAATCGGTTGTTTTGGTTTGTGGAGCCGCTCGTCTAGTTAAGTTAAGCCAAATGGCACCAAAGCAAAACGCAAAGCCGGGTGCTGCACCAAAGGCGCCTTGTCCGAGAGGAGCACGGGCTAAGGCTGAAGGTCCGGCAAATCCTGCACGGACCGAACGAGTCAAGAAAGTAGACAATGACAAGATCATAGAATTGAGCGCGGACGAGAAGGAGAAATACAAGAATCAATGGAGCAAGTTTTTAGGCACAAAAAAGGAGGACAGGGTGACTTGCCTTCAGGATTCCTAGGTCTCAAGTCTCAATCAAGACTCTTGATTTGACTCAAGGTTTTTTTTCACGCTACAGATATTCAATCCGATCCCAAGACACAAGTTTTGAATGTGTGTGTCATCTAGCCCACAACAGTGCTGCTTGAACTTCGAGTCAGAGTTAGAATATAAAACAAAAGTGCAGGAAACAACGGAGCCTCAAGCTTCTTCTTCTGATGCTGCCACTTCGACGTCCAGCACTTCGGCTACTCCAAAAAAATTGGGTTCAGGCCAGGGCGGCCCTTCTCAGGCATCGATAGAGGTGCAGGACAGACTGGCGATGTACTTTTTGAGTTTGAATGAGTTACTATCACGGCTCTGTATGACTTTGACATACATGCAAAAAAAAACTTGAGCCACCCGAAAACGGAAAACACCTCGCCTGTCTTGAAGGATTCGGAATCTGGCTCAGTGCATTCTGTGGGCTCCGACTCTGTGAAGGCAAAGGTGGAAATTGCAGCGAAAAAACAACCCGCTTTTCCGGATGTTAGTCACACTGAAGCAGCCAGCAGAGGAGAGAAGAAGATTGAGAATGAGAAGATGGAAATTGCTGAAATTCCTGGCGAGGAGGCTTCAATCGAAGAAGCAATGTCCCACATGATAGCCAAGTATGAGGCAGACCATCAATGCGAAGTGATCTCCGAATCAGACATCGCAGCGCGCATCAAATCCATCAAAGAGCATCCCACGTTTTTGGCTTTCATGACCGAGCATGAAACCGATTTAGACTTTGGATCTGGACCTCAGACATCTGAAGGGAGCACAGCCACAAAACCGTTTGACATGCCTGAGAATTTTGAGAATGACTTTGCAGTTTGGCAAGAGTGGTTGAAGAAACATGAGGAGATTACCTCCGCGTTGGATCGCCGGATTGGCGAGATCAAGAAGCACCCGCTCTTCGATCAATTCATCCGTGAGACTTGGCCGTCTGACGCCGACCCAGACTGTGTTTTTGGCGGTGATCCAGAAGAAGATGTCCCCGCTTTCGAGTCTTGGCTACAGGCACAGGAAAATACAGAAGATGCTGAAACTGCTGAAACCCAAGAGGTTGGAGAACAGCAGCAACACCGTTTTCCGCAACCGCCTACTTCTGACCATCCAGACATCAATCGGATCTTGGAGAGTGCTGCTGAGGCAAGTAGTTGACAGGAAAATTGACAGTAACAAATTTGAACCACAGTCGAAAGTCTCAAGGCTCCTTGCAACATGTTTCAAGTTTCTAGCTTCGACCGGATTGTTTCAATTAGTCGGTCTTGGGTTGCCGGGGTGCCCTCCAGCCCCTTGCAGATTATGATGGGCCGAATTTCCAAGCAGCTGCAGCATGTCCATGACCGGCTGCGGTCTTTGCCAGATGAATTGACGTGCGGTGACTTTTTTTCGGGTGCTGGCACCTTTGCAAAAGTGGTCGACGTTGCCTTCCATGCTTTCCAGCAGGCTTTTCCCGACGCGATGTCCGGCAAAACAGTTGCTTGGTGTATGTTCAAGCTCTGCGCGATTCTGCGCGGCTATATATGCGCTTTGTAATCATCTATGCCTTTGAGTTTGAATGTTCAGCAGGTCCAGCTCCAACATGATTTTGCCACACTGATAGCTGAGTCTGGAAGTTCCGAAATTCCAGAAACGTCTGAGGTGAATCACAAATTCATGTGTGAAAAGGAGCACTTCAAACAGCAATTTCTCCTGACCATGTTTGACGGTCCTGACTATGCGGACACATGTCTCTTCACTGATGCAACGACTTGCTTTTCCGCGCCGCAGTGTGCACGGCATCCTTCACGAAGCTGCGTACCTTGCTTGGTACTTGCCGTTGGCAGTTCTCAGCTGCTGTAACTTTCGGAAGTATGTTTTTCCAACTAAGTTGAAAAGATTTCGAGGTTCTTGAAACTCGATGCCCAGGTAATGCCTCAAGGTCCTGCGGATGGACTGCTCAAACTGCTCCTGTTCAATGCCGGGTTTAGCTGCAAAAGCTTCTCCAAGTTACACAAGGACTACAAGAACCTCTTGCAGGCTATCTATGAGGGGAATGAGGACCGACATTCACATGACAAGAAAACAACTCAGTTTCAACTTTCAATATCAGCTGACAATACGTTCTGTAATGTAGATATATGATATGCCAGGTGCTTCATGGCGTGCAAAGTTTGTAAAGACTTATGTTTTAACTTAAAAAACGAAACTTTAAACTTTAAACGCTGCACTAGTTGCCAAAGCAGCTGGAGGAGTCTTCGAGTAATGTCACCTTCAGGGCATCACTTGAAGTGCTGAAAAAGATTTTCGTCACTTGCTTTATTCTCGAAAATCTAGACCTACAAGATGATGAAGAAGATGGGAGAGGCAACTTTGAGAATATTATCAAGCTCCTGGAGGGAGCCGGCTCAGCAGGCTTTTGGGTAAGGGCCTTCCTCATCAAGTCGGTTGACTACGGCACTCCGCAGAGACGGAGACGGCTGTTCTTTGTGGGGCTCAACAAAGCCACACAGTCGGAAGGGTCCCTGGACAAGATTGAGCAGCTACTCAAAGGCTTGCAACTTTCTTGCCAGCCACCAGAGTCTTGTCGCAGAGTTTGTAAAGTTGGATGTAAATTAGAATGTAGATTAGGTTCGATTGTAGACAGGGTTTGGAGATTCTAGACGCAACTTTTTAGTTCAGAGATGAGATGTAGATTCCAGAGAATTTTAGATCAGATTTTAGATTAGACTTCTTGAATAGCGTTTTGCATAGCTACTTTGCCAGAGTCCAGCATCATCCTAGGAAGATTTCATGCTTCCTGCGTCGCACCCAGCAGTTCTGACGGAGTTGGAACGCAAACAAGACAGTAACCATCAGGAACAACAAGGCCGTGGCAAAGAGAAAGACAAAGACAACGCAGACGTTGAGAAAGACTCCGTCATGATTGCAAAGTGGAAGTCGACACACATGGAACTGGCTGAGAAACGTATCTCAGCTGATGAAGCTGAAACGTGGCGAAACAACACTCGCGATACAGCGCATGCCCATTGCACATCAAGCATCCCACAACACTTGAAATTCCATCCATTTGATTCTGTACCAGTCTGTTTTACAATATTTACATGCTTGAATCTGAATTCTGCAAGTAGTAAATATATTATATATGCATGTAAATATGTCAGTATTCAGTATCAATAAGGTAAATTAGTGTACACACTTTAACTTTCAAACTCTTTTATTATTCAAAAACGTTACTCTCGCCAGACCGAAACAGCATGCCAGTGAAGCACGGATCGGCTCCGCGGCCAGCAGCCGGTATCTCTGGTCCCCTCTTCTCTGACGCGCCCCCCTGCTATCGGAACTATTCTTAATATCATTCACTTCAAAAACGCTACCCTTGCCAGACCGAAACAGCATGCCAGTGAAGCTTGGATCGGCTCCGCGGCCAGCAGCCGGTATCTCTGGTCCCCTCTTCTCTGACGCGCCCCCCGGCTATCGGAACCACTCTTATTATCATTCACTTCAAAAACGCTACCGTTGCCAGACCGAAACAGCATGCCAGTGAAGCATGGATCGGCCCCGCGGCCAGCAGCCAGTATCTCTGGTCCCCTCTTCTCTGACGCGCTCCCCTGCTATCAGCAGGGGTCGGCGGATCACCACTATTATTATTCTTTTACGTTGTGCTTGGGCAGGTGGGTGCAGATGTACAACTGAGAACATTCTCCTTCTGGCCAGCGGAGTCTAGAGTAGCCCGTGTGTGCGTTGCACGCACTTGATATAGTTGTAACTATAATATCAGCATATAATCATCTTTAAACGTTTAGATAATATTGTATATTGTAGATATTGCATTTTTTAAAATATTATTATTATCATATTATACTCTGACTCTATATTATATATTTTTGCGGTGGCAAAAATCATGGGACGTATTGATATCACATATTCGAGTCTATCACACATCAAGTTATCCCGGGGTGAATGAAAGGACGTTGGAACCTCAGGCCAAATCGCATGGCCGTTGGCTGTGCCGGATGATTTGCAGCAATGTGAATGGTTTCAATCCTTGTCTTTCCGAGAGAGGGAGGATTCTCGGTCATAGCGGCGTCTACCTTTTGTCTTTCAACTCACTTTGACCGAACCTTTCCAACTTTTAACATTGACTTTCTTCGGGAAGGACCTTTGAATTTTCATCTTGCATCCAAGAACGTCTTATTCCTGCTGAATGAACGCGACTCTCTTCGCAAAGCTGGGAAACGTGAAGTGCGCTTTGGTGATGTCTACCAATCAGCTCACAGAGTCCCTAAGAGCAGTGAGGAAGTTTCTGGGTTTGATTGAGCTTGGGGTTTCTTGTCGATTGGGAAACTTGAGGAAGTATGCAAATTCCAAAAGCTAGTCCTAGCACGAACGCGAACCCATTCAAATCAAATCAGTCCCATGGCCCCATAGGCCCCGTATGAAAACCAAGTGTTGTGCTGCATTCCATGTCCATCACTCAAAGGAAATCACGTCCCTGCCGTCTTCGAAACTTTGGGATCTCAAAGCCGAAAGGCTGCTGATTGGATGCTGTGTTTGGATTACTTGTTTTTACTTCTTTAAAGGTTGCATCAGAGTTGATTCCCTTTTGAAAATTCCAGCTGACGATTTCGGAAAACCAAAGCTTGATCAGGATCAGAAATGCTTCACCTCCAAGCCATTCAATTTCCAGAGGCGAAGCTGCGGAATTTCAGTAGCCCGAAACTGATCAACTTGGCAGGGAATGCGTAGCCAGCTGCATGTCAACAAACTTTGCATTGTTGTGTTGCGCGTGTTTTTGTTTTGAGTTGCTTCCGTCAGTACGGGCATCTATTCCGGCTGGGTGTGGTGTATCCAAGGTATACAGCCACTGTAATGTTGGCACTTGTGTTATCGACGTTGATGCACCTGGAATCACCAACCCCTTCTGAACAAGAAGATGAGGACGACGTCGGCATGTTGGTTCAGGCAGTTGCCAAGCGCCAAAGGCTCTTGTGAAATTGTGAATTTATGCCGGACCATTTTGGACATCAGGCCTTCTAGAGGCTTTCATGTCATGGTGGCATAGAATTTATGCTGGTCCATTTTGGACCCTTGGCCTTCTAGAGGCTTTTGTGGCATAGTGCAGGGCAGCGACAGACACAGACACAGCCAAACAGCAAAGACCAGAGTGAAAAATGCATCCAGCGATGTTGAAATGGATCAGCTTTTGACTTTGCGCAGGAAATCTTGCACATGGGTCGCCATAGGGCATCAGCTATGTTGTTTCTCTGTGCAGTTGAATATGACCGACCTGTTTCGGCCAATTGCACTGGTTTATGTTTCTATCCTTGTGCCACTGTGCTTCTTTCTTTGCACCTATTGTACCCTTTGCACCCGTATTCTTGCACCATCGCGCTTGTTTCTCTGCACCTATTGCACCTCTTGCACCTGCAAACTTGCACCGCTGTCCTGCCTTCATTGCACCACCGCACCTCTTGTTCGTACCCCCCGTCCCTTTGACTCGCACCAATTGCACCACCGCACCTCTTGTTCGTACCCCCCGTCCCTGTCACTCGTACCACTTGAACATTGACCATCGTACCCACTCCAGAGTATCCCTCAGAGCAGTGCTTATGAAAATAGTTAAATATACACACATACCCTTGCTGGTCAAAAACGCATATTTTCAATTGAATGACACGTCCCTATTCTCATACTTACTCATTTGATGGGTGTGGTATGGTTCAAGCCTTCAAGGCCTAGGGAGATGTGAGTAATCTGCTGTATGAATTCAGCTTTTGGGGGGACTGGACCTGTATTAAAGCACGAGGATGGGAGTTTAGTAGCAAGAACCATGGGATTCAATTCAGAGTGTATCGGGATGTTGACCAACAATCATTTTTGCATCCCGCACCGGCAACTGCAACACCCTTTTGCTGCCAATCTGTCAAACTATCTTGGAGAAACACGGGTACCGAAACAGACAGTTGCCAGCAGTTGGTCTTTTAACCGACGGGCACGCAGTTCTTGAAAAAAACAGTAGGTCAATGATGATGAATGGTTTCCCGAAGGGCACCCTTTTTGGGACATCGTTGCCTCTGACCTTACACAGCTTGCCTGTTTGGTCGGTTCGTCAGAATTCAGATGCTTTCCCACGGGGAAGGATGGTTCTATCACTGCACTAGTAAGGGGTCATGAGTCGTGAGCCCTTCAAGTACGAAAAAAATGCCCGCGAGGCAGCAACCCCACCAGTGCCATGTCCATCCTGGGAACGTCCTTCAACATGGAGCTGGCGGGCAGAAATGCTGGAAGCATGTTTGGGCCTGGGATCTACATGGCCGAGTCGTCCCTGGGCGCTATGAAAGCAGTGTCACTAAACCTGGGGGGTTGGAGCTTTGGACCTGGGGTTCTGTGCATCCAGCCACGAGTTTTCTTGGAGACATTCCGTTGACCTTTTCAAGAGACAGCCACAGCGCGATTTTTTTTTGCCAAGTTTCAAATCTTGAGAAGAAAGCGTGTTGATGAACGGGTCAAACCCATGTTGCTGCCCCTCTTAGACACATACTGTAGTGACATGGGGCTATTCAAAAGCTCTTGTAGCATATTTGGGGCGGTGAACATCCATAAATCCCATTGTGGATTCACCAGGTGATTTCTTGCCCACATTTCGGGTCAGCCCTCGCGTGGAGGTCTGTTAAAGCAGATGAATACGCCAGAGACGATACCAGTGGGTCCTACGCAGGCGGAATGTCATGGTGCAGTAACTAATGGGGTACCTTCCGTCAAACATGGTGTGCTGGAAAATCACCCATGTATGATTCCCGGAGGGTAGTTTTTTATTGCCCATTTCTTTATACTAAAGCATATTTATAGATTTTTCCTATTAAAAAAAAACCCTACTGATCTAGACCCTACTGATCTAGGGCTGGTCTTTGACATCCTGAATGTTTGGGCAATTTCATTTTTTGGATTAAACACATATAATGTCAACCCTGGATTAATAAACCCCAAACGGCTGTTGAATTGGGAGGGTACCATAAAAAAGTATCAGATGAAAAGACTATTGGAGGAGTACCTCCCCAATTAATAAACCATGGTAGCAATTCCTGTATGCCTTTCAATGTCCCACATTTCCACCCATTTCTTATTGCCATCCTCGCGTGGCCAGGCCTCTTCGCGGTACTCTTCTGCCGCACCCTGGTGGGTCGTGCGCTGCAAGTAACGGATCCAGTACCTTGACGTTGCGGGAGAATCCACCGTTTTTCAAGGGGAGAAAATGGTGGAAGATTTGGGAAACATTGGGAACATCTCAGAGTTTTTGTTGGGAAACCTGGTGGAAATTCATTCTCTTGTTTTTTTTTTAGAGTTTTTAATGGGAAACCTGGTGGAAATTCATTCTCTTGTTTGTTTTGTAGATTTTTTGTTGGGAAAACTGGTGGCAGTTCATGCTCTTGTTTTTTGTTTCAGAGTTTTTGTTGGGAAAACTGGTGGAAATTCATTCTCTTGTTTGTTTTTTTTCAGAGTTATTGTTGGGAAAACTGGTGGAAATTCATTCTCTTGTTTGTTTTGTAGATTTTTTGTTGGGAAAACTGGTGGAAATTCATTCTCTTGTTTTTTGTTTCAGAGTTTTTGTTGGGAAAACTGGTGGAAATTCATTCTCTTGTTTGTTTTGTAGATTTTTTGTTGGGAAAACTGGTGGCAGTTCATGCTCTTGTTTTTTGTTTCAGAGTTTTTGTTGGGAAAACTGGTGGAAATTCATTCTCTTGTTTTCTTTTGTAGATTTTTTGTTGGGAAAACTGGTGGAAATTCATTCTCTTGTTTTTTTTGTAGATTTTTTGTTGGGAAAACTGGTGGAAATTCATTCTCTTGTTTTTTTTGTTGAGTTTTTGTTGGGAAAACTGGTGGACATTCATTCTCTTGTTTTCTTTTGTAGATTTTTTGTTGGGAAAACTGGTGGCCGTTCATGCTCTTGCTTTTTGTTTCAGAGTTTTTGTTGGGAAAACTGGTGGAAATTCATTCTCTTGTTTTCTTTGTAGATTTTTTGTTGGGAAAACTGGTGGAAATTCATTCTCTTGGTTTTTTTTGTAGATTTTTTGTTGGGAAAACTGGTGGAAATTCATTCTCTTGATTCTCTTGTTTTGGTTTCAGAGTTTTTGTTGGGAAAACTGGTGGAAATTCATTCTCTTGTTTTCTTTTGTAGATTTTTTGTTGGGAAAACTGGTGGAAATTCATTCTCTTGTTTTTTTCAGAGTTTTTGTTGGGAAAACTGGTGGAAATTTATTCTCTTGTTTTTTTTGTAGATTTTTTGTTGGGAAAACTGGTGGAAATTCATTCTCTTGTTTTTTTTTTCAGATTGTTTGTTGGGAAAACTGGTGGAAATTCATTCTCTTGTTTTTTTTGTAGATTTTTTGTTGGGAAAACTGGTGGAAATTAATTCTCTTTTTTTTGTAGATTTTTTGTTGGGAAAAACTGGTGGAAATTCATACTCTTGTTTTTTTTTGTAGATTTTTTGTTGGGAAAATTGGTGGAAATTCATTCTCTTGTTTTTTTTGTAGATTTTTTGTTGGGAAAACTGGTAGAAATTCATTCTCTTGTTTTTTTTTGTAGATTTTCTGTTGGGAAAACTGGTGGAAATTCATTCTCTTGTTTTTTTTTGTAGATTTTTTGTTGGGAAAACTGCTGGAAATTCATTCTCTTGTTTTTTTTTTGTAGATTTTTTGTTGGGAATACTGGTGGAAATTCATTCTCTTGTTTTTTTTGTAGATTTTTTGTTGGGAAAACTGGTGGAAATTCATTCTCTTTTGTTTTTGGTAGATTTTTTGTTGGGAAAACTGGTGGAAATTCATTCTCTTGTTTTTTTTTTGTAGATTTTTTGTTGGGAAAACTGGTGGAAATTAATTCTCTTTTTTTTGTAGATTTTTTGTTGGGAAAATTGGTGGAAATTCATTCTCTTGTTTTTTTTTTGTAGATTTTTTGTTGGGAAAACTGGTGGCAGTTCATGCTCTTGTTTTGTTTTTAAGATTTTTTGTTGGGAAAACTGGTGGAAATTCATTCTCTTGTTTTTTTTTTCATATTTTTTGTTGGGAAAACTGGCGGAAATTCATTCTCTTGTTTTTTTGGAGATTTTCTGTTGGGACACCTGGTGGAAATTCATTCTCTTGTTTTTTTTTGTAGATTTTTTGTTGGGAAAACTGGTGGAAATTCATTCTCTTGTTTTTTTTTTCAGATTTTTTGTTGGGAAAACTGGTGGAAATTCATTCTCTTGTTTTTTTTTGTAGATTTTTTGTTGGGAAAACTGGTGGAAATTAATTCTCTTGTTTTTTTTGTAGTTTTTTTGTTGGGAAAACTGGTGGAAATTCATTCTCTTGTTTTTTTTGTAGTTTTTTTGTTGGGAAAACTGGTGGAAATTCATTCTCTTGTTTTTTTTGTAGATTTTTTGTTGGGAAAACTGGTGGAAATTCATTCTCTTGTTTTTTTTTGTAGATTTTTTGTTGGGAAAACTGGTGGAAATTCATTCTCTTGTTTTTTTTGTAGATTTTTTGTTGGGAAAACTGGTGGAAATTCATTCTCTTCTTTTTTTTTGTAGATTTTCTGTTGGGAAAACTGGTGGAACTTCATTCTCTTGTTGTTTTTTTGTAGATTTTCTGTTGGGAAAACTGGTGGAAATTCATTCTCTTGTTGTTTTTGTAGATTTTTTGTTGGGAAAACTGGTGGAAATTCATTCTCTTGTTGTTTTTTTTTGTAGATTTTCTGTTGGGAAAAAACTGGTGGAAATTCATTCTCTTGTTTTTTTTGTAGATTTTTTGTTGGGAAAACTGGTGGAAATTCATTCTCTTGTTTTGTTTTCAGAGTTTTTGTTGGGAATACTGGTGGAAATTCATTCTCTTGTTTTTTTTTTGTAGATTTTTTGTTGGGAAAACTGGTGGAAATTCATTCTCTTGTTTTTTTTTCAGATTTTTTGTTGGGAAAACTGGTGGAAATTCATTCTCTTGTTTTTTTTGTAGATTTTTTGTTGGGAAAACTGGTGGCCGTTCATGCTCTTGTTTTGTTTTTAAGATTTTTTGTTGGGAAAACTGGTGGAAATTCATTCTCTTGTTTTTTTTTGTAGATTTTTTGTTGGGAAAACTGGTGGAAATTCATTCTCTTGTTTTTTTTGTAGATTTTTTGTTGGGAAAACTGGTGGAAATTCATTCTCTTGTTTTTTTTGTAGATTTTCTGTTGGGAAAACTGGTGGAAATTCATTCTCTTGTTTTTTTTGTAGATTTTTTGTTGGGAAAACTGGTGGAAATTCATTCTCTTGTTTTTTTTTGTAGATTTTTTGTTGGGAAAACTGGTGGAAATTCATTCTCTTGTTTTTTTTGTAGATTTTTTGTTGGGAAAACTGGTGGAAATTCATTCTCTTTTGTTTTTGGTAGATTTTTTGTTGGGAAAACTGGTGGAAATTCATTCTCTTGTTTTTTTTTTGTAGATTTTTTGTTGGGAAAACTGGTGGAAATTAATTCTCTTTTTTTTGTAGATTTTTTGTTGGGAAAATTGGTGGAAATTCATTCTCTTGTTTTTTTTTTGTAGATTTTTTGTTGGGAAAACTGGTGGCAGTTCATGCTCTTGTTTTGTTTTTAAGATTTTTTGTTGGGAAAACTGGTGGAAATTCATTCTCTTGTTTTTTTTTTCATATTTTTTGTTGGGAAAACTGGCGGAAATTCATTCTCTTGTTTTTTTGGAGATTTTCTGTTGGGACACCTGGTGGAAATTCATTCTCTTGTTTTTTTTTGTAGATTTTTTGTTGGGAAAACTGGTGGAAATTCATTCTCTTGTTTTTTTTTTCAGATTTTTTGTTGGGAAAACTGGTGGAAATTCATTCTCTTGTTTTTTTTTGTAGATTTTTTGTTGGGAAAACTGGTGGAAATTAATTCTCTTGTTTTTTTTGTAGTTTTTTTGTTGGGAAAACTGGTGGAAATTCATTCTCTTGTTTTTTTTGTAGTTTTTTTGTTGGGAAAACTGGTGGAAATTCATTCTCTTGTTTTTTTTGTAGATTTTTTGTTGGGAAAACTGGTGGAAATTCATTCTCTTGTTTTTTTTTGTAGATTTTTTGTTGGGAAAACTGGTGGAAATTCATTCTCTTGTTTTTTTTGTAGATTTTTTGTTGGGAAAACTGGTGGAAATTCATTCTCTTCTTTTTTTTTGTAGATTTTCTGTTGGGAAAACTGGTGGAACTTCATTCTCTTGTTGTTTTTTTGTAGATTTTCTGTTGGGAAAACTGGTGGAAATTCATTCTCTTGTTGTTTTTGTAGATTTTTTGTTGGGAAAACTGGTGGAAATTCATTCTCTTGTTGTTTTTTTTTGTAGATTTTCTGTTGGGAAAACTGGTGGAAATTCATTCTCTTGTTTTTTTTGTAGATTTTTTGTTGGGAAAACTGGTGGAAATTCATTCTCTTGTTTTGTTTTCAGAGTTTTTGTTGGGAATACTGGTGGAAATTCATTCTCTTGTTTTTTTTTTGTAGATTTTTTGTTGGGAAAACTGGTGGAAATTCATTGTCTTGTTTTTTTTTCAGATTTTTTGTTGGGAAAACTGGTGGAAATTCATTCTCTTGTTTTTTTTGTAGATTTTTTGTTGGGAAAACTGGTGGCCGTTCATGCTCTTGTTTTGTTTTTAAGATTTTTTGTTGGGAAAACTGGTGGAAATTCATTCTCTTGTTTTTTTTTCAGATTTTTTGTTGGGAAAACTGGCGGAAATTCATTCTCTTGTTTTTTTTGTAGATTTTCTGTTGGGACACCTGGTGGAAATTCATTCTCTTGTTTTTTTTTGTAGATTTTTTGTTGGGAAAAGTGGTGGAATTTTTCCCTTGTTCCCCACCTGCCAGGTGAGGGTTGTTAGATTTTATGTCAGTTGCCTGGTCCTCCTCGTCCTCCTCCTTCTCCTCCTCCTCCTCCTGCTCAACTGCGACCCTCGACCACAGTGGTCTCGTCGGACCTCAACCACGACCATCCACGCCCAGTGTTCCCTGCCGGACCTCAACCACGACCATCCACGCCCAGTGTTCCCTGCCGGACCTCAACCACGACCATCCACGCCCAGTGTTCCCTGCCGGACCTCAACCACGACCATCCACGCCCAGTGTTCCCTGCCGGACCTCAACCACGACCATCCACGCCCAGTGTTCCCTGCTGGACCTCAACCACGACCATCCGCGCCCAGTGTTCCCTGCCGGACCTCAACCGCGAGTATCCACGCCAAGTGTTCCCTGCCGGACCTCATGTAGGAAGATAAAATGTCAGATAGAGTGCCAGAAGATTTGCCAGGTAGAATGCCAGAAAATATGCCAGAAGATATGCCAGATAGATATGCCAGAAGATATTCCAGAAGATATGCCAGATAGAATGCCAGATAGAATGCCAGAATGCCATATGTCGGAATATATGCCAGAAGATATGCCAGATAGAATGCCAGGAGATATGTCAGATAGAATGCCAGAAGATATGCCAGATAGAATGCCAGAAGATTTGCCAGATAGAATGCCAGAAGATATGCCAGAAGATATGCCAGATAGAATGCCAAATAGAATGTCAGAAGATATGTCAGATAGAATGCCAGAAGATGTGCCAGTAAGAACATGTATAAATGTCATGGTGGGGATCACACGAAGTAAAGTAATTTTTTTTGTAGATTTTATGTTGGGAAAACTGGTGGAAATTCATTCTTTTGTTTTTTTGTTTTTGTTGGGAAAACTGGTGGAAACTCATTCGCTTGTTTTTCGAGATTTTTTGTTGGGAAAAGTGGTGGAAATTCATTCTCTTGTTTTCTTTTGTAGATTTTTTGTTGGGAAAACTGGTGGAAATTCATTCTCTTGTTTTGTTTTCAGAGTTTTTGTTGGGAAAACTGGTGGACATTCCCAATTTTTGTGCGGAACATATGATTTCTTTGGAGAAATGCGAGAAGACATCCTGATTTTCGGATGACACCATCCATAAACGGATATGTCCTGTGGAGATTTTCTATCGCAGTGTTTGGTTTTCGGATGTTTGGTCAACAATACGCGGTCGGTTTGTTGCGATCCAACAAGATGATGAAATCGATGGGTTTTGCGCCACTTCCGATTCCAGGATTTCCAGGGATGCACATGCACAAGGAGCTGTCGTCGATTTCCAACCATCTCTGTTGGGGTTTGCATGGGGCTTGTTATTAACCCTAATTTGTCACAAGATTTCTTCATATGACTGTCCGAGAGTCAGAGACGTCTATTCTGCCGGGAACCCAATGCTCAGGGTATCCTGGGACGTACCAAAGTTGTAGCAAAATTGGGAAGCCCTAAGCCCCAATTCTGCTGCTTCGGAACCAACATTTTCTGGTTGAATCACACATTCTGCTGCTTGAGTCTCAACCTGCTTAATTATATACAGTACCCTTTTTTCGTAAAAAACACATTTTCGTTAGACAAAATTTGATTTTCTTTGCAATTATCCACCATTGTTTCCCTACCGAACCCAATTTTTTCCATGGTAAAACCCAGCATTTCCATGGTAAAACCCAGCAATTTGTTCCTTTTACTTAAGCATGATCCCAGCTCCAGCCACGCCCAGGCAGACTATGGTCCGTTGGTCACTGCGGGCGACTTCCACTCGGTGGTGGGGGACCGCGAGAAGGCGGTGGGGACGTGGCTTGGCAGATCTGGTAGGGACGGTAGGGACTTTTGATCCTTGGATGAATGGGGGTTGACCCATGAGATCATGATGATCATGATGGTTTTTCGCCATGAAATCCATGAAATCCGGAAGTTCGATCATGAAACATGATGGTTTTTTATAGTTTGACAAGCTGCTGGTTTCATTGGGTGCTTTGAGTCGACAGATCCTGTGAGTTGGATGGAGAGGCTCCGGTCGTTGGTGTATAGTGACTGGGTGGTGGTTTTGGACATGTTTGGACATGTTTGGAACATGTGTTGCATCTATAGCTGGGTTAGAATATAGGTTTGTGTGAAAATAGATACACCCGATTCCTACAGATTAATTAGCTGGTTGGTGGTCTGGAACATGGCTTTTATGACTTTCCCATCATATTGGGAATGTCATCATCCCAACTGACGGACTCATATTTTTCAGAGGGGTAGGTATACCACCAACCAGGTGAGGTTCTTGACACATTTTTGCTTTTGAACTGAGTCAACCGCTTTGTCTTTGAACACAAATTCATTTCCTCACGCTGTTTGGGACCCTTTGCAGGAAAAAACATATTTACACTCATATATGTGGGATGAGAATTCTCAACCGTTAATATTTTGCACGTGGTTTTTCAACCACCAACCAGAAAATGAAGGCTTTTCAACTTTAACATGAAAAATATGAGTCACATGCCGTTTTTTTGAGTATAAACAATCCAACTATGGTCGACTATGGTACTAGCAGCCTATGGAATTCATGACGATCGAAAAACCACTGCCGGGACCCGACTTCACCAAACTTCAGAACGGTTTGTGAGTAATGAGTACCCTCTGGTAAACTAACATAGCTATTGAAAATGGCCATTTATAGTGGATTTTCCCATTAAAAATGGCGATTTTCCATAGCTATGTTAAATTACCAGAGGGTAATGGTTTTGGAACAAGACTTGTATTTCTGTACTGCCGTAATTTCAGAGGAAAATTTGGTATATTCATTTTTGTTAGGTGGTGATTTCCCTATCGATTGTGATTTCTTGTGGTGATTTCTGTGTGTTCAATTCCCATTTTGGGTACCTGAAGCACACCCTTTACACCTCCAGATTTATCTGCACTCCCTGCGTTACGAGGTTTCGTGAATTTGTCTTCTTCCATGAAGAGTCCATCTACCCGGAATTTGCCGTTTCTCAGCCAGACCGGGCCGACCATGGGCTGACCGATCTTAGGTGATCTTTGGGGAAGTTGTAGAGACCTTAGAGTAGAGACCTAGTTTTGAGATGGTCAGAAACTTCTGTATTCTGAGGACAGAATACATCAATCCCATAGGATCCATGTATGGTATATATGGTAACATTTACCATCAATATACCCCCAATGTTATTATATATACCATACATGGATCCTATGGGAATGGAAGAACATGATTGTGGCGTTGACCCATGTTGCTTCCCGGCTGGTGGACTCATCACATATCATCCCAAAGGGCCTTGGAAAATCATGATCCACGTGTGCCACATTACCATACTCGTGTGCCACTAATATCATCCAGGTGTACGAGCTACTATTGTGATATGGCATCTCTCGGGATATTTACCCTCTGGTAAACTAACATAGCTATTGAACATTGCCATAGAAATAGTGGATTTACCCATTACTAGCATGGTGATTTAAACCATAGCTATTTTGACATAACCAGAGGGTATAATATTTAGTGGGTCTAAAACATTGCGACTAGCATGGCTCTTACATGCTCTTACCCTACTTCCGATGCCTGGTCGCCATGCTCCTTGGGACTGAGGTTTTTTACCGCCGAGAGATGTAGGGCATCGAGACTCATCCCGGACCTTGATGGTGGGAAGTTGGGGCTCCACATGCGACTTGCAAGGTGCAACTTGGGATGTTTTATCCATAGTAAAACTATGGTAAAAACTATGGTAAAAATTATGGTAAACTCAATTCATGGTGAATTTGAGTCATGTGAATTCATAGAATCCATAGTGAAGAGGTTGCTTGAATCTCCGTGATGTAGGACTTGGAGGAGCATCTGGATTCACGGTAAAAGTCAATTCACCTTGGGATGTTCCTCCATCCATTGGGTTGCTACCTATTTGAACGGCTGATTGAAGATCAGCAGGACACCCCATTATCTTCAGCCAGAAACTGTTGGCCCGCGCGAAAAAGCGACGGGCTACGCGGCTACGGTGAAATTTAAGTGCAGTGCCACCTCGGGATCTCAGCTTGTACAGTGGGATTCCGTGATATTTATCAACCAAAAAGGGTGCTGTAATCAGAATTCTGTGCCTTTCTTTAATGACAATTGTACCTATATGTACCTATGACATGGGACTAATTGTAACACACATTTTCTTGGCACAGAAGGAAGTGGCTCGGCGGTTTCAAACATTACACGTATATATATATATATATATATATTATACTTTTATTGCTTATGTTTATATTTGGGACGATTCGACAGCCACACTTGACCAGTACATCTTTGGGATGGGCAGTATCAGGCACTGTTGGAAAAGCATTCAACTGGGGTGCAATGCGGGGTGCCAAAAAATGGCCATGAGCCATTGGGGAACATGATTTTATTTTCACCATGGGATTTTGGATGTGCAATATCTTCATGATCATGGCAATCCCTCCTGAGAGATCACTCCTGATCTGTGGTATCTCGCTCCGCATGCAGAAAATCGCGCAGCATTGCTGCTGTCTCATGGTGTGAAACTGTTGATGCCGAACATCCCCATCCAGTGCCTGCATTGGAAAGTGAAGACTTTGTGGACATGGTGACATGATGTGGTTCTACTGATTGCAGGCCACTACAATCAGCATCAATCAGCTCAACGATAGAATAGAACATCTACATACCGTTTGTAGAGGACTTTCCTGCTGAAGATAGTGGATTCCTGTTGCCACAGTCGCTGGCCAAATCATATAGCTTTTGCTGGGAAGAATCCTCCCATGCAGGCAAAATCCCATCCAAGCGTGTTCACATGATGTAAACGCAACATCTAGATAAACAAGGGGTAGCCTTGATCCTTATTTGGCAGGGCCCGTTGCTACTTAATCGACTTGACTCAAGTGCGCCGGGTGTATTTGCTTGATGATTTCCATGCCTAAAAAATCCCCAATTCACCAGAGTTAGTTCCAAGCCCTTCGCATCCCGCTTTGCTCGTTAGAAACCATGGCTGTAACCCTGCTATGGAGCATTGATATGGAGGTCTCCTAAAATGCTGGCACCCCCAGATCATCCATTTTCATAGGATTTACAGTACCATGAAATAAACGTGCATTTTTGGGGCGCCCCCATTTATGGAACCCACTTCTGTTTCTGTTATGAACAGTTTGCCAAGTAGGGCGAAGTCCGATCCCTCGATTGACTTTTTTCTCCGCAAAACTGCGCAGCGCGGCTTTCACAATCCTCGCTTCGATGAGGAGGCGCAAGTTGCTGATGCAACTTGGGTCAAATGGTTGGCGACCGGGTTTCAGCGGATTTCAGAAACAACTGTCCAGCCAAATAGGAGGCTCATGTATATCCCAAAATCATCGAAGAACATGAGTTGTCAATGGGTCAATTCTTACCAGATTGCACTTGGTTTCCAAATATGGTGCCGCATTCCGAACATCGCAACATGTCATCCTCGGGGAAATCCACAGGCGGCTGCTCAGCAGGACCGGGAGGCACTTGCTCACCTGTTTCTCTGCTCCAAGGGGTACCCCCCAATAACACGGTGGAAAATTCTTGGAAAATGCCGGTTTGGCAAAGCCATAGGACCATAGGAACCTCAAGAGGTTCAAGTCATTTCAGATCACTGGGTGATTTTTGGGATGATCCCGAAAAAAGGGCCCTGTCCGTGATGTTTGTTGGTGTCTAAGCATAGACGAAACAGATATATCAAGATCTAATCTATCCATCATCCACCATAGTTCCCAGTGGCTGATATCCCAAAAATCCCCAAAAAGATAAGCAGTTCCCAGGAGTCAACTCCAAGAATCAAATCGTCAAAGATGTATAGTAAATTGAACATTTTCTGCATCCTAAAATCGGGGGATTTCCAAGTTGCAAGTTGTGAAGATATGTGAAGATCCCATTGACATCAACACTCTATCGGAAAGAGAACTCCATGAAAATTGATCATTTTCGAAGTTCACAAGTGCCATTAGATTGTTTAATATCGTCTAATCATTTTATAGCCATTGTTTAACCATTGTGAATCATGGAAAACCATTGTTGATTCCCCTATGTTTTGCCATTCTTCAAGCCTTTTTAGATCCCCATGGGCCCATGGGCCCCCTCTGTTTCACCAGGCAGCGGAGGAGGTGATCCATTTCTGGTGCGATGAGCTGACGACGGAGGACTGGCCTCTTGGAGAATCGGGGGGGTTCCATGGGAATTCACATGGGTCAAGGGCCATGCAACAGGAACCGATAAAAATTGGAGGTAGCTACCATAAGGCCTATGTCTGTAAGGGGATATAGCCCCAGAATATGGCCTGAAAAATGGTACTAACGTACCTCCATCAATTGGATCCAATATTGAATGCGCTGGATCCATGGGGTTATCCCATCTGTGGAGTCCGCATTCAGAATTTCTTTCAAGTGGATTATCCCTTGGTTGTTATCCCATCTATAAAATGACTCTCTGCTTGGTGGTTTCAAACATGGCTGGATTATGACTTTCCATCTATCTGGGGTTTTAATCATCCCAACTGATGAACTCCATCATTTTTCGGAGGGGTTGAAACCACCAACCAGGGAGGTTTCCTAAAATAAAGGTACCCCAAGTTCGCTGGATGGTTGAAAAATCATGGAGAATCCCATCTATGGATGATGAAAAAACGGGTCCCCCTATGGATTGGAAACCACCATATGGGGATATAGTTCATTCATGTATATGTACACGTATTTGAACGTGTATATGTGTATGTATTGTTACATGTATATGCTAGGGGACCGAAAACCGTGTGGTGATGCAGTTTTTTTTCTTACACTGTGTGGGATGAGGTGGGATGGGGTGGGGCAATAGCGTTCAATAGCACATGCGCACATACGTCATGCTACGTTAGAGGCGGATTGACCACCCGCAGTCCGAGGCTGTTGGTGTAGTGTACGCATGCTCTTGGTAATTGCATTACATCAACATGTGTAAAAAAACCATGTTGAAAACAACAGCGCAGGCTGTACGCAAGGCGCTGCATGGCAAAAACGGTCGCAATTTCGACTGGCAGGTGTGGGAAAATGACTAAAAGGCAGGCTGTGCAGCCTCTGATTTTTGGGCATGCCAAACCCCCCCCGCAAAAAAAATCCACACAACAAACTGCTTGAAAAGACAAAGACAATGCAATTGACACAAATCCGAGCAAATGAACAATCCAAGTGTGCCTCAACCTTACAGTGGACGGACTTTCTATCATACATCTTGTGAACAAATGACCACGCTGCCACTCGCGGCTTCCCGTACGTCGGGATGTATATGTACATGTTTATGTATATGTAAATGTAATATGTAATATGTAATATGTAATATGTATAATAATATGTAACATTCAGCATGTAATATGTAACATGTAATATGTAATGTGTATGTAATGTGTATGTAATGTGTATGTAATATGTATGTAATATGTATGTAATATGTGATATATGATGATATATGTATGTAATATGAATGTATAATATGAATGTATAATATGAATGTTTAATATGAATGTATAATATGAATGTAATATGTATGTAGTAGTATACATACACGTATACGTATATGTACATGTACATGTATCTGTAAATGTATATGTGTATGTGAATGTGTATGTGTATGTGTATGTGAATCTGTGTGTGTATCTATATGATTGTAAATGTATATGTATATGTAAATGTATATGTATATGTATGTGTATATGTATATGTAAATTAAATGTAAATGCATATGTATATGTTTATGTATATGCTCATGTATATGCCTATGTATATGCATATGTATATACTTATGTGTATGCTTATGTATATGCTTATGTATATGCTTACGCACATATAATACATGATGATCTCCGTATATCATGTCTAATGTTACGGCAAGACCCTATGGTTTGCCCGCAAGGTTAGAATGGTGTTCAAATATTATCCTTCGACATGCTCAAAAACCTGCGCAGGCCAAGTGTTTTGGTATTTCCCAGACGACGAACCCTAAACCCTAAACCCTAAAACCCTAAAACCCTAAACCTAAAACCCTGAAAACTCTGAATCCTAAACCAGAACACATTGCGTGTACGCATTATTTTCTGCAATTTCTCATGTTCGACAGCAGGGCATCCTCAATGTTGCAGTCCGGGCAAACCACGGGGTCTGTGCGTAATGTTATATATGGCTATGGGTCAATACCTATAGATACATTTTTAGTGGGATGAACATCCATTTACCAGCTATTTTGATGTTCACCAGGGGTACAAGGTTTTGACCCATCCCCATATGATCGGTCATGGTGTCGTGGTTTCTTTTGACTGTTCATAGTTTGTGGTTTCGATGAATTGGCGATATTTGCCCACCTGAAAAGGGAACATGGTGCTAAGCCAAGTTTTGGGGCACATGATTTTCGGACAAAACCATGTACCCTCTGGTTATTTAACATAGCTATTGAACATGGCCCATTTATAGATGGTTTACCTATCAAAAATGGCGATTTTCCATGGCTATGTTAAATAATCAGAGGGTATATGTTCTCTTGGTGGTTTGAGTTCAATGGTTTTCGACAAGAAGGAACTACCCCCCGCTGGGGAACTCGTCATGGAAACGGCTGACTTCCCAGCCATGTGAGTT